AAATAGGTGGGAATCAATACGTAGAATTGAGAAGTGTCGCGTGGCTGTCTCTACGTAAGAGGCAATATCGTGCCATCTAATTTCCTGCTTGTTCTGTTCTGCGTGGGAAATGTGAACGGAACAAAGAATAGAGATGGCACTTAATAACAGTTCAGTGATATCGTAAATTTATTTCTGTAATAAACAACGTAAAATTTTAACATGTGTGAAAAAATCACCCATGATACACATTGTATGGAAATCATATCGTAAGTTAGCATATACACTGTATGCTGATGACATCAGTTATTATATACATCATCTACACTGGAGGGTGATAACAAAAGTATACATCATCTACACTGTAGGGTGATAACATCAGTATCTACATCATATACACTGTAGGGTGATAACATAAGTATATATATCATATACACTGTAGGGTGATAACATAAGTATATACATCATATACACTGTAGGGTGATAACATAAGTATATACATCATCTACACTGGAGGGTGATAACATAAGTATACATCATCTACACTGTAGGGTGATAACATAAGTATATACATCATCTACACTGTAGGGTGATAAAATAAGTATATATATCATCTACACTGTAGGGTGATAACATAAGTATGTACATCATATACACTGTAGGGTGATAACATAAGTATGTACATCATCTACACTGTAGGGTGATAACATAAGTATATATCATCTACACTGTAGGGTGATAACATAAGTATATACATCATCTACACTGTAGGGTGATAACATAAGTATATACATCATCTACACTGTAGGGTGATAACATAAGTATATACATCATATACACTGTAGGGTGATAACATAAGTATGTACATGATATACACTGTAGGGTGATAACATAAGTATATATCATCTACACTGTAGGGTGATAACTTAAGTATATACATCATCTACACTGTAGGGTGATAACATAAGTATATACATCATCTACACTGTAGGGTGATAACATAAGTATGTACATGATATACACTGTAGGGTGATAACATAAGTATGTACATGATATACACTGTAGGGTGATAACATAAGTATATATCATCTACACTGTAGGGTGATAACATAAGTATATATCATCTACACTGTAGGGTGATAACATAAGTATGTACATCATCTACACTGTAGGGTGATAACTTAAGTATATACATCATCTACACTGTAGGGTGATAACATAAGTATGTACATGATATACACTGTAGGGTGATAACATAAGTATGTACATCATCTACACTGTAGGGTGATAACATAAGTATGTACATCATATACACTGTAGGGTGATAACATAAGTATGTACATCATATACACTGTAGGGTGATAACATCTACACTGTAGGGTGATAACATAAGTATATATCATCTACACTTAAGGGTGATAACATAAGTATACATCATCTACACTGTAGGGTGATAACGTAAGTATGTACATCATCTACACTGTAGGGTGATAACATAAGTATATACATCATATACACTGTAGGGTGATAACATAAGTATATACATCATCTACACTGTAGGGTGATAACTTAAGTATATACATCATCTACACTGTAGGGTGATAACATAAGTATGTACATGATATACACTGTAGGGTGATAACATAAGTATGTACATCATCTACACTGTAGGGTGATAACATAAGTATGTACATCATATACACTGTAGGGTGATAACATAAGTATGTACATCATATACACTGTAGGGTGATAACATCTACACTGTAGGGTGATAACATAAGTATATATCATCTACACTTAAGGGTGATAACATAAGTATACGTCATCTACACTGTAGGGTGATAACGTAAGTATGTACATCATCTACACTGTAGGGTGATAACATAAGTATATACATCATATACACTGTAGGGTGATAACATAAGTATATACATCATCTACACTGTAGGGTGATAACATCTACACTGTAGGGTGATAACATAAGTATGTACATCATATACACTGTAGGGTGATAACATAAGTATATACATCATATACACTGTAGGGTGATAACATAAGTATGTACATCATATACACTGTAGGGTGATAACATCAGTATCTACATCATATACACTGTAGGGTGATAACATAAGTATATACATCATCTACACTGTAGGGTGATAACATAAGTATATATCATATACACTGTAGGGTGATAACATAAGTATATACATCATATACACTGTAGGGTGATAACATAAGTATGTACATCATCTACACTGTAGGGTGATAACATAAGTATGTACATCATATACACTGTAGGGTGATAACATAAGTATGTACATCATCTACACTGTAGGGTGATAACATAAGTATGTACATCATATACACTGTAGGGTGATAACATAGGTATATATCATCTACACTGTAGGGTGATAACATAAGTATGTACATCATATACACTGTAGGGTGATAACATCTACACTGTAGGGTGATAACATCTACACTGTAGGGTGATAACATAAGTATATACATCATCTACACTGTAGGGTGATAACATAAGTATGTACATCATATACACTGTAGGGTGATAACATAAGTATATACATCATCTACACTGTAGGGTGATAACATAAGTATATATCATCTACACTGTAGGGTGATAACATAAGTATGTACATCATATACACTGTAGGGTGATAACATCTACACTGTAGGGTGATAACATAAGTATATATCATCTACACTGTAGGGTGATAACATAAGTATGTACATCATATACACTGTAGGGTGATAACATAAGTATATACATCATCTACACTGTAGGGTGATAACATAAGTATATACATCATCTACACTGTAGGGTGATAACATAAGTATATACATCATCTACACTGGAGGGTGATAACATCTACACTGTAGGGTGATAACATAAGTATATACATCATCTACACTGTAGGGTGATAACATAAGTATATACATCATCTACACTGGAGGGTGATAACATAAGTATATACATCATCTACACTGGAGGGTGATAACATCTACACTGTAGGGTGATAACATAAGTATATATCATCTACACTGTAGGGTGATAACATAAGTATATACATCATCTACACTGTAGGGTGATAGTATGAGTTATTCTATTCATCATATGTGTCTTTTATGTGTTAAATAATATTGATTACATTTTGTTTTGTCAGTGAAATATAAGAATTTATCAATTTGATCAAAACTTTTATCATAAAAAAATAAGTTTCGTTGATTTGATCAACCTGAACGATGCTGTCTACTCTCAACATTGGAACACTACGGTTTTCCATTGGTACACAAATGAAGTCATGGTTAGATTAGATGCTTTTCCATCAATTCTCGTATGTCAGAAAAAACGTATCTTTATTTATCGCTCGTGCTTTGCACTTCCGGAAAATATAGACATTCTGAAATGTATATGATATAACACACGGAACCACCAAATAACCTCGATATCTGATACAGAAAATCAATAGAGATATCCTTTATATCGTGTGAGATATTTTATATAGCATCTGGTGCAATTTCTGATTAAGGCATCTGATATATAATGATAAATATCGGTATATTTGTGTGATATCATATTTGATATGAGGGACAATATACGACAGCTATAGTTAGTTTAAACTTCTGGTACATATTTAATAGTGTCGATAACTTGGGCGATACGTGGAGTTTGTGAAACTGGTTCTTTTTTTATCATTTTGTATTTATATAAAGCTTGGTTTGTAATTGGCATTACACACCAATTACTGTTACAAGATGGCCAGGAAGACTTACTATGTCAATTATTAACAAATAAAGAATATATAGAGAGAGAGTAAGAAACGGAGAAATAGACTTGTCGAAGAGAAGAGAGGGCGAGTCAAAATCTAAAATATAATTGTAAGAAATAATAGAAAGGTTATGTAGTTGCTGAAATATTCTCCCTCCATGTCATTCCCACCGTTGTGTAGCTTCCTCATTCCGTTTCCACTACTAGTCCGTTTACACCGAGAAAGACTGATCGCGAGTACCTATTAAATACCTCTGTAATGATATGTATCATATTTCATTCATTCTCATTATATATATTCTGATATGCTTTATTCATTTAGCCTGTCCGTTAATATCAAAATAGAGAAGGAAAGAGACGAAACTTATACAAAAAGAGGCGAGTGCGAACTAAAAAAATCTGTACGTGTCGCTGATATCTTGCTGGGTATGCAAAATCATTCAGTAGACGGATCGTTATAGAGATTTTTAAGAAATCACAGAGAAGAAAAAAATCAGTTGTTAAAATCGCGAACACTGATTTTTGTCTTCCCTTTTTTCACACAGAACGTTACGGGACATTTATCTCCGAGATAAGGCAAAGAGCCTACGTAAACGAATACCTTCTAAATAATATTTCCCGCCAAGGAGATAAAGAATAAACCTTCAAATGTGTTAATGTAACGTTATTTCGGTATTTGTTTATTTACATCGCGTGGTCCTTGCGTACATGTAATGCATTGGGGGAGAGGGGGTGCACGTTGCTTATTTTGCTTGAGGCCATCAATTGAAGCCTTGAAGGTGTCAGATGTGTTTCCAGGCGATAGTGGTACCGCTGCGGGGAGGGGGATATAGAGTTCTTAAGCTCTTCCGTTCTTGCTTCTTTAATTAAGCATTCAAAAAGAATAATAAAAAAGTACATTTAACGGTAAAATATCTTAAGTTGTTGGACAGAGTTACGGAAACGCTTGCGCTCGAGCTAGCGACCTCATGCTTCCTTGTTCAACATCATACATATAAATGTGCTTGTCAATCCTCACAACATGCTGTAAACTGAAATAGACATTGTGGTCATCAGCAATAGAAATCTACTTGTAATCTGCATGGCTGCATTGCAAAATACATTTATTTATTTTCTGATGTTTTGATTCAACGTAAATAATTACGTAACAATGAGGTGTGGCAGCGTCGTCCCAATCGAACGCATACTCTAAAGAAAGACAACTCATGCCACTTCCGGTACATTTGCCAAAATGGCGGCGCCCATGGTTGCAAGATTGTGTGAAACACCAGGCTGTAGTAAAGATGCCAAATTGCAATGCCCAACATGTATTAAGCTTGGAATTCCAGGATCGTTCTTTTGTGCACAGGTTCTCAATGTATTACCCAACTGTATATGTTCAAGTCGGCGTGTAGTTAATTCGAACCCATTTACCCACGCATGCTTTAGGAATATTAATTCATTTCTTTGGTAACCATGGAATAAAAACCTTCTTTTTCCTAGTATATGATTTATTGGATGAACTTTTTTTATAGAAAAACTAATGACCATTTTTATTTTTTGACTGATACATAATATTTTTACCAAAGAAGAGTAACAATCCATAATGGTGAACCAAGACTTCTCCGGGATCCTTGACTTGTCAAAATACCATGTGATCAGGAGATGTGGTTCTTTCATGGAATTCATCTGTTTATCCCAGAATTCCCAGCTTTTAATAATATGATACTTTTTTTCAATGAAATCTTACAAGTTGTTGGATAGAATCGACAGAGGGATGGGAAATATTGTGCTTGAGCACAAATCATTGACCTTTTGCATCTTTGAATAACATAGTTATTATAATTTATCACTAGACTTAAGGGGAATTAACTCCAGCTGAAGTGAGTAATTACAGATATGTATACATCTTTTCACATCTGCTTCTCTAGTTAATAGTTAATTAATGTATTTCATAGTGAAAATGACCACAAAAATGGTAATATTTTAACATTGCCATAATCAAAATAAATGTTGTTCTGATTGTAATATTTCTCTATACAGAGCCAGGTTTGTATAAAACAGTATTATACATCCCTGACAGAGCATGGCAGAAATTATTTTTAGAGGAAAACCTTTGCTGATGACACATCCTTATATGGTTTAATTGTGGCTGATATACCAATTGATGACTCCAGAATAATTAATATTTGCAAGTAGATGAGGTATTATTTTTAATCATGAAAAGACTGAATCTGTACTCTTTTCTAGCTAGGCAGATTGATTCTGAGATGTTGCATCTTGACCTGTATTTTTATGAACTTAGTCATTAAGATTTAAGAAGCCATAAAAATGGTTTTTCAATAGTCATGCTAATTGGTCTAACCATGCAACTATACCAATGAGAAAACATTCAAAGGAATGAATATACATAGAAAATTAAATTTAGAGAAGGTGACTTGAGTTAATATATAGTTTACAGTATTTCATCCTATTTTAGAATATGCTGATATAGTATTGGCAACTGTACACAAAAGAGTCAATTCAAAGGGAGGCAATACACTTAATAACTGGGTTGATGCGGACACAAGTCATGTTATCCTATATAATGAGTCAAGTCTCATTCCACTAGTAAACAAAGACACTTACATCAAAATATCCATTTTTTTAGAAAAAAGATTTTACATAATAGATGCCCTCCTCATGTAATTGATTCAATCCAACCTTTTATCAGTAATAATACTGATCATTACCTTCTTCAACACAAGAGACTCTTTGTACTGGTAGCAAGAACCAAAAGTCATGTCTGACTGGAATAATCCATCTTTTCTGTTTCCCACAATGATATCTATAAATGCAATTAAGCTTTTCTTTTCAACCAGTTACTGATTTACAACACCAGTGCAGTGATAAGTTTTTGGATATGTGTATTATGGAAACAGAAACGTAAATGTCAACTATGAAACTCTGCTATCAATTTGATTCTGGATTTGTTACTACATTATCAATACTTCATCTCCTAATAACAATATTTTGACTTCCAAGTTTCTATCAATTAAGGAATTTTTTGACCAAGCATTGCATTATCAACATCTTGATTAACCATGCATTATGTATTCTATATCCATGTAGAGTTTCCCCAACCAATGGCAGAGAAACTAATTGTACTTTTTGCTCTTTGCTAGGACTGCTTCAAGTTGTTTTGGTCTGAACACAAGAAAATTCACAAATTAGTCAGTAAGTATGAAGCTTTATTCTAAAAGTGATGCGTGATACATTTGTATATACCTGTGACAGATAAAAAATAATACTTATATGTGCATCTGACTGCCATTAAAGTAGATGCAACAGTTATGAAAAGTTATACTAAACGATAAGATAAAAAATTGCTTTATACATTTGTAAACCTATAACACAATTACAGTAATAAAATATATATTATATACACGTCAAAGGTGTTTTGGAATGTTTATGTTACAGTATTACTACATATACTTTTAATGCATGAAAGAATACCATAGGTTTTATGCCTTTGTTCCTTGAGATTGAATGAATTTTAAATTAAATGGGTTATTTATGGAGTTTTCTGAAATGCATATACTTCTAAATTGTTGATTGTATTTAGTGGGAAACTGTAAAATGTTGATTTATTGATAACAGAAGGGAATGACAAGACGACATCTGACCAGTATAATCCATGGCCAGGCTTTAAATACACAGGGCTAATACGGGCAGCTAAAGTGGTAAGTAATAGCATGCTTACAAAGAGCAGTGATACTTATCTGGCACATTTTGTTATGATAATGGTAGAGATATATCGCCTTCATCTCCATCCTGCTTCTTCAGCACCTTTGATTGTTGGCTGTCATTGTTTTCATGCATTGTTACAATCTAACTTTTAGACACCAAGAAGGACTGTTCCTGATCACATACCCAGGCCTGACTATGCAGATCATCCAGAAGGTTAGACTTACACTTTTCATGTTACAAAATGCTCTGTCAAAATAGCATTCATTCAAAATTGAAGGAAATTTGGAAGGTTCTTTTGTTCTGTGTCCATGTAATATTCAGAATAAAAGAGCATCAACTGATTCACCTAAATCACAAATGTATGGCTATGAGGTAGGACCAGAAGGTGTTACCATTCTGTGGGCATCGGCGTTCAATATTACAAAGTTATATTTAGATCAGTTTCTGAGAAAGTATAAATACTATAGATCAAATTTGATGTATATTGAGATCTAAGAATATACAATTCCAGTCAGGACAAAGATGTTTCTTTATTATTGATATGGAGAAAAGCATGAAATTTCATTGAATTTGAAAGTTGTTTACTAATTTAGTCAGATTTTGTTTATTTGTAGACATTTTAATAAGCATGGATGGATGGAATTCCACAGAATTCTTGCCTCTATAATGTAGCTACGGTATCTAAACATTGTATAATAATTCATTTATGTAATGTTTGTAGGTGTGCCTGTATCAGAAAGACAGATGCGAGGTACAACAAATATAAAAGTTTTGTCAGACGAAGAGCAAGAAGGACTAAGGATAGCTTCTAAGGTAGACACATGTATCATTACCTTATATACTTCTTTACCAAATATCCTGCAACAGGACATTCTGTTTACCCTTAAAATTTGGCAATTTCAGAAGTCAAATCACAATTCTGTAGGCTTGAAATAATAGTGTAATAAACATGTCCTTTCAAACATAAAACCCATGTTTAAAATTTGAAAATATGTAGCATTGGTGTTCTACAATCAAATTAAGTAATTCTATTTGTATGGTTATTGTTGCACTTATTTATGTACAAGAATGTTTATCTCTCCATTTTTGTCTGTGAATTCAATAGAGAAAGCCACGATAGCTCAGTCAACAAAGCTTTACTCTAAGTGGCTTCAGGTGAAGATCTGGGGTGTGTAGTTCAACACTTTTTACTCGTGATGGTTTGTTTTTCAAGAAAATGAGTGTTGACCAGTGTGTGTTTTTGTGGTTGAGTCCTTTAGCAAAACACTTTAAGCCAATTTCTCTAGATGGCATATGACAAGCCTTCTGTATGTTGTTCAATCAGGTAGCCACCAGCCACTTTCAGGAGTCCTTGCCTTTAAAAGATGCTGTCTATTTGCAGGTTAATAAACCCATCAGTAAATGAATAATTCCAAGGCATGTAACAGAAATTCAAATTTTAAATTACAGACTCGTCAATTAATGGTGGCTTAGAGTTTTCTATTAGTTAATACTTTGAGAGTTGATCATAAGCTTTCATGTAGGGAGTTGTCCATTGATTATGGTTCTAGGAGTTCTCCATTGATTATGGTTTAAGGAGTTGTCCATTGATTATGGTTTAAGGAGTTGTCCATTGATTATGGTGTAAGGAGTTGTCCATTGATTATGGTTTAAGGAGTTGTCCATTGATTATGGTTTAAGGAGTTGTCCATTGATTATGGTGTAAGGAGTTGTCCATTGATTATGGTTTTAGGAGTTGTCCATTGAATATGGTTTAAGGAGTTGTCCATTGATTATGGTTTAAGGAGTTGTCCATTGATTATGGTTTAAGGAGTTCTCCATTGATTATGGTTTTAGGAGTTGTCCTTTGATTATGGTTCTTGGAGTTGTCCATTGATTATGGTTTAAGGAGTTGTCCATTGATTATGGTTTAAGGAGTTGTCCATTGATTATGGTTTAAGGAGTTGTCCATTGATTATGGTTTAAGGAGTTGTCCATTGATTATGGTTTTAGGAGTTGTCCATTGATTATGGTTTAAGGAGTTGTCCATTGATTATGGTTTAAGGAGTTGTCCATTGATTATGGTTTAAGGAGTTGTCCATTGATTATGGTTTAAGGAGTTGTCCATTGATTATGGTTTAAGGAGTTGTCCATTGATTATGGTTTTAGGAGTTGTCCATTGATTATGGTTTAAGGAGTTGTCCATTGATTATGGTTTTAGGAGTTGTCCATTGATTATGGTTTAAGGAGTTCTCCATTGATTATGGTTCTAGGAGTTCTCCATTGATTATGGTTTAAGGATTGATTATGGTTTAAGGAGTTGTCCATTGATTATGGTTTTAGGAGTTGTCCATTGATTATGGTTTAAGGAGTTGTCCATTGATTATGGTTCTATGAGTTGTCCATTGATTATGGTTCTATAAGTTGTCCATTGATAATGGTTTTAGGAGTTGTCCATTGACTATGGTTTTAGGAGTTGTCCATTGACTATGGTTTTAGGAGTTGTCCATTGACCATGGCTAAGAGAGTTGTCCATTGAATGTAACTTAGAATGTTGTCCACTAGTTATAGCTTAGGGTGTTGTCCTTTATCAGGTAGTTGTGGCTTAGAGAGTTATCAGGCAGTTTTCTAATATGACTGAGAAAATCCCTCCCTTGTGATTGGCTGAGAGTATTGACCAATATTTATGGTTTAAGAGTGTTGTCCTATATATGGTTTAGAGTGTTGACTAATATTTATGGATGAGAGTGTTGACCAGTATATATGGTTTAGAGTGATGTAAAAAAAGTTCTGTTTTTTTAGTTGTCCATTATTTATATTTGTCAATCATTATAGTTATAAATATATATAAATGTGTGTGTTTTTATTACAGCTTGGGCGGGAGGTGTTAGACATAGGGGCAGCAGCTGTTGAAGTAGGGGTGACAACAGAGGAGATTGACAGACTTGTCCATGAGGTAATTAAACATCTTGTTAAACTGTTTAGTAAAACCCCTCAATTGTTCAATAACATCTAAAAACCTTGTGAGGAAAATTGAGATCAACTTTGAATGTAATTGAAGAGATTCATGCTTGATATAGATGACAGCTTTCTAGACATTCAAGTGATCAACATATAATTAATAGTAATAATGGATAAGAAGAGATGAAACTTAAGTCCGTCAGTTTTCCTTATAGTTATGTCAATAACATAGAAGTTTTGTTACAGGCCTGCGTGGATCGAGAATGTTATCCTTCACCCCTAAATTATTACGAATTTCCAAAGTCCTGTTGTACGTAAGTATAAGAAATTGCTGTATGTAGATAAAGACATTGTTGTATGTAAGTATATAGTTATTGTTGTATATAGGCATAAAGGTATTCATGGATGTAGGTATAAAGGCATGGTGGTATGTAGATGTAAAACATTATTGAATGCAGGTGTTATGTTTTTTAATTGCAGTGATTTTCTTATTTTTATGCTCCCCAAAAATTTTCAAGGGAACATTTAATCGCTGCATTGTCCATCCATCTGTCCCTTCGTGTCTGGAGCACTTTGCCCACAGCAAAGGTAGGATCATGAAACTTGGTGTATAATATGATTATACTAAGAGGATGTGTAATGTAATAAATTCAGGGCCCTTTGACCCCTCAGTTACAGAATTATTGTCCTTTGTTAAAAATCATCTTGTCAAGAGCATAATTTTGCTGTCATTTAAGCTAGGATAATTAGATAAGGTGTATATATTGATAATACAAAGACAATGTGCAGTGTACAATGTTAGGATCTGAAACCCCTTGATTACAGAGTTATTGCCCTTTGTTAAAATTTTATGTCCAGAGTATTACTTTGCCTGCATTTAAATTATTTATGAAATGTGATGTATACAGTCATACTGACATAGAGTCATACAAAAGCTAGGTGCAGTGAAACAAAGTCAGGGCCCATGACTCCTCAGTACAGAGTAATTGCCCTTTATTAAAAGTTTGTGTCATGAGGTTAGTTTTGCTTGCATTAAAACTAGGATCATGAAACTTGGTGTATACATTGGTTATACTAAGAGAATGTACAGTATACCAACTTTAGGGCCTGCAACCCCTTAATTACAAAATTCTTAACATTTGTTTAAATTTTATGTCCAAAAAAGTCATTTTCAGGGAGCATTCATTAGTTTCACTGATACTCTTGTTTTTAAGTAGATTGGCTCATTAATTATTTATAAGCTGTAATCTGTTATCATATCAATGTTTCCTGCAAGCAAAAATAATTCTTTTTTTATCCAATGTTATGAAGATAGCATAGATGGGAGAGGCAGACATGGGGAAGCATAGATGGGAGTGGCAGACATGGGGAAGCATAGCTGGGAGTGGCAGACATGGGGAAGCATAGATGGGAGAGGCAGACATGGGGAAGCATAGATGGGAGAGGCAGACATGGGGAAGCATAGATGGGAGAGGCAGACATGGGGTATCATAGATGGGAGTGGCAGACATGGGGAAGCATAGATGGGAGAGGCAGACATGGGGAAGCATAGATGGGAGAGGCAGACATGGGGAAGCAGGGGAGAGGGCAGACATGGGAAAGCATAGATGGGAGAGGCAGACATGGGGTATCATAGATGGGAGTGGCAGACATGGGGAAGCATAGATGGGAGAGGCAGACATGGGGAAGCATAGATGGGAGTGGCATAGATGGGAGTGGCAGGAATGGGGTATCATAGATGGGAGAGGCAGACATGGGGAAGCATAGATGGGAGAGGCAGACATGGGGTATCATGGATGGAAGTGGCATGCATGGGGAAGCATAGATGGAAGAAGCAGACATGGGGTATCATAGATGGGAGTGGCAGGCATGGGGTATCATAGATGGGAGAGGCAGACATGGGGTATCATAGATGGGAGTGGCAGGAATGGGGTATCATAGATGGGAGAGGCAGACATGGGGAAGCATAGATGGGAGAGGCAGACATGGGGTATCATGGATGGGAGTGGCAGGCATGGGGAAGCATAGATGGGAGAGGCAGACATGGGGTATCATAGATTGGAGTGGCAGACATGGGGAAGCATAGATGGGAGAGGCAGACATGGGGAAGCATAGATTGGAGAGGCAGACATGGGGAAGCATAGGTGGGAGAGGCAGACATAGGGAAGCATAGATGGGAGAGGCAGACATGGGGAAGCATAGATTGGAGTGGCAGACAGTGGGGAAACATAGAGAGGGCAGACAGATATGGGGGTAGCAAAGATAGGAGGCAGGCATAGGGGTAGCCAGGATGAAGAAGTCTGACATGGGAGTAGCACAGAAAGGGAAAGCAAACACTGTGGTAGATTAGATGGAGAAGTCAGACATGGGGGTAGAAAAGAGGGTGAAAGTATACATGGATTTAACATAGAGGGCGAAAGGAGACGTAGGGGTACCATACATTGGGTGGTAAACATTTAGGTGGAATAAATAAGAACACAGAGTATCAGCATTCATATCAGTTTGATGTATTCTAATGTAAGTACAGTAATAGTCATTCTTAACATTTGTAAGTTTTACCATGCTGGCATTTCCATTTCAGCAAAAACATTAAATGCAACCAAATAAAGCTGAAGTTTTACTCAACAATACAAAACCAAACTCATGCATTATCATAAAGCATAAACAAAACAATATTTTCATCTGTGTTAAATTTTTGTGTGATACAGGTCTGTAAATGAAGTGATATGCCATGGCATCCCAGACATGAGACCTCTGGAGGATGGAGATATAGTGAATAGTGAGTATTCTAATACATCACAGACATGAGACCTCTATACAGAGGCGATATAATGAACAGTGGGTATTCTAATACATCACATACATGAGACCTCTATAGAGAGGAGATATAGTGAATAGTGAGTATTCTAATACATCACAGACATGAGACCTCTATAGAGAGGAGACATAGTGAACAGTGAATATTCTAATACATCCCAGACATGAGACCTCTATAGAGAGGAGACATAGTGAACAGTGGGTATTCTAATACATCACAGACATGAGACCTCTATAGAGAGGAGACATAATGAACAGTGAGTATTCTAATACATCCCAGACATGAGACCTCTATAGAGAGGAGATATAATGAACAGTGGGTATTCTAATACATCACAGACATGAGACCTCTATAGAGAGGAGACATAGTTTACAGTGAGAATTCTAATACATCGTAGACATGAGACCTCTATAGAGAGGAGACATAGTGAACAGTGAGTATTCTAATACATCCCAGACATGAGACCTCTATAGAGAGGAGATATAGTGAACAGTGAGTATTCTAATACATCACAGACATGAGACCTCTATAGAGAGGAGACATAGTGAACAGTGAGTATTCTAATACATCCCAGACATGAGACCTCTATAGAGAGGAGACATAGTGAACAGTGAGTATTATAGATCTCAGACATGAGACCTCTATAGAGAGGAGACATAGTGAACAGTGAGTATTCTAATACATCCCAGACATGAGACCTCTATAGAGAGGAGATATAGTGAACAGTGAGTATTCTAATACATCACAGACATGAGACCTCTATAGAGAGGAGATATAGTGAACAGTGAGTATTCTAATACATCACAGACATGAGACCTCTATAGAGAGGAGACATAGTGAACAGTGAGTATTCTAATACATCCCAGACATGAGACCTCTATAGAGAGGAGACATAGTGAACAGTGAGTATTATAGATCTCAGACATGAGACCTCTATAGAGAGGAGACATAGTGAACAGTGAGTATTCTAATACATCCCAGACATGAGACCTCTATAGAGAGGAGACATAGTGAACAGTGAGTATTCTAATACATCCCAGACATGAGACCTCTATAGAGAGGAGACATAGTGAACAGTGAGTATTATAGATCTCAGACATGAGACCTCTATAGATAGGAGACAAAGTGAAGAGTGAGTATTCTAATACATCACAGATACGAGACCTCTATCGAGAGGAGATATAGTGAACAGTGAGTATTATGATAGATCTCAGACATGAGACCTCTATAGAGAGGAGACATAGTGAACAGTGATATATCACAGACATGAGACCTCTATAGAGAGGAGACATAGTGAACAGTGATATATCACAGACATGAGACCTCTATAGAGAGGAGACATAGTGAACAGTGAGTATTCTAATACATCCCAGACATGAGACCTCTATAGAGAGGAGACATAGTGAACAGTGATATATCACAGACATGAGACCTCTATAGAGAGGAGACATAGTGAACAGTGAGTATTCTAATACATCCCAGACATGAGACCTCTATAGAGAGGAGACATAGTGAACAGTGATATATCACAGACATGAGACCTCTATAGAGAGGAGACATAGTGAACAGTGAGTATTCTAATACATCCCAGACATGAGACCTCTATAGAGAGGAGACATAGTGAACAGTGAGTATTCTAATACATCCCAGACATGAGACCTCTATAGAGAGGAGACATAGTGAACAGTGATATATCACAGACATGAGACCTCTATAGAGAGGAGACATAGTGAACAGTGAGTATTCTAATACATCCCAGACATGAGACCTCTATAGAGAGGAGACATAGTGAACAGTGAGTATTATAGATCTCAGACATGAGACCTCTATAGATAGGAGACAAAGTGAAGAGTGAGTATTCTAATACATCACAGATACGAGACCTCTATAGAGAGGAGATAAAGTGAACAGTGAGTATTATGATAGATCTCAGACATGAGACCTCTATAGAGAGGAGACATAGTGAACAGTGATATATCACAGACATGAGACCTCTATAGAGAGGAGACATAGTGAACAGTGAGTATTATAGATCTCAGACATGAGACCTCTATAGATAGGAGACAAAGTGAAGAGTGAGTATTCTAATACATCACAGATACGAGACCTCTATAGAGAGGAGATATAGTGAACAGTGAGTATTATGATAGATCTCAGACATGAGAACTCTATAGAGAGGAGACATAGTGAACAGTGATATATCACAGACATGAGACCTCTATAGAGAGGAGACATAGTGAACAGTGATATATCACAGACATGAGACCTCTATAGAGAGGAGACATAGTGAACAGTGTGAGACCTCTATAGAGAGTAGACATAGTGAACAGTGAGTTCTATAATACATCACAGACATACATGGGACTTCAGAGTCTTTCTCAAATCTTAAACTGATGCACTGATAAGATAAGAAGGAATGGTTTTAACAAAATTGATGACTTTGAGGTCCATTAGAATTCCATTGTAAAAACTTATTTGCATTAACACTTCTGTAACACCTGTGTTTTTATGGTAATTCCGTGGAGATGACTGACTGGTGTACCAAAGCTGTTATTTATCCATTTAATAGAAAACACAAAATGATTTTCAAAGCCTACAGTCTGAAAATCTGTTTCAAAGTTACATTAATATTACAAGGCTCATTTTGTTGAAACCTTTCAGGAATGGTGGAATATTTCAGTTCAGATATAAGGCAATGCAATACAATATAGTTACCAGTATTATATGTTATCGTCCTGGTAAACATGTGATTTTTTCTGTTTACAGTTGACATTACCACGTTCCATCGAGGATTCCATGGAGATTTGAATGAAACTTTATTTGTTGGAAATGTTGATGAAGGAAGTAAATCTTTGGTGAAGACAACATATGAATGTCTAAAATTTGCTATTGATGAAGGTAAACATTTATTTCATTTTTCAGTTTTTTTCCTGTCATAATATCAGACATGCCTTTGCCTGCATCATCCCTGTAACACTCTCATAGTAAAAAAATTAACAAGTGTTTGGTCAAAGACAGGTTTTAAATCAATTAAATCTTTTGTTACATTTATTTTAGATTTAAAAATCAAACTGGAAAAAACAGTTTTGGAAGGACCATGCACTATTAGTTATTTATATACCATGCTTCTTGTCTGTTTGCAGTGAAGCCTGGTGTACGCTATAGAGAGATGGGCAACATAATACAGAAACATGCCCAGGCCCATGGCTACTCTGTGGTGCGGAGCTACTGCGGTCATGGCATTCATCAGTCAGTAATTTAGGCTCTGGTTTTAACGGTTCATAGTCAGATTAGACACAATATAAATGTATTTAATACGTAACATAAAACCATGTACAAGCTTGAATTCAAAAGTATAGTATAGCGAAATGCTCATCAGAGAAATATCCTGAAGAACTTCTGTCCAAGAAGTTCATGTGTATGCTATAAATTGTCAACATGGATGTAATTTTTAACAGAAATTTCAAGCTTGCACATACAGAATTCCTGCTAGATGTATTCAAACCTCCCAACCTCACTATCTGTAAAAGATATATACTGTAATTGTTACACAAGATATACTCAATGTGTATCTTTTTAACATGCTGTTTATCTGTAAGCTTCAAAGACGGCCTTGAACTCGCTACTTATAAATCTCCATTTTGGTCGAAGATGTAAGTTGATCATATGGTGTTATGAAGTATACTTAAAGTATTACAACCTCGATGTAATTCGGTTCCAAAAATGTGTAGCTAGAACATTTGACATGAATTGCTACAATTGCTGAATTGAAGGGTGTAGTTTTATATACTGAGGTCAGTTGTTTTGGATCAATCTTACTAAACCACACATATTTTTCTGTATGTGTCCTATGATTGTTGAAATTTGAATACTGGATAGAGTTTTGAAAGATAAGATTTTTTCTCTATTATTATCAACTGAGATTTTTTCAACTTAGATTTTCAAACCATAGTGTTTTGTTATGTACCTGTATCTGTGAAGCTGCTCAGCCTGTACCATAAATCTATTTCTCTTATTAATTTTTTCAGACTTTTCCACACTGCACCTAGTGTACCTCATTATGCCAGTGAGTATACCTTTCCTTATTTTGATTTCCTTATGTAGAAATAGCCATATACCAAAGTATACCAATATCTATGACCATTTGACCATAGGCCATATATAACATTATAATGGGGCAGTAACTCTGGATTTGAATCTGATATTGTTTGTAATATATTTGGTTGTAAAAATAACTTGAACAATATCATTGATTTTCTATATTGGTGTGCAAATTCCATTACTTTTTCATTTTTTTTTTAAAAATATTGGTGTTTGTTTGTTTTCCAGAAAACAAAGCAATTGGTGTGATGAAACCAGGACATTCATTTACAATAGAACCCATGATTTCTGAAGGTAAGTACACACTTTGAAATAGAAACCAGGATCTCTGAAATATGTTAACATTGATAGTAAACCCAAGAGCTCTGCAGGAAAGTATTTATTTACTATAGAACTCAGGATCTCTGAAGGTCAGAAGATATTTACATTTGAAATCAGAATTCCTTGAAGGTCAGTATATAGTAACAATAAAACCCAGAATCTCTGAAGGATGGTAGATATAAGAAAAATTTACAAAAGAGCACAAAATCTCCGAAGGTCTTTAGATATTTTAAATGGAAACATATTTACAGAAGAAACAAAGACCTCTGAAGGTTAGTTCACAAAAGAATGAGAATCTTTAAAAATAGGCACAATTGTAGAACCCAGATAAGAACATACTGAACAGCAGTAGAACCAGGAATCTTTGAAGTTCAAAGTACTCTTCTTTAGATTTTAGGCTAACATGACAATTGATCAGTATCATGTTGATGTGTTTTAATTAGTGTTTAGTATTAAAAGGGAGTATTTCATATGGTTGTTTAGGTTGTACACTAAAATAACATCATGGTACTTACAGGAACCTGGAGAGATGAAATGTGGCCTGATAATTGGACAGCTGTTACTCAGGACGGGAAGCGGTCAGCCCAGTTTGAACATACATTACTGGTGACAGACACAGGCTGTGAGGTTCTCACACGACGCAGAGTTCATGATGGACGGCCACATTTTATTGATAAAATGTGATGAGACTGCTAATTTCTGATGTGTTACATAAAGTTAAACATACACTTTGTCATACATGTCCTATAGGTATGAGTCACACATATCATACAGGTAAAGGTCACACATCATACAGGTGTGGGCACAGTCAGTACCAGATATTTATTTGGTCAATATTTATACCTGAAACAGAAGGAGTGATAATCAACCATTTAATTTGCAGCTGAAAATCTGTTAAAATGTCTATATTTTACTTCATTTCTTATGTTAATAGCTGTGGCTGGTAATGTTTGTTTACATGTTAAAATGACCTTTGACTGCAGCAGATTCTAACACTTTCCCTCTCGTTTTCTCTCTCCAGTACCTCCCAGATTTTTTACCTCTAACCAAAACCAACTGTAAATACAATGGTGCTACACAGAAAAATCTGATGTATCCACAGTATTTCAGCTTGGATAGTTTTCAGGAAGTTTATCCACAGAAATAGGTTCCTTACAATGGCAGGTAGGATTTCTTTATTGTCATACGTCTATACAATATTCTAAACCTACTTTCCTTCATGTGCCATTTACAGTCGAGGATTTCACAATTCAAGCAAAACGGTGAAAATTGATTATTGTGAATCAAAACATGTGATGAAGGCTTATTCTAATATTTGACATCCGTTATTTTATAATAATGACTCGGTGAAGTTTATCCTAAATCTAAGTGTACATTACCCACAGCTATAATACATTTGGTAAATCTATTGTTAAATTCTGTATCAAGGACGCTTTATTCCCTTGAGATTTCAGTTCTGAGGAGTTTGTGTTTGGTTGATGATACACTCCGAGGAGAATCTGTAGAATGTTTGACTTCTATGAATGAAGCCACTCACACTGCTGTCCAAACAAAACACTAGACACCTTAAGAACTTGGAAGCTATTAGACTTGTTTATTCCTCTGGGTATTACATCACACGCTGTTAGTTATGTGTCCTTCAGTAATCTCACCTATCATGGCCAAATTAGCAACTGGATATGGGGCTCACTATAAATAGGGTTTAAATGAAGACCATGCAATTTAAATTTTCAATGATGTCTCAGAATTTTCAAAAGTAAATTGCTACAAATTTGTTTTATTGCTTAAGACACAAAAGTTATAAGCTGTGAAAGAAAGTTTGTTTGCTTAGTTCTGAAACATGAAGTGATCTGTAAAACATTGGTTTTACTACACACCTCTAGATACAAGGATTTCGTGGAAATGTGTTATTATTTTTTCAGCCCAATTATGATTTTGATTCCCCATTTCATAAGTTTAAAATTGCAGTTATATCAAATTTAATTTAACTTTTTTAATTTCCACCAATAAATAAAGATGAAATGAGAAGCTCACTTAACATGATTTTGTCTTTGAAATTTCTGTTGACAGTCTGGCATGTGTTCAATTGCTGCATTGTGACATTTAACAACAAAAGTATTGAATTACCAGGTACTGGGATTTTACTGAATTAATGAGTTAAAATAAAGCTTGCTATTATTGATACATTGCACTTTTTGTTATGATATAAGTACTTTATTTTAAGTTTTATTGTCTAGTAATCATTGTCTCAGCAAAGTCACCATGTCCGTCTTTGTGGAGCCAGTAACAGTAAGATCTTTAATGTCTAGTAATCCTGGTCTTAGTGAAGCCAGTGACACTAAGATCTTAATTGTCTAGTAATCCTGGTCTTAGTGAAGACAGTGACACTAAGATGTTTATTGTCTAGTAATCCTGGTCTTAGTGAAGACAGTGACAGTAAGATCTTTAATGTATAGTAATCCTGGTCTTTGTGAAGACAGTTACACTAAGATTTTTATTGTCTAGTAATCCTGGTCTTACTGAAGACAGTGATAGTAAGATCTTTATTGTCTAGGTATCCTGGTCTTAGTGAAGCCAGTGACAGTAAGATCTTTATTGTCAGGTAATCCAGGTCTGTCTTTATATAGCCAGTGACAGTAAGATCTTTATTGTCTAGTAATCCTGGTCTTAGTGAAGCCAGTGACACTAAGATCTTTATTGTCTAGTAATCCTGGTCTTAGTGAAGACAGTGACACTAAGATCTTTATTGTCTAGTAATTCTGGTCTTAGTGAAGACAGTGACACTAAGATCTTTATTGTCTAGTAATTCTGGTCTTAGTGAAGCCAGTGACAATAAGATCTTTATTGTCTAGTAATCCTGGTCTTAGTGAAGACAGTGACAGTAAGATCTTTATTGTCTAGTAATTCTGGTCTTAGTGAAGACAGTGATAGTAAGATCCTTAATGTCGGGTATTCCATGTCTGTCTTTATAAAGCCAGTGACAGTAAGATCCTTATTGTCTAGTAATCCTGGTCTTAGTGAAGACAGTGTCAATTGTCAGCCGACTGTTAAGGGTCATTGCCATCTTGTTTTGTTTGCTGGTTGCGCTGTGAACAAGGGACTGATTTTGTTTGTATATGCAATGCTTTTTACCCCCATCCTGAATTCTTTTGTTCCTTACTAAGATTTGAAGCGATTTGATGAGAAAGAATGCTTGTTAATGACTTAGCCTATTTCTTCTCAATTTTACATGAGCAAGGTCATTGCAGAAAGGAGGTCTAGATGTTGTTAACGTAGAGTAGGGGCTTGGAATGCTAAATAAAACCTGCCCCGCTGTTCCGGTATAGACATGGTATCCCTGTCTACCTCTTCCGTCTGAGGCTAACAATAAACAATCTCACCCTTTTGACCGAGATCTCTCTGGCATACTTTTACAGTATAGTTGTATTTTGGGGATGATTCTGCCATCCTATTGCTGACATCATTGATACGACCAAAATATTGACCACATACCATTATTTATGGTATGTGTACTGATTTGGTCCTAATATCTGTGATCGAAAGCTGCAGATGATCCCATTTTATTGTGAAATGACGTAATTTGTCTGTTATGACAGACTGGTTCCCTCCCTTGGCTCTCTTACACTCCGCTAGAGCTGCGCTCCGCTCCGCTCACAAAGCTGTGTAGCATACACAAAGGGAGCTAACTGATGCTCGTCAGTGAGAGGATACCCGAGAGGAATCACAGAGACAGAGAACCTGTCAAACAACCAACCAACCAACCAGGAGGAAACCTGTCAAGTTGTGACAAATATGTAACTGTTGAGGTTGTCTCCCCTTAACAATACACGGGAAGAGTCGCAACTTCCGTTTGAAATTTTATTTCTTTCAATCATTTGAGGTCTATTAAATTAACGTACAGAACATCTACTTTTTAAAGTGTATCATTCTAGTTAAACAACTGTTAACTGAATAAAACATTTCATTAGAACCAAACTGTATGACACCGTTTTGTTAATCAGCTAGACATTGGTGTAAGAGGATAAAAAAGAACCATACTATCTTATATATATATATATATACACACACACACACACTCTCTTACATATATATAGATATGTAATTATATATTATAAAGGGGTATTCCACACAAGTTAGTATTTTATCACATACTTTTTAGAAGTGTACAAAATTGTCTACTTCTGTTCTTTATGAACATCGTACACCATACTTTACCATTTAAATAAACATATAATACATAATTTGCTGGACAGAATTTCTTTATAGACCTAGCCATATCGATTTGCGTCATAACTGGTTTGCGTTGTAATAAGACGAACAGAATTAAATATTTGTGTAAATTATAAAATCATCAGGAAATAAGCCTACTGATGTATTAAAATTGCAAATCTAGCAGAAATTTTAGTGAACAGCATATATACTTGTGTATTGACCCAATACTCTGTATAAAAACTGATCCGGTGATCCTTCAGTCCGGTTTTTCTGATGCTCTATATTTTGACTGTTGAATTTATATTGGCTGGAACTATTCCCACCAGTTTCGCATGTCCAAACTGACCACAGGAGAGATATTTTGATGCTAAGAATAGCTTTAAAAGTAATCAGAATAAGTTCTTGAGAGGTACAGATCGCCCAGAAATTTTGTAATTTGGATGAGGAATACCCCCGTTTTAAAACATTACCGATGGCAACCAGAGGTTTTAGAGCTTGTGAAACTATAGTTTGAATATGAGTGGTTTACAAATATTCTGAATACGAGCTTTTTGGAAAAAATATATTACAATAAATCTAACCACGCCTCTTTCTTTCTCCCCCCACCCGCCACCCCACCCCCCTCTCACTCTCTCTTTGCCTTTGGTATTACAGGTATCTATATTAACTCCCAACTATAATCCATATATCATGCCAAGGTAGCGAGTCATTAGGGAGTAAACGATTTAAAAGTCTTAGTGTTAGTAAAAAATGTGATAGTGAAATGACTATTATTTGTCACACTACAGACAGTGGCGTAGCAAAACATTTTTAAGAGTGTATGCTTTCAAGAGAGGATCCAAGGGCGAAGCCCCGGTTAAGGGGGTCTAGGGGCGCAGTAAGGTTAAAAAAAAAGTAGGGCAAATATATCTCAATGGAATTCGAGTGTATGTTTAAGCCTCCGACAGATTATCCTACTTTAATTAAGGAAGTATAAGGAATCTGCTTAATGATACACGCACTTGTACTTTTTAAGTGGACCCCGCAAACACCATGTCTCATGATTCAAAGTACTTCGGGTATATCAAATCCAATTTTAAAAAATCGGCATTGCTTTGCCTGGCGTTTTTATTTTTGCAATTGATTTCAATCAAAATCAATTATCCCAGAGTATGTAAATATTGTAACGATCGAAATGATGAGTTCAGAACTTCGCCGGCATGTCGCCTTCTGAATTTCGTGAGATAGCAGTGCTTTTTTGTTTATCTGTGGGAGAACTGATACTTCAGGTTCTTTTCTAACCGGTCTCATTACGTAGGATCATCGTGTAAATATCAGAGGACCCAAACAAACAAAATGCAGTGAGGTCATCAATCTTAATTAAAATTCAATATGCTTTCGTTTGAACGGAGTTACAGGTAGAATGACTGTGCTATTTGTTTACTTGTGAACGTATGTGAGCGTTATACTATGTAGTTTTGTCAACAAAGATGTTATGTTTATTTATGATGCATTTGACAAAGTAGTCAGATATGACGTGACGTGTGAACACCACACCTTGGTGGCGTACAACGATGTTATGATGGTTAACGCCTCATCTGATTACAAAATAAGACGATGTGCATAGGTATGTAGCAGTCACGGGGGTCAAGTTCGAGAGTGTCAAAATAAGGAGACATACGTATTTAATTGATATTTTTTATGTGCACGGATTACAGTGTTTGGCTCAACTGTATTAAAATACATAACATAACATAGTCAAAATTGCTCAAAGAGAAATAAAATATAAAAAAAACAAAGTATGAAATAAAGTGTGTTATTTGGAAAATACCATCTCTAGTTCACAGAATACCTACATAATTATAAATCAGATACTGCATTTTTCAGGTAGTGGAGCATTTAGGAAAATTAATGTGCTCACCATCATATTACAGATGTAATATGCGCAGTTTGTGTTATGTTAGTCATAATACAAACGTTCCTGCCAAACAATTTCTAACTAGAAATAAACTTTCATTAAGTGCCCCAAGCAGCAAACATTTTGATACGCTGACAAAATGTGTGGAGCAGGCGTTTGTACCGTCTACCGAACTTCTGCATTATTCAAAGCACACATCGGACACCTGAACCAAAGGAAGGTAGACTTGTCGTCTTGTCAACAAATCAGGTAAGTGAATAGAGAAAAGCGCATACTTATTTAGTAAATGTGATGTATGACTGCATTATATGAACGATATATCGATACATTTTCTAACAAGTGGTCTATACCAAAGTGTAAAGTACATTCATCTAGTCCTCCACCCCGAAAATAGTTAATTATTGTCGATGTATTGAAATATGAGTCTGCTTTGCCGGGAGAGAGATAGAGAGATGGGGGTTGGGGGTAGGGGTTATATCCGAGTTATAAACCCATATAACCACTTATTGAGTAAGTTATAAACCCACAGAGTCACTTATTGAGTCGGTTATAAAGCCATAGAACCACTTAGCACTTACTAAGTTATTAACCCACAGAGTCACTCATTGAGTTAGGTATAGACCCACAGAGTCACTTATTAAGTTATAAACCCACAAAGTCATTTATTGAGAAAGTTTTAAACCCACAGAGTCACTTATTGAGTTAGCTGTAAAGCCATAGAACCACTTATTGAGTAAGGTGTAAAGCCACAGAAACACTTATTGAGTAAGGTGTAAAGCCACAGAAACACTTATTGAGCAAGGTGAAAAGCCACAGAAACACTTATTGAGTAAGGTGTAAAGCCACAGAAACACTTATTGAGTAAGGTGTAAAGCCACAGAAACACTTATTGAGTAAGGTGTAAAGCTACAGAACCACTTATTGAGTAAGGTGTAAAGCCACAGAAACACTTATTGAGTAAGGTGTAAAGCCACAGAAACACTTATTGAGTAAGGTGTAAAGCCACAGAAACACTTATTGAGTAAGTTATAAACCCAATTACTGAGTCGGTTGGAAACCCACAGAAACACTTATGGAGTTACATTCCTTGATGGCGTCATGCTGACAGCGATCTACACAGCACCTGTCGTACATAATTAACTATGTGCTTTTGTTTGCCGTTGTTAAATGTAAAGCTAAAGTCTCGGTGTTTTAAACATGAATGGTATATGATGATGATGGTGCTTCTTTGCTTCGGATTGGTCACACCAGGAAATTCAGGATAACTTTCAATTCATACTTTCTTGTCCCTTATCACTACTACCAGGGACGAGGACGTGTTATGCATACCTGTTACACCATACTCTCACAAATGTTTAGGGAATATTTTTTCTCTGTATAAAAGGGAGAAAATATCAACAAATAACAATAAAGAAAAGAAAGGATTTTAATTACTACAGCGGTATTTTTAGCACGAGAGAAAATATTAAACAATTGTACTTGTAAACCAGTTTCTGTTCATCATGGTTACAAAACAGTAATGTTCCAACTATTGTTGAACAGGCCATGTCCTGCTAATATCAAAATAAAACGACTGCTATTATAACGTCATCGATGGTACCGATTTTTCATTAGAAATGCTAAGGTGCTATTAATTGTGTTGTTGATGTTGTAGGTGTTCCATGATGATGTGACACGTGACATCTGGATTATTTTTATCGACGTTTAAACTTTATCCGTCTTGATTACAATGAACAGTTTTCTACTCCCATTTTTCATATGTCCCGTCATTTGGGCAAAAATTGTGAAGTTAGAGATCGAAGAGTTTAAGTTAAAGAAGTATGAACCTTGGATTTATCGAGATGATGTGGTCACGAGGTCAGGCGCTTCAGGTCAGTCCTCTGTGCATTTGTTCCAGAATGACGTAATGATTGGAGAGTTCTGTCTACCAGGCTATAGAAAATTTGAGATAGTCAATATGATGTATTCTAATGACGGCCCAACAGATGTTATAAATGTAAGTATCAACCGAAAACACATTGGTACTGCTCAAGCAAAACTGCTAATTGGTGGGAAATCAGGCTGGAATGACTTCCGGTCTACTTGGAACATCGGGAAGCCAATGACGTTACCACCAGGACGCCACACAATCATGTTGAATGTGACTGCATCAGATCGATGGGGCACTGAATTGGACGCGATCCTCTTTAATATCGAAGACGAAGATCTGAGCGACAAAGCATTTCAGTGTGCGTTATTTTGTTTTGAAGACATAAACTACAGTGATATCACAGGTCGACGAGACGACATTCCCAGCGCAAAGTTCGTCCAGTACAGTTCGAGTACGACATGTACAGAGGAAGACAATATCAAGGTCGCCATTTATCACGATACTGCTAGAAAATTGCTTATCACTGCCTCTGGACCAGGGTATAGATCATTTGGAAATTCACGAACGCCAAATTATGAAGGATGTAAAATTACAAATCCATTATGGAGGTTTGGTGACATCAGCGTTGACCCGTCTAGAACCCCAGTGGAATCTTCACGTGCTCTCGTCAGGTTTGCAGGGGAAAATGATAACATAGAGGTCACTGTGACCTTCGCGGCAATAGAACGACTTAGAACGAGAGATTTTAATAATCTTAATGTGGGTACAACATTATATGTAAAATTACGGAATTTAACTACAGTTGTCCAGGTTTTTGCGGCCTATTTAGGACAAAAACGGACGTGGACAAATCTTTCGTGGCAGTCATTTAGTCCTGAAATACTTACAAGGAATTGGTCTATACCTGACTGGTCCTGGTCAAAAGAAAAAGGAAACCTTCTTAAACTGACCTTCGTGCGAACATCAACAGAGGCATCCTTGCCAATAGTCATAGAGGAGATAGGGCTTTCAGAGAGGCAAATGAACCATTCCAAACGTTTCCTATTTGAGAACGAAGAATTCACGCTAGAAGGGGTCGATCTTGATTTTTGGTGGCAGAAAGACAAGAACATGACCGTTTCTATACTTCAGACTGGTGACTGGCACGTAGATATAGACTGTATCAGGATAAACTACAAACAACAATGGAAGGCCGACCTCCGCTCTCAAATATTTGAAATATGCCAGGACGGTCTTGTAAAACTTGCTCCTCCGGCACCTCATGGTCTCGATTGGATTCCGTTCGGTTCATCAATCTTACTCGGTGCTGCAGATCCACGATTACTCCGTCCGTACACTGACATCAAACATATCGACATTGACGCCAGGATGATATCGTTAAATATTCGCTATCGAGACAATTCTTCCCTGTCGCTTTCCCTTAAACCTTCCTATCTAGAAACTCGCCTATTTGTCCAGGACATATTCGTCAGTGGAGAGAAACGGATGGCTCTCCCTCTGATTACATTCTTATCCATGTGGGTGTCAGATGGTAATGCTGACGTAGATCACATTACTATCAATGGCGACTCACCGCGACACATTATACAGCGCTGGGGCACTCTTTACGGAGTGTCGGCTACGTTCTTCCGACAGTGCATTTCGTCTCACAATACGCAGAGTCCAGATATACGAATCGATGTTCTCGGTGATGAGGACGAGGTCATTTTATAAATCTCACGAAATCGATTGTGAGAAACTGACCATGCATATTGTAACTCACTTGGTATCGACCTATCAGTGAAAAGGAGACAATAAAATATAAATCATGTGATAATCATCGGCTTCACAACAAGGAGGGCAATACCGACCACCATCTATCCTTGTACACCGGATATAGCTACTCTAGAAGCGAAACCCAACAAAACACAGCATTGACAAGAAGCAAGATTTTTTTTTTCCTTTTTAATTATCTGACAAAACATTGCTGTCCAAACCCTTGTCTCATCGTTTCAGGAAGGCCTATATTTGCATTGGAAAACTGCTATCCAACGAAAAAGTGTGGGTGTACTTGGAGGTGTGTACCACGGGTTGTGTACGCGGGGTGCACCTGGGGGTGTACCTTTGGAGAGATGATGAAATTGATTTCATTTCATACCAAACATTGAGCCTTCGTTGTCTTCATTTTATATTACCGACATGCATTAACGCCCTATTTTTGTTACCAACGGATATAATAACAGTTCCTGGATTGTGGATACCGTTTAATTGACATGTGTACGGTTCAGAGTAATTGGAAAAATCCGTGTGTACGGATTATAGTATGGTATGTGTACAAGTTATAGTAAGATTCGAACATAGATATTTGGTATGAAACGTGTATATTTAATAATAAAATTTGTTTTGTGTGTGGGTTTTCTTTTCACAATCATAGATGTATAGTGGAGGAAGGATTTGCACACCATATGTCTGTGTACGAGAGCTAGTGTTCGATTCCAAGTGATTTTGAAGTACTGTATGCACAGAAATGATAATTATCAACCAGTCTGTGCCTATATGGTGTAGTAATACATTCACAAGAAAAGATCTATATTTATTTCTCCTAAAATGTTTTGTTATAAATATGATGATACATTAAGTTAAACGGGGAAGCCGTTTGATGTAACATATCTTATCCGTCAAGACTTCAATGAACGTGAGAATAACAGAAAGGTAATTAATTACGACATATCACATAGACTAGTCTTTAATGAGGTATCTGTTATGATCATATGGTAATAAGAGGGGATACTGATTCTTCGTGCATACATACTTAACGATATTTAAAGGTCACATGGGATCCTCTCCTCATACTGATTTTTTTTTCAATTAGGCGTATGAAAAATCCCTACTTGAACTATTTACATACATTCCATGAAACGTAATTATCATAATTTGCCACCACCGATTTGTCGCCTAAGATCAAGAGAAAATAACAAAATATTTTGTTATAAGGAGTATAGTTTAATACGATTTTCACAGACTATAGGCCGTACATATTGTGCCAGTTTATTTACATACCATTGCATTATATTTGCTATATTGTTTTGATGATTCTATGTGATTTTCTCTTTGTGCACAACAGGTGGTTTGAATTATAATCACTAGACAAACATGTCTGATACCCTCCAGCTCCACGATCGCCCGGGCAGGTACACCCCACCTGTTGTGTCAACTTAATTTTACAATGACATTCAAATTTCTCATTTGGTGTTTCCGGTGGAAAGTTTCCTAAACAAAGAGACCGGTACTTGGTCAGTACTGTTTACGTCAGGTAGCAAAAAACAACGATATCTAACCTCATGTCACCGCTATGTCTTTTTTTTTGTTTCACGTTCAGCGTGTAGCCAGATCAGATGTGTCAACGTGTTCAACGCACACACTATCGACTTCTCAGCAAGAAGACGTATGAAGCGAGATAACTCGTATAGGTATTGTGGGAAATATTTCTATTCATTTATAGACTGATGTCTGAACGTATAACATAAATAAAGTATACACGTAAGAAAAAGTTATTTATCCCAATCAAATATGTTTCACAAAAAAGCTAACTCAGTGTTCAGGCATAGATGTTTTAATATAAAAGTTATAAAAGAACAGTAAAAACATAAAAAAAATATTAATATGTCAATCGAAACGAAGACCGTTTGAATATAATACCACAGTGACACTGACCCCACCCCCTATCCTTCACTGTAAAATCAAACATACTGATAAAAGTATTTTCTATCTCGAGAAATAGAGACTATGTAGCATGGATAATGTTTATTAAACCTTTTCCGTGGATCGAATTTTTGTTAATCGATCTGTGAGAATTGTCAGAAGCAGTAAATGAGCATTAATTATGGATAGCACAATACCGAAAATGTTCAAAATCACTCTATACATGGAACCGTTGGGGCATTTTTGGGAGGAAATCTACTGCATAAACTTTTAGTGTGACAAATCATGTCCAAAGGAAAGCGAAGAAGCAAGATATTGATAAAGATTGACAAAAATTAAAAGATGGCGGTAGAAGTAATATAGAAACAAATAAATACAAAATATACTCCGAGTAATTCCGAAAGTATCTGATTGTTACATACCACGGTATAGAGAATGATTAGGATAGACGTAAGAAATGAGACAGTATTGGTAAATCGATCTCGGGGTTCAGATAAACCATCAGATATACTTATTAGTCATTTAATGAGAGGGCGACCATAGGACGATAGTGTGAGAATGTTACCCCCCCCCCCTTACTTGTCATTACATCATTGTCTTCGGACTACTATATCCTCCCCGAATGAGAGTTTAAACACACAATGTCTTTGATTTGTGCTTTGTCAAACCATGAAATGTGTGGACTAGTTATTTGATGGATCATGGGCTATCCTATCTATAGAACACGATGATTAATTAAACCTTAGTATATTTGCCAAACCATACAACGATCCCTGGATTTCTGAAATTTGAGATATGGGGAATAAATGCTATGATAGTCAAATAGTCATATATGCACTATATCTTATACTGTTTGTATATTGTATGGACAAATTACATAACGGATCTTGGACTTCCAATATGTTACTGCATATTGTGGATTAAGTACAATAACTTGAATTCTATACGGTTTCTGGATCGTGTTTAAATCACACACATAATGGACCATTGAACGATATACCACCCATTGATTGTGTAGACTACTTTGATGGCGGACCCTCAAATTTATTGTAGTTCTTCAATCTATACACTGCTATAGTGTGGACTTTTGACTTCAGTTCAAGGATTTCATAAAATGAATTCCAATACTCAACCCAGTTTTGTACTTTCCCGAAATACAGTATAAGAACCGACTACCAGTGACTGTATTATGGTACTAGAACTATTCTTCCCGTCCTGGATTTGCAACAGTGACTGTCTTTGGAAAAGTGAGAGCTAATGTATTTTTGCATATGGTAGGGATTATTTCCAATAGCTGGCAGTTTTGTTTCAATGAACACTCCATAACAGATAAGTCACTTTTTATACATATACTGTTCTATCGCTCAGAGCTTGCATTAGTGGGCTTTTTATTATTGGAATCATAGTAGGCTGTTTGCAGAATTAAATTCGATTGTTTTCTTCTGTTTGCAGAGAAATGAAAGGTTTCGACAGTAACACATCTGTCCTTAACACTTGGCCAAATCAGCCCACACACAAACGTTTGTGTCTTTACCATAGAGTGTCCCAGATGGACATTGGAAGTTGTAAGCGACCCCATTGGCACATTTGATAAAACTTGAACAGTCTGAAGGGTTCGGATAATCTCCGGCAGGGCGCCCAGTGCATGAAAAATCTGCAAATAGAAACTACGATGACATTCAGTTTGTCTATAACGATAATCACATACTAACCCTGACACCATCCGAATATAATTATATCAAACTTTAAATTCTTTGTATTGATTTCATATTTATAGCCTTCAATGAAATCTTTCAATTTGTAACAGCAAGAAAAATCATAGAAGGCAAACCAACGTTGCGTCATTTCTTACCCCCAGGTGGAGCTGTAGTGACCAGTCCGGGTGTAGTCATTCTACCACTTGTGCTGGCACTTGCCGTTGTAGGTAGTCTTGTGTTTACCGGTGCTGCAGTACCTGTTGGTGTTGTAATGACGTCAGAAGGGTCACAATCAGCCAAATACTCCTGTCCGGCAACACAGCGGAAGTACCTGTTACATTGGGCAGGATCCTTGTAATACCCATCGATTTTATCTCTGCACACTGAAATAAAATGCGCAAAAATATTTTTCAGATGAACGTCAAAATTCATATAGACAAAGGCTCTCAGTTAACCTTGTAATGCTATACATTTCACAGTTAACACCTACTATTAATAACGGCTGCAGTTGGAGCCGTTCCCAGACCGGAAGTGGTTATCGGAGCGATATTTGGAGCAATGTCACCCTCAGCAGCAATAAGTTCGTCTTTAATTCTGTTTACCAAGGGGAACCTCCGACTAGACGAGCCGCAGACTTGATTAAAATCATCTAGTGGAAGTGACCACACCATGGCGCCACCATAGCCTTCTTGTATCAGCCATGCCACCTGGAGGGAAACGTATGAAAGCTATTACGATCGGCGTTTAATACATTCCTTTAAAACGCAACACTTAACATACAATCTAAAACTTGATATATTTATTCCAGGTGAATGAAGAGCTTTCCAATATATGCTACGGACACATATCAAGCTTGATTCTATTCACAAATCTGATTCTGAAAACAAGTTTTATTTCTTTCAATTGACTATAACCGATCTATTTCGAATGCAAAGCAATTCTATTCGATATGTTTTAGCATGATTAATTGAAATCCAAAACTTACAAACCAATATGATTTGCAGATATTTCATAAATGAGACACAGTGTTCACGTAACACATAATTCTTTATCCTGTATGATTGCTAGAGAGCCAAATAACAGTTGTTAAATTAACTGTTCACGCTTTTGGTCTGTAATAATCCGAACTATCACCATACCTTTATGGCCAGACTCTGTTCGTCGTCATAACCAACCCATGTCTTGTCGTTCACATAGTAAGGCACGAGCTGTTGACTGTCTCGGTATGTCTTTCCTCCTGATGACGTCATTGTACAAATCTGTAAGGAACACAAGATGTGTTTATGAAACACTATGCCCGCGCTTGCAACAAAATGAAAATCACATTGTGAAAAATTTTGGTACCACTGGAGAGGTCTTGTCACAAGAAACAAACATGCTAAATTATGAAAGTTCTTCCTCTTACGGTGCAATAGTTTATTGACAAAGTTACCATGAAATGATTAGAATTGTAACACCGCGTTTAACATTCTTGTTGTATAATAGACAAAAAAATAAAGTTATGCGTGCTGTTGTCTTTGCAAGACAAATATAGTCAGTTCAATTCATTTTAATCAATTGTCAGTAAGACAGAACTAATATATGACAACTGCTTACAGGTATGGGATTCACCGTAATTAAACATACCTAAGCCGTGACAGATCTCTTGATTACGACCTCTTTAAATCTGAATTTAAGTGAGAGATGCTAATGACCTCGGCGTCTTTTGTACATATGTATAGTTTTACATCAATTGATCTCTGTGAGTTCAATCGGGATCAGTATCTTCTTGCGAAATTATTCAAAAGTTTCAATGTCGGTCATGGTTTTGTTTGGTTTTGTTTGTATTGTTTAAAGTCCTATCACCTGTTATGGTAAAAATCAAGAAGATAACAAAACGACATATCCTACAGATGATGCTGGCAAACAATGAAAGCGAATTAGGGCCATAGAGGCCAGAAAACGTGCGCATCCTCGATTCAGACCACATCCAGCGAGATAACTCGAACGGTTTAGTGAAGTTTCCCGAAATTAGGTCGTCTCGATAGGTCGATCGGGTAAGAAACTTTGTTACATCTATAAATAAATGATAGACAATACTAGTACTATGGATACACCTCAAGCGAACCCGTTCGAGAAAAACTAGATTATGATAAATACAGCAGGACCTGCTTTACAACTATTGAGGAGAAAATAAACGTCTTGGTTGCAGAAATCAGTCACAGTGTAATCATAAGTAACATCAGTTCTACAGAGTTACTATTTCTAGAAATGGTAACCTTACCTCGTAGTAAGAAAGGTATCCAGCTTCCCTGGTGTAACTCCCTGCCGGGTTTGGACCACTGGCTGCTGCTCCGATACCGTGTTCGGCCTTGTCCTTTAGCGTGAAACCTCGTCCATAAGTCGCGAGGCCGATGTTGAGTTTGTGTTTAGGAGCTCCCAGTCCTACCCAATAGTCTGCGACCCATTTCTGTCACGTAGAGAAGACGGTATATAAATAAGTAACTAACCTTGGAGACTGGTAGTCAATCACCTACTGTGGCCAACCCTGGAGATTGGTAGCCCATCACCTACTATGGCCCACCTTGGAGATTGGTAGCCAATCACCTACTATGGCCAACCCTGGAGATTGGTAGCCCATCACCTACTATGGCCAACCTTGGAGATTGGTAGCCCATCACCTACTATGGCCAACCTTGGAGATTGGTAGCCCATCACCTACTATGGCCAACCTTGGATACTGGTAGCCCATCACCTACTATGGCCAACCTTGGATACTGGTAGCCCATCACCTACTATGGCCAACCTTGGAGACTGGTAGCCCATCACCTACTATGGCCAACCCTGGAGATTGGTAGCCCATCACCTACTATGGCCAACCTTGGAGATTGGTAGCCCATCACCTACTATGGCCAACCTTGGAGATTGGTAGCCCATCACCTACTATGGCCAACCTTGGAGACTGGTAGCCCATCAGCTACTATGGCCAACCTTGGAGATTGGTAGCCCATCACCTACTGTGGCCAACCTTGGAGATTGGTAGCCCATCACCTACTATGGCCAACCTTGGAGACTGGTAGCCCATCACCTACTATGGCCAACCTTGGAGACTGGTAGCCCATCAGCTACTATGGCCAACCTTGGATACTGGTAGCCCATCAGCTACTATGGCCAACCTTGGATACTGGTAGCCCATCAGCTACTATGGCCAACTTTGGAGACTGTTAGCCCATCACCTACTATGGCCAACCTTGGAGACTGGTAACCCATCAGCTACTATGGCCAACCTTGGAGATTGGTAGCCCATCACCTACTATGGCCAACCTTGGAGACTGGTAGCCCATCACCTACTATGGCCAACCTTGGAGACTGGTAGCCCATCACCTACTATGGCCAACCTTGGAGACTGGTAGCCCATCAGCTACTATGGCCAACCTTGGAGACTGGTAGCCCATCAGCTACTATTTCCAACCTTGGAGACTGGTAGCCCATCACCTACTATGGCCAACCTTGGATACTGGTAGCCCATCACCTACTATGGCCAACCTTGGAGACTGGTAGCCCATCAGCTACTATGGCCAACCTTGGATACTGGTAGCCCATCAGCTACTATGGCCAACCTTGGAGAATGGTAGCCCATCACCTACTATGGCCAACCTTGGAGACTGGTAGGGCCAACCTTGCCCCATCACTATGGCCAACCTTGGACTGGTAGCCCATGGCCATGGCCAACCTTGGAGATTGGTAGCCCATCACCTACTAAGGACAACCTTGGAGACTGGTAGCCCATCACTGGTAGCCCATCACCTAGACTGGTAGCCCCAACCTTGGCTACTATGGCCAACCTTGGAGATTGGTAGCCCATCACCTACTGTGGCCAACCTTGGAGATTGGTAGCCCATCACCTACTATGGCCAACCTTGGAGACTGGTAGCCCATCAGCTACTATGGCCAACCTTGGAGACTGGTAGCCCATCAGCTACTATGGCCAACCTTGGAGACTGGTAGCCCATCAGCTACTATGGCCAACCTTGGAGACTGGTAGCCCATCAGCTACTATGGCCAACCTTGGATACTGGTAGCCCATCAGCTACTATGGCCAACTTTGGAGACTGTTAGCCCATCACCTACTATGGCCAACCTTGGAGACTGGTAGCCCATCACCTACTATGGCCAACCTTGGAGACTGGTATGGCCAACCTTGGAGACTGGTAGCCCATCACTACTATGGCCATTGGCCCCATCAGCTACCTTGGAACCTTGGCCAACCTTGGATTGGTAGCCCATCACCTACTATGGCCAACCTTGGAGACTGGTAGCCCATCAGCTACTATGGCCAACCTTGGAGACTGGTAGCCCATCACCTACTATGGCCAACCTTGGAGACTGGTAGCCCATCACCTACTATGGCCAACCTTGGAGACTGGTAGCCCATCACCTACTATGGCCAACCTTGGAGACTGGTAGCCCATCAGCTACTATGGCCAACCTTGGAGACTGGTAGACTGGTAGCCCATCAGCTACTATTTCCAACCTTGGAGACTGGTAGCCCATCAGCTACTATGGCCAACCTTGGAGACTGGTAGCCCATCAGCTACTATGGCCAACCTTGGATACTGGTAGCCCATCAGCTAGGTAGCCCATCAGCTACTAACCTTGGCCAACCTTGGAACCTTGACTGGTAGCCCATCAGCTACTATGGCCAACCTTGGAGACTGGTAGCCCATCAGCTACTATGGCCAACCTTGGAGACTGGTAGCCCATCAGCTACTATGGCCAACCTTGGAGATTGGTAGCCCATCACCTACTATGGCCAACCTTGGAGACTGGTAGCCCATCAGCTACTATTTCCAACCTTGGAGACTGGTAGCCCATCAGCTACTATTTCCAACCTTGGAGACTGGTAGCCCATCAGCTACTATGGCCAACCTTGGAGACTGGTAGCCCATCACCTACTATGGCCAACCTTGGAGATTGGTAGCCCATCACCTACTATGGCCAACCTTGGAGATTGGTAGCCCATCACCTACTATGGCCAACCTTGGAGATTGGTAGCCCATCACCTACTATGGCCAACCTTGGAGATTGGTAGCCAATCACCTACTATGGCCAACCTTGGAGATTGGTAGCCCGTCACCTACTGTGGCCAACCTTGGAGATTGGTAGCCCATCACCTACTATGGCCAACCTTGGAGACTGGTAGCCCATCACCTACTATGGCCAACCTTGGAGATTGTTAGCCCATCACCTACTGTGGCCAACCTTGGAGACTGGTAGCCCATCACCTACTGTGGCCAACCTTGGAGATTGGTAGCCCATCACCTACTATGGCCAACCTTGGATACTGGTAGCCCATCAGCTACTATTTCCAACCTTGGAGACTGGTAGCCCATCAGCTACTATGGCCAACCTTGGATACTGGTAGCCCATCAGCTACTATGGCGAATCTTGGAGACTGGTAGCCCATCAGCTACTATGGCCAACCTTGGAGATTGGTAGCCCATCAGCTACTATGGCCAACCTTGGATACTGTAGCCAATCACTTACTATGGCCAACCTCGGAGATTGGTAGTCCATCAGCTACCAACCTTGAAGATTGAAAGCCAATCAGTTACTATCTTGGATACTGGTTGCTCATCAGCTACTGAGAACAGCCTTGGAGATTGGTAGCCCATCAGCTACCAACCTTGAAAATTGAAAGCCAATCAGTCATTACCTTAGAGACTGGTAGCCCATAAGCTACTATAGCCAACCTTCACCTGAGAGGAAAGCTCCACTAGCTAGCTACAAGGTTAGTCAACACCAGCAGAGCATCTACATTGTATTTTATACGATTGAAATCCTACAATAAGTTTAATACTTTTTTCGTGTCTTGCAGTCTTAGCAAATGTTAACCTATGCGAATGTCAAAGATGAAAATCACCGCTTTATTGCGCCTAGGATAATAGGTCTAACGTACCATATTGAGTTGTCGTTCTTTACCCGTCTCAGAATTTCTTGGAAATAATGGGCTGTTGTGACCAGTTACTTGTTCCCAACTTCCATGGAGGTCATAGGTCATGATGCTGATGAAGTCCAAATACCTGTACATAAATATACAATTAAGACAATTTTGAATACATTCTGATCTGTGTTGTAGCACTACTGAACTATACAGCGACATTTTCTTCCCTTCTGAACTTTAAAATAGCTGTATAATATAGTTTTATTTATGATTAACTCAATTTTGATATCTGTACATTAGTATTTTCTTCTAAACGTATAGAATGTTAACTGTTAAATTCAATACATAATAGTATAGAATGAGAAAAAGAATACCTGATTCTTGTACTCTGAACAAATGTTAACACGGCTAAATTTGGGTAATTTGTTGTTGGTTTTTATAATAATAATAATAAACTTTATTTATTTTATGAGGATTAAAGTACCTGTTTAGCCGAGGCTGATCTTCCACAGGGTCCTCTTGTTAGTAAAACATTGTTAAAATACATACATACTGATATAGTAATGTGTGAAAATTTGGATAGAGTAAAACATTACTGGTATTAGAAAGCATATTTAAAAACTAGTTCGTTTAGAGTTCAAACAATAGCACACTTAGGTTTTGTTTGAATACCGAAAAAGATGTTTCAGTTTTGATTTCATTTGGAAGTTTGTTCCATTCCTGACCAGATACATAAAAATGTTTCGAATGATAAGTAGTCCTGTGTTTGTGAATTAATCCGTTTTACTAGATACGTGCATTGTAGGCCGCTGATGAACATTTCCATCCAAAATAAAATCACTGGAAAGCTATTGTGGTAATATACCATTCACATGTCATAATTTACTTTTTGAACTTAAAAAATTAAATATTTTTGAATTGGCATCGATATAAAATTTTCAAACATTTCTGCTGAAGGAGCATCATGATTTCTCTAAAATCAATCTGGCAGCACACTTTTGAGCTTTTGACAGTTTGTCTAGAGAAACTTCTGTACTTCTAGACCAGTACATGAAATGAGGAAAAACACAAGCATTGTTAAATTTCAAGCGGCTTTCTTTTAGTAAAAATTGGTGGATTTGCCAGAGTCATCCTAAACCTCGGTTTATTTTGGAAACAAGTGAGGAAATTGGCCGGCCGGGATAAATTGCATCAATTTTAGTATCAAGTATTTTTTTTCTCATTTTAACTGGGACACATGTAAAAGTACAACCCCAACTAGTATAGTATTAACAAAATTCTTCAATTTTTCTAATGTACAATTTGTATTTCTTAAACATGATGTTGATTTACCGGCATTCGCAGTAAAATAACTGTTGAATTGAATTGATATCTCATTTTATTATAGATACAAATTGTATTTTCATTTTCAACCTGAATCGTTATGGGTGTAAGATCACGCATTCATTTCAAGAGTTAACTAGGGTTATCCAAATCGTTTTCAATACCATTTTTACAGTACCTGACTTTTGCCTCCCTTATCAACTTGCCAACATTGTTACGCTGTGTTCTATATGTGCTAAGTTCACCGTCACGTTTCAATTTGTCTCTCAACTGCATGTTTTCTAAACTATCATCATCCAACCATTCTGATTGTTTTGGCTGTTTTACTCGCCTTTGAAGAATAGTCGCATGTTCATCTACTACATTGAAAATATCCATGCGTCTAATGTATCGTCTTCCAAAAATGCCATTTCTTCAAAGTTTTAAAAAGATCTTTAATTAATGCTATTGTGTGAAACAGTTCCAAATGAACTTTTCATCTTTGGAAATCATTTTAAAACGACACTACATAATTTTCTGTAACTTGACAAGATTGAAATTCAACTCTAAATTATATAGAAATTTAACTAAAACTGAATGGGAATTTCAACCTGAATGAAACTTACATAGCCATTGCTGTTGTATCATACGCAAGGTCAATATTGTCCTTCCCGGCAGCCACTGCGGCCGTCACCAAGAGGCGCTCTTTGCCGGTCTGTTGGGCCTCATTTTCGTATGCTTGGCGAAGCTCCTGTGGAGGACAGATAAAACTTTTTATCGTTTTAAACGGAATAGAATCGTGCTGCTAATTAAATAACTGGTAGTGTTAGTAGCAGTTAGTACACTGCAGCATTTCCTCCTGAAGGCAGGTTTACTCATTCACACTTGGTATCGGTTTAATTGACCCGAGGCTGACCGATACAATCAAACCTGGATTGTAAATATTCGGAGATCTCTTTCGTACTGAGGTAATATACGGCCATATTGTCTGATTATATCGCTCGATGTCTGGTGATTTCCGTGACCTGTGTCCGGAGGCCGTAATGTAGATATACATACATATAGGTTATATTCGTCATATTGTTAGCTGGGACTAGACAGCTGTTGAAAATTTTACGTTCTACAAATATTTTGAGGTATTTCCTTAAGCTTACAAATTAGCGTTTTGTTTTTTACCAACCCCCCCTCCCCCACCCCCTCTTACAATTTCAAATCTGTGACGTAACCGCATGGCGTACAAAGTGAAACTTATAGAATGTGACAATGTGACGATGTTCTACAACTGACTTACTTTACACAAAATGGCGAAGTTGGTTTTATCCGAAACCTTTCCTCCCCTGGTGCCTGGGTACTCCCAGTCGAGGTCAAGGCCGTCGAATCCATGTGTCCGGAGGAAGGTGATAGAAGTGGAGACGAACTTCGCCCTGGACGTTGGGTCCGACACCATTGGTGAGAAGTGTGTACTGGCTTGATTCCATCCTCCCACAGCCAGTAAAGTCTTCAGGCTCGGGTTCTTTAGCTTGAGGGCATTAAATTCTTGGTACCTACATACATGAAACACGGTCAATATTCAACGGGCAATACTTTATGAGGGCTGTTCAATTGTGAAGAAAATGGCAGAAATGTTTCTAAAAAAATTATATTGGTATATGAGGACTAATGATGTATTTTTGGAATACCAAGGAACGTTCTGCACTTCGTTGTGCGGTTGTGTCTATCTTCACTCCGATTTGTCAAGGGGATGGCGGACGGATGCGGATGATGGCGCAAATCGCCTAAACATAAGGTCACTTGGCTGAACCATGTAGGCACGCAGTACTTACATTTGATCGTCATTCCACTCGTAAGTGGCGAGCTGGTTATTAGTGATCTGGGCGAAGGAGTAGATCAGGTGGGTACAGAGGCTGGCATCTATGTTCTTTGGCATGAACTTGCCCAGTCCGGGTCGATATTGGGACCAATTGGTATGGTAACACACCCGGCGGTACCCTGCTTGGGCTGATTAGAAACAAAAAGAGTTCTGTTTCTTTGACTTTGTTTCACATGCATATTTGATTATTTAGAGAAGTAATTGCCATGTCGTAATTCATCAGGTTTTAATTGAAAACAATTAAATAAATACGCTAACAATTCAGAACGACAAACTTCATGTAAATGAATAAAAAAGATGCCATTCACAGTCGAGTGACATTTATGTTAACATTCAAAATTAAGTTTCTGAATTAAAGCCAGTGAAATATCCTGTTTATAAGTAGATTGTCAGACTTACCGTGGTGTGATAAAAGGACAGCGACGGTGACTAGGATTGTTTTAACTGTCATGGTGACTGTCCGAATTCACACGACTTAATGACCGTCATCCCACCACTGGTCATGTGTACACTGCCCGACCTTCCGGAAACACTGAGATCATCGCCGTGCGGCCGATGTCGTAAAGGCACTCAAAGGGTTATTTAGAAGGCTTATAAGCATGGACTTTTTGGAAACTTGCCGAGACAACCTTGTTGAAAAAAGAATCTTTGAGAGTGTACTTTGATCTTTGATCAGTGTGTGAACGATTTCCGCGTACCGGTGTGTGTTCGTGTTTAGGTGACCGACTATGTATATTTTAGGTGTACCACTATGTATATGCTAGGTGTACCACTATGTATATTATAGGAGTACCACTATGTATATTATTGGTGTACCACTATGTATATTTAAGGTGTACCGTGTACCACTGTGTATATTTTAGAAGTACCACTATGTATATTATAGGAGTACCACTATGTAAATTATAGGAATACCACTATGTAAATTATAGGAGTACCACTATGTATATTTTAGAAGTACCACTATGTATATTATAAGAGTACCACTATGTGTATTATAGGTGTACCACTATGTATATTTTAGGGGTAACACTATGTAAATTATAGGAGTACCACTATGTATATTATAGGAGTACCACTATGTATATATTAGGTGTACCACTATGTATATTTTAGGTGTGCCACTATGTATATTTTAGGGGTAACACTATGTAAATTATAGGAGTACCACAATGTATATTATAGGAGTACCACTATGTATATATTAGGTGTACCACTATGTATATTTTAGGTGTACCACTATGTATATTTATGAGTACCACTATGTATATGCTAGGAGTACCACTATGCATATTTTAGGTGTGCCACTATGTATATTATAGGAGTACCATTATGTGTATTATAGGTGTACCACTATGTAAATTATAGGAGTACCACTATGTATATTATAGATGTACCACTTTGTATATTATAGGAGTACCACTATGTATATATTAGGTGTACCACTATGTATATTTTAGGTGTACCACTATGTATATGCTAGGAGTACCACTATGTATATTTATGAGTACCACTATGTATATGCTAGGAGTACCACTATGCATATTTTAGGTGTGCCACTATGTATATTATAGGAGTACCACTATGTATATTTTAGAAGTACCACTATGTATATTTTAGGTGTACCACTATGTATATTTTAGGAGTACCACTATGTATATATTAGGTGTACCACTATGTATATCACTATGTATACTATAGGATTAATCACTATGCATACTATAGGAGTACCACTATGCATACTATAGGAGTACCACTATGTATATTATAGGTGCACCACTATGTATATTTTGGAAGTACTACTAAGTATATTTTAGGAGCAGTAGTGTGTATATTATCATTATACCAATGTTTGTGTTAGATTTACCAATATGCTGTCATAGCTAGCATCACTCAAGTTAATCAAATAACAATGACGCAGACGTGTTTTTAAAATCGTAAACTTTATTCAGACTTCAAAATTGTAAATGTCATGTATCTATATGTAAAGTTTCAAGATATCGACATTAAATTAAAATTTAAATTAATATTAAATGAAATACAAACACCAAAAGGAGAATACAACCAACCCACTTCTACGTAAGGCAAGGACATACTAACATGTACTGGCAAGTATATACGTGTATATTCAACACAAAGTCGTTATATGGGATATTTCCACTTCCTGGCGAATGGGGACATGGCCAAAGACATGCCATACACATGTACTAACATTTGGCCTCATGGGCCCAGACACACAAATGCATCTCCTTGTCATAAAGTGTCCCTGCAGGACAGGAGACAACAAGAATGTTACCGTTGGCACATTTAATAAACTTTGAGCAATCAGTGGGATGTGAATAATGTCCGGCTGGTCGGCCATCACAGAAAGCTGAAAAGAAAAAAAAATCAACTGTAAATTATTTTGTAAGAAAGTGCGACATTTCTAACGAGACACAATTCACAAAACTACAAATGAATCGATACAATTAGCCATGTAAGTTACATAATGACATACTAAGATATTAACGCAGAGTCCATCATAAAAATATGGGCCTACTTACCTCCAGGTGCCGTGGTCGTGACCGGGCTTGTTGTTACTGGTGGTGGTTTGGTGGCACACTGGGCGTTGCTGTGTTCTTGCCCGCCGATACACCGGAAGTAGCGTTCACAACGTGCAGGGTCCTGGTAATAACCATCGGCTTTACCACTGCACACTGAAAATCGAAATGTGTAAATACAAATATTGGTACACAATAACTGAACTATGTTAATCACATTTACACAAAATGATACCTACAGTCTTTTGTCGGAGACGCTGTTGTTACGGGGCCGACTGTGGTGACAGGTACATTCGTTGGCTGGACTGTAGTGACGGGTACCGTCTGTGGTGCGGCTGTGGAAACCGGGGCATGAGTTGGAATAATGCCATTCTCAGCAGCGATGAGTTGGTCTTTGATTCTGTTTACCAAAGGGAACTTCCGGCTAGACGATTCGCAGACTTGATTGAAGTCATCCAATGGAAGTGCCCATACCATGGCGCCACCAAAGCCCTCCTGTACCAGCCAGGCCACCTGGTATAAAAGATTATTTTTTACACTTGAATACAAGTGGTTATGATTGTGTTTATACATAAGTGTATGTTTATTTCCAGTATTAATGCTTATTAAGTTCTTTTTGCGTTATGCGCCTATAACACAAGGAAACGGAGTTAACGTACAAAGATTCCATGCTTTCATACCCAGATGTTGTTTGCATTGTGGCGTATATAACCATATATTTACAGCTATTGATCAGAGGACAAACGTAAAAGAAAAATAAAAATAAAAAAACGAATTTCGTCATACTTTTGTGGAAAGGCTCTGTTCGTCGTCATAACCAACCCATGTCTTGTCGTTCACATAGTAAGGCACGAGTTGTTCACTGTCTCGGTATGTCTTTCCTCCTGATGACGTCATTGTACATATCTGTTGAAAATACATTCGATCATTAAGGTAAAATCCCGAACTCGCTGAACAAAGTTGGATGCAGTCATAATTAATTTATTGTAAGTATGAAATTTTAGTGAAAAGTAAAGCATACCTCATAGTAAGACATGTATCCACTTTCTCGTGTGTAAGTTCCGGTCGGACTCGGACCACTGACCGGTGCCCCCATACCATAGCTAGACTGGTCCTGTAATGTGAAGCCTCGTCCGTACGTTGCCAGACCGATGTTAAGCTTTGCTTTTGGAGCTCCGAGTCCAACCCAGTAGTCAGATGCCCAGGCCTAACAGAAAGTGAATTAATTCATGTAACTTGGTAATGTCGATAATTTCTATCAGGATGTGGATTTCTACAGGTAATCCAGCATTTGTATGTACATACCATATTTAATTCTCTTTGTGTTCCTGTCTCAGAACTCCTCGGAAACAACGGACTGTTGTGACCTGTTACCTGTTCCCAACTTCCGTGGAGGTCATAGGTCATGATGCTTATGAAGTCCAGATACCTGGCAGAAAAGAAGAATTGATAAGATACGATTATTAAATCTGCATATCACTTATAAATGATTTTATAGTTTTAAAAACACCATCACCATTATACGTAAAGAATGTAATCCATACATGGCCATGGTGGGCACATCGTAGGCGGGATCAATGTTGTCCTTTCCGGCAGCAACAGCAGCTGTTACCAACAGCCGCTCTCTTCCTGTGTTTCTAGCTTCGACTTCATAGGCTTGGCGTAATTCCTGTGAATACGAACATCTAGTGTTGATTCATATACAACTCGGAATGTTGAAGAAGATATCGCCCGCAGATTAAACTCTACAACGTAATGTCTCTGTGTTTAAGTAGGTATGAAGTCGCAACCAATAGCCATTATACATTACAACTGACAAATCTTTGTCAGGAGAGCTATTGAAAACAGCTATTTCTGATAAATAATGGTCATTTATGATTTACGATCGTGGTGAAACTTCACATGTATTGTAAAATACTGCAGAATGAGATACAATTTCAGATATATAAAATCGTGTTTCTTTTTTTGCGGCCTTGGAAAACAAGGTGGGTTTCAACAATTTTCCAGTTTGTAATATGTTCGAAAGAAGCACTTATTTATCAACCATCCTAAAAATGGGTTTTACAGCCAGAGATGATGGATTGCAATATCTAACCATTGAACGGTCGTAAGATTGCATTTATTATCAATATAATTGCAGTTATATTTCTGGGTAACAGATAAATAAAACGATATCCGTTAATCTTCGTAAATCTACAATGCGTGTAGTCACAGGCAACGTGTTAAGCGCAGGCATAACGTAGATCAACATGGCGCCTAAATGACGTCATTTTAATGGCTTGTGATCTGGAATGTATCCTTACTCCTGCGTTACCGACGAGTTAATGGGAGGGAATATTCTAATACGTAGACATAACAGATTGACCTACAAAACAACCTGATACTCCGAGCGTGTCTTATTTTATCTAGATGAAGTTCAACTGACGTGGCGTATATTGTACAAATGTGTGAAAAGAAGTCAATCGCGCTTTAAAAAAATACAATCCTATCAGTGTTTGAGTTGAAAATTGTCTTGATATTTTTTATAGAAACACAATACATTATTCATTAGAAAATCATTTTTTCTGGGTTATTTGTTGTGTGAGGTGTTTGTGAGGCAATATCCTCTCCGGGTTAGTATCTGGCAGTGTGTCTAAAATTAAAATGGACTTACTTTGCAGAGAATGGCGAAATTGACTTTATCTGAAATCTTTCCTCCCCTGGTGCCTGGGTACTCCCAGTCGAGGTCAAGGCCGTCGAATCCATGTGTCCGGAGGAAGGTGATAGAAGTGGAGACGAACTTCGCCCTGGACGTTGGGTCCGACACCATTGGTGAGAAGTGTGTACTGGCTTGATTCCATCCTCCCACAGCCAGTAAAGTCTTCAGGCTCGGGTTCTTTAGCTTGAGGGCATTAAATTCTTGGTACCTAAACAATACAGATAAATAACACAGCATTTTAGTGACAATCAGGCAAAAGATTTTAATGATAGATTTGTTTACATGCGAATGCATAGAAAAAGGAAAAATATACTTACATTTGATCGTCATTCCACTCATATGTGGCGAGCTGGTTATTAGTGATCTGGGCGAAGGAGTAGATCAGGTGGGTACAGAGACTGGCATCTATGTTGTCAATCTTAAACTTGCCCAATCCGGGTCGATATTGGGACCAGTTGGTATGGTAACACACCCGTCGGTACCCTGCCTGGGCTGATATAAAGAATAACAAACTTGCTACTAAACATTTTCAACTTTAGAGTACATTTCGATCAGGCACTGAGCTGTGAAGACAAAGTTCTGTTGAAGGTCGGCTTATAGATTATTGGTTTCAATAGGTTAAGATTACCTTGTTATCTCGAATCGGGAGATTGACTTTAAATCAAACGTACTTCGTCCGGACTATAATCGTACTTCATGGCACGTAACTAACAAGTTACCACTCGGAAGGCTCAAAATACTGCTTCAACGAAGATTCATAACGAATGATGACGTATAATAATGGAAACTTACCGTGATGTAAGAGGAGGATGGTGACGTAGACTTACCGTGATGTAAGAGGAGGATGGTGACGTAGACTTACCGTGATGTAAGAGGAGGATGGTGACGTAGACTTACCGTGATGTAAGAGGCACAGGCACTCGAGGCCAGGATATTATTTTTTAAACATTGATTGAAAGTTGATGCATTCTGTATAATCCCTTACCATGATATTGTATCCGAGTTGGCAAATGTGGACTTTCTTTGCCCAGCCATTATTTTTCTATCCCCGCAAATGTATTTGTAGAAATAAAAATATCTATTTTGAAGTTACGCGCGTAATGACATCCGAACCTTTCTTACCTGTTCACTGGTATAGTGCTATCCGGAACTCCTCTCCCAAAAAGTCGGAGTGACCGCCCTTGAAATGGCATGTTACTTCCGTCAAAGATAATTACATGGACGATAAAATCTCCGGTTATTGAGATATTAATCTCATGTACGTATTGGGAATTTCTCGTTGCCTGTAATGTTATGCACCAAATAAAAGGTAAATATACACACTACCTACGGATACATATTGTTTTACAAGGAACTTATCATAACTACTTTTTTTTGAGCCAGTTTCCAAGCGAGGGGTCGATTTTTTAAAATCTGGAGTTGCTTGCCTTGTGTATTTTTAATGACCGTGGACCTCGGATTTGTCAACCGGCACATAAACTTGAATTCTGCTGATATTTCGTTTAAATAACGTCAGTCATGAGTGCTAAAACAAAAATCAATGTTTAAAAAATAATATCCTGGCCTCGAGTGCCTGTGCTCAATAACCGGAGATTTTTATCGTCCATGTAAATATCTTTGACGGAAGTAACATGCCATTTCAAGGGCGGTCACTCCGATTTTTTGGGAGAGGAGTTCCGGATAGCACTATACCAGTGAACAGGTAAGAAAGGTTCCCATGTCATTACGCGCGTAACTTCAAAATAGATATTTTTATTTCTACAAATACATTGGCGTAGATGGAAAAATAATGGCTGGGCAAAGAAAGTCCACGTTTGCCAACTCGGATACAATATCATGGTAAGGGATTATACAGAATGCATCAACTTTCAATCAAGCTAGCGGTAATGAGAATTTTTTTTCAAAAAAAAAAAAAAAAAATAAGAAAAAAATCACGTAGACTTACCGTGATGTAAGAGGAGGAGGATGGTGACGTAGACTTACCGTGATGTAAGAGGAGGACGGTGACGTAGACTTACCGTGATGTAAGAGGAGGATGGTGACGTAGACTTACCGTGAGGTAAGAGGAGGATGGTGACGTAGACTTACCGTGATGTAAGAGGAGGATGGTGACATAGACTTACCGTGATGTAAGAGGAGGATGGTGACGGAGACTTACCGTGATGTAAGAGGAGGAGAATGGCGACGTAAACTTACAGTGATGTAAGAGGAGGATGATGGTGACGTAGACTTACCGTGATGTAAGAGGAGGATGGTGACGGAGACTTACCGTGATGTAAGAGGAGGATGATGGCGACGTAGACTTACCGTGATGTAAGAGGAGGATGATGGTGACGTAGACTTACCGTGATGTAAGAGGAGGATGATGATGACGTAGACTTACCGTGGTGTAAGAGGAGGAGGACGGTAACGTAGACTTACCGTGATGTAGGAGGAGGAGGACGGTGACGTAGACTTACCGTGATGTAAGAGGAGGAGGATGGTGACGTAGACTTACCGTGATGTAAGAGGAGGATGGTGACGTAGACTTACCGTGATGTAAGAGGAGGATGGTGACGTAGACTTACCGTGATGTAAGAGGAGGGTGGTGACGGAGACTTACCGTGATGTAAGAGGAGGAGGATGGCGACGTAAACTTACCGTGATGTAAGAGGAGGATGATGGTGACGTAGACTTACCGTGATGTAAGAGGAGGATGGTGACGTAGACTTACCGTGATGTAAGAGGAGGATGGTGACGGAGACTTACCGTGATGTAAGAGGAGGAGGATGGCGACGTAAACTTACCGTGATGTAAGAGGAGGATGATGGTGACGTAGACTTACCGTGATGTAAGAGGAGGATGATGATGACGTAGACTTACCGTGGTGTAAGAGTAGGAGGACGGTGACGTAGACTTACCGTGATGTAAGAGGAGGAGGACGGTAACGGAGATGAGAATGAGCTTGACCGACATGTCGATGATCCAGAGTTACACGAGATATATATGATCGTCCTGTCAGAAAACCACATATTTATACTGCTTTCCTTCCGGAGTTAACATGGTCTATGTGGGTTATTTCGTCATCAGGAAAAGGGATGGAACATCACACCAGATGATAACGTCAGCCCTCCAGCAATAATTTGCTAATGAAATTGAACTCCCGCCGAATTGTATGGTAACAGGTGTTGTTTGTTTCAGTTACATGTTAATTTTGAACATGAAAATTACAAAACATGTCGATTTGTCGAGAAATCTTCCTCCAAAAATGTTGATGAGAACGCAAAATAACTAGCGGTCAGCGGGCAGTAAAACGGGCTTCGTCTTTGAAAGTCGAGGCATATGAACCGAACGCGGAGGTGAGGTGATCAACGTATTACCTTACTGGTAAATAAAGATAGTTTTAAATGTTATTAAAAATAGCAATATGGAGTAAACATCCCATAAAACCTATTACCACAGTTGTCGTGTATCACCTATGTAAATGGACGATCAAGTTCGTGTTTATAACACGATCTTTTCTATAAAATTACAATTACCCTTTATGAACAATTATATTGGTATGTAGGCCTGGAATTCACTTCTCGATCACTGAAGAAATTAACAATTTAATTTTACATATTTCCTGACGTATGCCGACAAGTTTAATTATACCTACAGAGAGACCAACTTCACCAGTTAATCTGTCGATATCTGGATTCTCTCTGATTGTTGCGATGTATATGTCGAAATTTCGAGCCCTGGTGTAAATGTATCTATGGTAAATCAATGATAATTACCAACAATTCATCTCACGCAGTGGGCATCAGGGTCGTGGTATCTTTCTGTCCATTTCATGGTTTTATTTGAAGTTACATACTTTCATTTTTTGGGTTATTAAACTGTCCATTTCATAAAATACATTTGTATAAATATTGGTGAGATTATTATACCATAAATCAGAGTTTTGAGTGCGGCGTGCCGAGAAAAATAACTTATGTTTTGACTCGCACCGTCATCTATCGAAGTACGTCAGCTGTGTACAGCATGTTGCCATGTTTCTAACTATACATGCAGATTATGCATAGTGTATCGCCCATTGCACCTTTACATATCGTGACCTTGTGGTGGATCAGATCGCTTTAATGGCGTTTTGTTTACGTGTGCAATGCGCGCCCCTCCCTACACGACTAATAACACGACCCTCGGATACTACGTCTACCTTATCGTGACCGATGATGAGACGATTTACATATAGATCTACAGCTAATCAGCCCACATGCGTGACGAGATGACATATATATATTACAAATAACAATAAAAATGATGATAATGATAATAGTCTGTGTTTTCCGTTTACTCATAATACTTCTTTGAATTTTCAAGAGAGCGTCAGCACAGATATTTTTAAACCAACTATAATAGAGTTTATCTATTTATTCGCCATTAATTATTGTATATCAAATTAAATAACACAACAGGTTCTTAATTTTTAAGAGAAATCTTTGATTCAAGAGGACACTGTACATTGATCTATATTTGGAAAAGGATGACGACTGTGTGTGACTTGTAAGTAATACACATCACTCTGTTGTGTATATGGAGAACTGTAATTAACAAAATGACAAGTAGACTTTCTATTGGCATGTATCTCAAGATAAGTGCTATGCGTTAGTGCAAGTGAGTAACCACGTATGTGTATTTACAAAATAACAGCTGCCAAGCTCCGCCTCTCACCGATAAGAGGTTCGGAAAAGCCGTAGTTAATTGGACATGTTTTCGAATTACGACTGTGGAAAACACGGACTAACACGGATATATATATACTCAACAAAAAAGGAAAGGTTAACATGTTTCCTTGGTGAATACCTGTAAATGAGTGAAAACAAACTGACGTTTGTGCAATATTAGAAAATGGTAATGTTTTACATTACAAAATAAAAGGGGTTTACCAAAATCATTCAAGCGTGAAAGTCTGTATTAGCGAAAGAGTTGCACGAGGTTTTCTGCGACTAACTTGTATCTTCGCTTGAATTTCATAAACATTCAAACTGACAACTGTTCCTTAGATCCTTAGAACTTAGAAATCACCTAATCTTGCTATCTTTCAACTTTATCATTATGCCGCGGCAGTCACAAGTACAGCGAGAAAGGGCTGTAGGCATGATCCAGGCTGGAGAGTCTCGCCGTCGAGTTGCACGGCATTTTGGTTGCAGTGTTAAGACAATTTGCCAGTTGGTAAGTCGTTTAAACCAAACTGGGTCAACATCCGATCGTCCCCGAAGCGGCCCACCCGTAAAACGACCGCCAGGGATGACCGTCGTATACGATTGATACACAATCGATTCGTAACCGCACTAGAGACTACAAGGACATTGTTAGGGCGTCGTGTGTCTGCCCAAACAGTCCGCAACAGGTTGAGGGCCTACCAATTGAAAGCGCGGCGTCCCTACACTGGACCCAATTTGTTGCGACGTCACCGTAATAATCGGCGTAACTGGACCCATGTTCACCGTCGTTGGGCCTACGACAATGGAACAATGTTCTGTTTTCAGATGAGTCCAGGTTTTGTCTACAACACGGTGACGGAAGGCGCAGAGTGTGGAGGCAACGAGGGCAGCGTTTTGCGAACTGCTGCGTCGCAGAACGGGACCGCTTTGGCGGCGGAAGTGTAATGGTTTGGGGTGGTATTTGTGGGGGGACTCGTACCAGGCTTGTTGTATTAAATGGCAATTTAACCGGCATTCGATATCGGGACGAAATTTTAAGACCAGTGGTTCTGCCATTCTTAAGACGCCATGGCGTTGGCGCCATTTTTCAACAGGATAACGCACCAGCGAACACAAGTCGCGTCAGCAGAACTTTCTTGCAGCAGAATAACGTACAGGTGTTAGATTGGCCATCTAAATCACCTGATTTGTCACCGATTGAGCATGTCTGGGACGTTCTTGGGCGACGCGTGAGAGAACGTCAAAATCAGCCGTCAAACTTGCAGGAGCTGGCCCAAGCCTTGATCGCTGAATGGAACATCTCTCCTCGAATTATCCGCCGGTTTACGAGTTCCATGCGACGACGCTGCAATGCTGTTTACTTCGCAAACGGTGGCCATACCCGTTACTAATGGTGTTACCTTTGAAATTGACCCCAACGTCCTTTACAGTCGAATAAAATCAACTGAACGCAAAGTTTTATAATGAACCATGACTGCAGTTTTATCAGAATTGATCAATTACTTTATTCGTACATGATTGGTAAGGATTTATGAAGGGGTTAATTAATAAATCACAGAATAAAGTAGTGTTACCTTTCTTTTTTGTTTAGTATATATATAAGTCCACAACTACGGTCACTTGAAACGTCGCCGAAGAATCGACATGGAGACAATAAACCATCATCATCATCATCATCATCATCATCATCATCATCGGTCACTTGAATTGCATTGAAATATCACGAATGCCAAGGAAAATAACTTTATTAAATGTCCCCCACAAAGTTGATATTATACCATATTGTTTGTCTTCTCACTTCCTCGTACGTCATTATAAGGGGACATTGTATCTCACTACTGTGAGGACATTACGTTGATGTCCTGGCATTTACAGAGATGTATATGTGCCCACACAAAGATTGTCTCTGAAATTCAAAACTGGCCTCAATTTATTTAATATTCAGCAGAGTATAAGCTGGGTATAGGAGTTACACACACTTACCACTACCACATCTATAATATTGCTGTTGGAAATGGGTATCTCCGTAATGTCTTTGTGAAACTCAAGTTACAGCTATGACAGGCTAAATTGGAAAAAGGCGCTGTCGTTTACGGATATCCATATTTAAACTCATTTATTGATACCCATAAATCCAGCAGAACTAATTTATAGATATTCATAATTAGTGACTTTTTTCCCACTTTGGCTTGCCATACCCAACAGTAACGGCCCCTTCATCCCTCCTCTACCGTCTCCCCCCACCTTCTCGCATCTCCATAAAATGAAATCTTACATAATATAAATTAATAAATAAATAATTAAATTTGCAGATGACAAAATATAAAATCAAATGAGTGGACATAGAGGCGAGGCGTACTATTTACCGATCACGTACCATCAGCAGCTGGCTGACAAGCAAATATTTGGAATCGGTACGATAAGATCAACTAATTACAAACTTTATACCTAACCGATAATGTGACCATAGCATGGATTTCATATGAATTATCGTTAAATGTATTGAATATTGAACTCTGAAATCATTTTGAAAATGCAAAAAACATTAAAAAAAAACCAAGAGGCCCAGAGGGCCTGTATCACCCACCTGGATCTTTATGACCAACAGTACTATATCTGTGCATATGTTCCACGTTTAACACATTTGACCCCTATGACCTTGAATATGGGTCAAGATCATTTCTTTTTGCAAACTTTCTTCGACTTCATAAAAGGAACATATTGGCCAAATATAATGATTCTAGGCTTTTCGATATTTCAAAAGAAATTGTTTAAACGTTTTAACATATTTGACCCCTGTGACCTTGAAGATTGGTCAAGGTCATTTCTTTTAGCAAACTTTGTAGGTTACCATAAAAAGAACATAGTAGCCTAATATAATGATTCTAGGCCTTCTGGTATTTGGGGAGAAGTCGTTTAAAGGTTTTAACACATTTGACCTCTGCTACCTTGAATATGGGTCAAGGTCATTTCTTTTCGCAAACTTTCTTGGGCTTCATCAAAGGAACCTTCCAGTCAAATATAATGAATCTAGGCCTACCAGTATCTTGAAAGAAGTCCTTTAAAGGTTTTAACACATTTGACCTCCGTAACCTTGAATATAAGTCAAGGTCATTTCTTTTCACACACTTTCTTGGGCTTCATCAAAGGAACCTTCCAGCCAAATATAATGAATCTAGGGCTACCAGTGTCTTGAAAGAAGTCCTTTAAAGGTTTTACCGTATTTGACCTCTGTGACCTGGAATATGAGTCAAGGTCATTTCTTTTCGCAAACTTTCTTGAGCTTCCTCAAAGGAACCTTCCAGCCAAATATAATGATTCTAGGGCTACCAGTATCTTGAAAGAAGTCCTTTAGAGGTTTTACCATATTTGACCTCTGTGACCTGTATTATGGGACAAGGTCATTTCTATTCGCAAACTTTCTTGGGCTTCCTCAAAGGAACCTTCCAGCCAAATATAATGATTCTAGGGCTACCAGTATCTTGAAAGAAGTCCTTTAAAGGTTTTAACACATTTGATCTCTGCAACCTTGAATATGGGTCAAGGTCATTTCTTTTCGCAAACTTTCTTGGGCTTCCTCAAAGGAACCTTCCAGCCAAATATAATGATTCTAGGGCTACCAGTATCTTGAAAGAAGTCCTTTAGAAGTTTTACCATATTTGACCTCTGTGACCTGTATTATGGGACAAGGTCATTTCTATTTGCAAACTTTCTTCGGCTTCATCAAAGGAACTCTCCAGCCAAATATAATGATTCTAGGCCTTCCGGTATTTTGGAAGACGTCAATTAAATGTTTTAACACATTTGACCTCTGTGACCTTGAATATGGGTCAAGGTAATTTCTTTTTGAAAACTTTGTTGGGCTTCATCAAAGGAACCTTCCAGCCAAATATAATAACTCTACACCTTTTGGTATTTCAGGAGAAGTTGTTTAAATGAAAAGTTGACAGACGCAGGACGGACGGACAATGGACGGACAGACGACAGGACTTAGTTATAATTAACAAAAAAAAATAATAATTCTGACTGGAAATATATACGTTTCAGTAATCTGTTCAGTCTTTGCTCATTTTACTGTCGAGTTATGAAAATTTCTAAAGCAGTGTTAAGATTGGGCAGGAAAAAAGAACGATATTGTGATCAGACAAAAACAACTACGCTTGGTTTGGATCATTTCAGGCAAGACTTAGCTGAGGTATCCCCAGCTGATAAATGAAGACCGGCTGATAAATGAGGTATTCCCAGCTGATAAATGAAGACAGGCTGATAAATGAGGTTTCCCAGCTGATAAATGAAGACCGGCTGATAAATGAGGTATCCACAGCTGATAAATGATAATCAGTTGTGGATAAATGAAGTATCCCTATTTAATAAATTAAGTATTTCAAACTGTTAAATAGAGTATCCCTAGCTGAAAAATAAAGTTTTCCCAGCTACAAGGAGATATCAAGAAGCTTTATGTTGCACATTTTCCCCTGTAAGTTGGTAAAATGCACCACACCATATATAAAGCCTTGTCCTATCACTGGTTGTAATTGTTTACTTAAAATACTTTGTTGGAGAGAAATACCCCAGTGATCTGGTAAAGTGGAAGTAACTGAATACAGAATGGTGATAAAAATTTAAGTCCTGAAAGGTCAATCTGCCAAATAGGTTGAAGAGAGAGTGACTGCCATATATGTGGAGTCTTCCCCTTCTTTTGTTGCTATCAAATGCAAAATGAAAGGATACCAGCATGGCAGAGTGTTTAGAAGAGGATACCAAGTCAGAAAGGATGTCAACCTGTTCTAACCCTGATGAAAAAAGGACACAAACTAGTGATGGAATACCACTGTATTATCTTTATGAGTAAGTACAGCCAACAGGCCTTCATTTGGATCTTTACATAGCACACCTGTAGTTCATGTCAAACTACACATGTTCAAGGTACAAAAGTATGTGCAGGATGGGTCAAAATAATGAAAACTTTCGGATAACCTGTGGCATTTGAGGGTCACCATCAGTGGAAGGAGACTATGTTGCAAAATAAAGCATTATAAATCCAAATACCCGATATCTTGCTCTTTCTTCATGATGCTTGAAACTTTTTGATATCTCCATATAATAAATGAGATTTTTTTGGTCATAAATATATATATATACAAACCATGATGATGATGTTGATGATGAGTGAAAGTTGAATGATGTTGGAAGATGATGATGATGGTGATGTCACTATTTCATCCACATGACTCATGTGAACATGTGTGTAGGTGTAGGAATGTATGTGTGTGTGTGTGTATGTGTTACTGTCCTGTGCTAGGTACATGTTCTGAAAAATCTTGAGAAATATAAACAAAAAATGAAGATAAATGAGGTATTACCAAACGACAAGTGAAGCATCCCTAGTTGTCAAACAAATTCCTCAGTTTCACAAAGTGGGTTTCCAAAAAGAGAGTTTCCATACAGAATAAACAGAGGTAGGATTTCATCTGCTGCATGGCAGAATTCTTTTCCTTCTAAATGAAAATAAACTATGAGAAAATAAACCATACAAAATAATTTATTGTGATACACAGCCAACTGTAGTATATACACAAACAAGTGTTGATGGATGATCACATTAACAAATCAGCAGATTTGTGGTCAAGTTTGGCCACTTTTTGTATCATCACAATGGGAGCTAGGGGATAAAAAAACATCCCGACGTTTGGCACACCTAACATACACATAATGATAAAATTCTTCAGCAGTTCACTTTTCATTCATTTCCTTTTGTTTAGAATTGTAGTAAACTGTTTTATTTACTTAATTTTTTTTTCTTTTAATTTGGAGAGATGTACAATATATTTTTCCATAGAAGACCCTGTTGTTCTTATGTTTTTACATCATTACAGAAGTTAAATAATGGTTTTATCTGTAAATTGTCTAACCCTGCTTTTCCCTTCATATCTTACTATCCAAACTTTTATATTTCCTACCGCCTGAACAACTGGGCACAACTTTGTTGTTCTGTTTTTGAACTGATAGTTTAAGCATATATTAGGTATTAGAGAAATGTTATTACATACATATCGGATTGTGTAAATATCGGTTTGGTATTAACTTCTATATCAAAACAGACAGGACGGAGTTAAAGAGTTAAATGTTTTAACTTCTATATCAAAACAGACAGGACGGAGTTAAAGAGTTAAATGTTTATCACAATGATGGATACAATAGTAATACATAAAACAATATCTACACTACATACTGGCAAACTTAACACACGACTATGCCCCTCCCCCCTACCCATTCATCATGGACAGAAACGTGTAAGATGAATATACAAAATGAAACAGATTGATTCAAATAAATGACAAAATTATAAATATTCTCCCGTAAAATATTTCTTTTAAATATCAAAATAACAGACTTTGAGATTGACTTGATTTGTTGTTAATGGACGGATTAAATTGTCTTATAACATCACACAAAAATTAACATTTTTTAGCTATAATTATGCTATACATGAATCAGGTATGTGTAAATGTGCTGGAGCTCCACTGTACAGTACACATATAAACACTATGTTATCTAGAACAGACTTAGCACAGAAGGGATATATATGGCATGCTCAAAGAGCTCTATATTATGGCATGCTACATGACATCACAAAAAAAAAATTAAAAAAGTAAAATACAACGGTTTTCAAAAACAACAAATGCAAAAATATTGTGAAAATTTGGAATGCTAAAAGTCCATCAAGGCACAAATCCTCATCAGTGTTACTTTATAAACATATCTATATTGGTAATATAGACCAATATTGTATAAACATAGAAGGCAAAATTCTTTGAAAGAAATTGGATAACTTGAGATATATATCAAAAGATATTCAAGTTCGTTCTACTATAAATAACATCGCAAAAAATCAAAACATGATGTAATAAAAATGGTTACGGGAAAGAAAAACAACCTTGACCTTGTACAGGTAACCTTGGACTTATAATACAAATAATGTACAATGGTACATATGAGTGTCCACAGCTTGTCTCTAGCTTATATCACAGTTCATGTAGTCTCTCTCCAGTTTACATCACAGTTCTTATAGCCTCTATCTGGTTAAAGCATCACAGTTCAACATAGTTTATGTAACCTTATCAAAGTTACATCACAAAGTCTGTGTAGTTTACCTATCTCTAAGGAACATTACAGTTTGTGTAGCCAGAGTTACATCCTATTATATGTCCCCTCTTCAGGGTTTATCACAGTGCAGCTTTGCTCTTCGGTCCATTAGCAGTAAGTATTGCATACAAAATACCGGTAACCATAATCTGATCAAACTTTCGTGGAATGATTGAAACTAAACATGTATAATGATACAAAGTCTTGTAGATATCAGCAGTAAGTTTTGTAATCAGCAGTATATACAGATATACATACAAGGTCTTTTCAGACCCCATTGCTGAAGCTTTGAGAGCAGCATATAAATTAAATTAGTCATCAAGCTGACACAGGGCGGCCACACCGCGATTAATCCAGTGATCCTGAGTCTTGTCTGATGCCAGTTCTATAAAGAGGACAAAGTTGGTGGAGTGACCAGTGGTGGACAGAACACCTCGTCTGGCACTGGTCTTGTACACAGGACAGGAATATGTGTTCGCTTTAGCAAACTGGTCCATACGGTTGGGTTTCAGCCAGATCTGTAAGTCTTGATTAAGGAAATGCATGTTGCAATGAGTAACTAGGCTATACACCTCAATGTTTACACTGATCCAGAGAATCAACACCTTCCTATTGTGCCCCCTCATATCTCTCATGTTATAACCACACCCATTGCTTATACACTTTTGAATTCTCTTCCTACAAGGATGCTTCTAACAAAATTTGGTCAAAATATCTTTATCCAAGGAGAGGAAGGATTTGAAGTTTTTCTTCATTTTCCCTTATTTAGCCCAGCACATATGCCCTCAAGGAGCCAGGCCCACTATTTAGCCCTGCACTATGCCCTCAAGGGGCCAGGCCCACTATTTAGCCCAGCACCTATGCCCTCAAGGGGCCAGGCCCACTTTTTCATAGCACTGAGACTCCTTCCCCTCTGTATGCTTCAGAAGAAATTTGGACAAAATCTAGTCATTTCTAGAGAATGAAGGTTTTGAAATAAAATTGCAAATTTGCCCCTCTTTGGCCCCACCCCTTCAGGTCCTTATAGAAAATTGATTTCTTTTCCCCAAATTTGGTCAAAATACTCTCATCCAAATAGAAGAAGAAGAAGCCTTTCCTCTCTTTCATCGTTTGGCCCCACCCCTCTGTCCTACTGTTTATACAAAATTAAGTCCCCTTCACCCAAGAATGCTTCAAACCGGAAGGATTTTAAAGAATCTGCTAAATTTCCATTTTTTTGGCCCTGCCCCTAAGGTACCTGGGGTCTCAGATTCATCCTTTATACAATAATGGTTCCCTTTCCCTAAAAGATGTTTCACACTTAATGTGCTCAAAATCTATGTAGTTGTTTATGACTGGAAGCGATTTGTTAAAGAAGTTGTCGGATGGATGGATGGCAGATCTGTGTTAGCATTAGCTCAATTACACAACTTGTCAAGACAATATTCAATTTACAGATGGATCAAGGTACACTAAGCATCTGTACTACCTCTAGCTTCACTGCAAAGAATTTATAAACTTGTTGACTTCAAAAGGATACCACAGGCATGGGGTCGAAAAGAATCTTTGGTAAGGATTCTCCCAATACCATTTTGTCTCGGTCCCAGCGAGATCCTTCTAAGAACAAACCCTGGAAAGGAAGGAAAAAAGAATGTTTATTTCAACTGTTTGACAGATGTAATAAAAACTTTTATAACAAAAGCTAAACAACCAGGAAAACATGTTTAAAAAGCACACAGATATCAATAATGCCTTACATAAACAAAGGCTCCATTTTCAGGTTTTTCAGTCATTTCCTTCTCTTCCTTTGTCACTTCAAACTCAAAACCAACAGCGTCAATGGGAATGGTATACTTCCGTGCATAGTTCTGAGACACACCTGATAGAGAGAGACTGCATTAATGAAATCATCGACAAGAATCTAAATATTGTAATATTGTAAATATTGTTTACAATATGTCAGTGGCACTATTACATCACTAAAAAGTTTAAAAAAAACATTGCCAAATAGTTCAAAATAGGTCAGTGAAGCTATTACAATGTGAAATAGTTAACAATCTGTTAGCGAAAAGATGTATAGCTATTTTGTCACAATACACTGTACTGTTACCTAGAGAACAGTTTATTTCAAATAACAGATATATTGTTATATCAAGTGTCATGAACAAAGCCTCTACCAGGAAGCTGTTTTTCCTTTTACCTGTAAGGAAGGACTGTGTGAAGTAAAATCCTGAAAGCCAGAAAGTTGGAGGAATTCCAGCATCTATCCATTCAGAAAAGAATTTCAATCTACAATGACAGAAACATCACAGACCATATTAATTAAGTTGTTGTATTGTGTCATGTAAGGTCCATATATCCACTTCATCAGGAGAATTTCCGTAATGCATCTAATGGGTTTATGTCATTTTTCTGAAGAATGTTTTGCAATTTGATAAGATCTGAGTTACATGATAAAACGGAGCTCTTCAGATTCACAGGACCAGCTCTGACACAGATTTCTCAAGATCTATACAAAATGAATTGAAGAGAGTGTAATGCTGTACCTTGCCAAAAGGTCGTTGATATAACTACCCATGGGTTTAAGTGAAGGGTAGGACTTTGAGGCCCACACTGTAGGCACTTTGCCATTAAGCATGCTCTGAAACACCTCCTCAAGGTCTGAGGACATGAGCACCAGTCCCTTGATGGCTTTCTGTAAATTGATCAGTGAAATTCGCACCACTTTTGTCAGACGATTAAAACGGATGAGCTCCTGTCTCAGTACTGTGTTCATCGACTCGTTGTATACTACAGGGTACTTATTTATCACCTGAAAGACACAAATAAGACATAGTTACAATAGGAATTGCACTCAATTCCAACACCTGTCACCATGGTTTCAAAGAATCCAGCAAAAAATCTCATTTTCAAAAAATGTTTACTCAAGGTGGATTTTTTTGGATCCTGCAGATAATTAATCTAGTTTACTCACATGCTCCATGTCAAAGTCTGCTGGCAACTTGCTGAGGATATCAGCAGACAGGTCCTGAATGACGGAGGCAGTAGATTTACCTCCCTTGCTTTGTTGTCTTGGAAGAGTAAGTAAGATGTTGTCAAATAACTGAAAGAATGAAAAAAACACACACAAATGAAAAAGGGTTGCTTTACTTACTAAATGTTACAGGAAAAATTCAGTTTTATCTTATCATAATAAAAAGAGTAAAAATCTTGTTCTGAATGGGCAAAAGCTGGAAAAATACAAACCAACTGTGTTTCTTGATTGTCTTTGCTGATATCAGCATTTTCATGTAGCCCAAATACTTCTGGATTAGGGTTAATGGGTAGAGTCCTGATGTAGTCAATGTAGCTTTGATGTTCACCTTCCTCTGGGGCATAGTACAGTCCACTTGGAGAAAACCTACAACAAAGAAAACTGTTAGCCTGTACGTAACTTACACAGTCAAACCATTAATACAGCCCATCTTGTTAGTCTGTACCTAACTTACACAGTCAAACCATTAATACAGCCCATCTGGTTAGTCTATATCCAACTTACACAGTCAAACCATTAATACAGCCCATCTGGTTAGTCTATACCTAACTTACACAGTCAACCCATTAATACAGCCCATCTGGTTAGTCTATATCCAACTTACACAGTCAAACCATTAATACAGCCCATCTTGTTAGTCTATACCTAACTTACACAGTCAAACCATTAATACAGCCCATCTGGTTAGTCTATATCCAACTTACACAGTCAAACCATTAATACAGCCCATCTTGTTAGTCTATACCTAACTTACACAGTCAAACCATTAATACAGCCCATCTGGTTAGTCTATATCCAACTTACACAGTCAAACCATTATTACAGATTTCCAAACCCTTTAGCTTGTACACAATTAACATAAAAAGACCAAAAACGAAACAAACACCAACTTATGCATTCTATATTCAATGTCTGTGGTTAGTATTGGTATAAACCAATCTTAGGCATTATCTGTGATAATAACCAAAGTTGCAATGAGGGGTATGGCCTTAAATCCCTATGCTTTCTATGTTATCGACACAATTTTTGTCAGGAAGAAGTAACAGCATACTTGTAGTCCTTGTTGGTGATGATTTCCTCTGTGAAGAAGATGGAAAGGATAGAGACAAGGAGTCGTCGGTCCTTGTCATCTGTTACACGACCACCATAGTTACACTGGCCAGTCAAATAGGTGAGAGCAGGAAGAGGCAGCTCCTCGTAATCATTCAGGAACATCTACAACAGATCAGCTAACATTATCCACAAGCTGCCACTGCCAAAATACACCTGTCACATATATGTATGCAGTATTCAGTAGAGCAAGCCCATTAATTTGCCAGAATTATTTTCTGACTTATCTAAACATTACATTTAAAAGATATGAATATCTATTCAAATAAGCAACTTTGTTGTAATGAAAAAGTTTATCTATGAAAGTTCCTAAAATTGCTGTTGTATCTGTTGAAGATGGGAAATACATTTCCATGTGGCACAGTTGTTTTGACCTACACCATCAGGCATACTTAAGCATAACATCAAAGTCAAGTGAACAAAGATTCAATGACAAATTGTTGAAATGTCAGTGAATGTTGAAAGATAAACAGAATACATGATCAGTGCTTTAAGATATCAGCTGCATTTTACAAAACACAACAGAAAGACGAAATAGACATATGATAAAAACACTGACCATGTATTCTCAATTTATCCCAATATAGTAAGGATATAAATCAACACCAAAATAACTGTTTCACATCCAAGACATGTCAAACACAAACTTGTGCAAGAAGATTTCTAATTCATACAAGATTTAAATGAACTAAAACTTTGACTTTTTTTCTTCCCAGAACTATTTCAAGTTCTCAAACATCCGAAGCAACACACCCAAAACACATACCAACATCTGCCGGAGACTGATACGTAGATCAGATTCATTGAATTCATATGGAATATTCCATCCCAAGGGACCAAACTTCCTGCGTTCCTGTACCATAGCATGGAAGAATGACAGCCCAAACAACATCTTGTGGAACTTAACAGGCTGTAAGTAGAAAAATGAAACTTAACTTCAAAACTGCAGCCATTTTGTCTTTGTCTAATTATTATGAATTTTGATTTAGATGTGTGAATGACATGACATTTTCAAAATTTAAGAGAAATTGTGTTTATGTATATTCCTATTTAAAGACACTGAAAACATCACGATTATCCAAATGAATACCAACTTTGTTGCAACCGCCAAAGAAGGAGGCATCAGAGATAGGGTCATTGAGGTAAGACCGCAAAAGATTGGCTCGCAATCCCTTAGGTGGCTCATTGGTCATCTTCACACCTACAAGTAAAAACAGGGATAGGTTTAGTGATTGAATGTATCTGTAAAATAACTTGAAGTGTTGGTAGAACATTAGAATCGGTTAAGAATTACCTACCATTCTGTAAGATAGATACTGGGAACTGCTCTGATGGGTAACTGGTCAGCCAAAGGCGAAACTCCTTATGGGTCACTTCAGGTACAATCACCTGTAAACACATATTACAAATTACTTCATGGCCTGTGGTGTAAAAATCAATTCCTTTTGTCTTTAACTTTATCATCTTAATATTTTCCTTTACTAATTTCTACTGTTTTGAGTTCAATCCCATCCCAGACTTTCTCACATGCACCAAATATTGTGTCAGAAGGTTTTCTAATCCATTCTTTAATGCTGATCAGTCTCTTCCAAAGTTTCGCTATGCAGCTGTGTGTAAACCCTATTCTCAATTTTGATAATATGTTCCATTACAGATGTATTGCAGGTTCATATCAGATTTAGAAAATCAAAATCATTTTCTGTCAACAAAAGTTCCTAACACTGAAATAGTTAATCAAGAGTTTCCAGTCCATTGTATTGATTACTCAGATACCTCTATCACATATAGCCTCAGGTCTCTGATATATCAGTATCATGGTGCTTTACTTACTTCCTCACATATCTTCTCTAACTTGGGCATCCAGCTGGTGGCCAGATGGCAGTTCTGCAGCACTACCCAGGAACCATTTTTGATTGCTGCATCAATCATACCTGCTGCTATTGGACCCTGAAACAACCAATGCCTGTATAAAGTTTTGTGTATAATTGTTGACATGTGGTTGACACATGTCAGGTTACATGAAGCTGGATTAGTTATACAGTTTTGTGTATAATTGTTGACATGTGGTTGACACATGTCAGGTTACATGAAGCTGGATTAGTTATACAGTTTTGTGTATAATTGTTGACATGTGGTTGACACATGTCAGGTTACATGAAGCTGACTTAGTTATACAGTTTTGTGTATAATTGTTGAACATGTGGTTGACACATGTCAGGTTACATGAAGCTGAATTAGTTATACAGTTTTGTGTATAATTGTTGACATTTGGATTGACACATGTCAGGTTACATGAAGCTGAATTAGTTATACAGTTTTGTGTATAATTGTTGACATGTGGATCAACACATGTTCCATGAAGCTGGATTATTTGATGATTGTCTGACAAATACTTGGGTGTCAGTAATACTGCATTAAAACCTTATTCAAATTCATTGAAGATGTAACACGTTTCCGTGGGCGATGAAGATAACCTGCAATAGTGTGACCATGATACCATTGAGCCTGAAGACAATTGTAATGATGTAAATGGCCTCAACATATCATGAAAATGATGTTAGGAACAGTAGCGTGACCTCGAAAGGTTGTCTGATATTGAATATAACTGGTGTAAAAATCCTGAGCAAGGAAAACTATATTTCAAAATTATACACTTAAACAGTGCTGAAATATTATGTTTTCGCTGATTTGAATCCGTAAGAAATAGAATTAGGATCATCTAGACTGTCACAAGTGGTATTTAATTTGTCACAGGATATTCATAATACACTGCCACAAATTTCAATACACAACAAGGCCTCCCCTAAGTAAATTATTTATTTATTTATAAGTACACCTTTACATCATAGAGTATAGATGATAAAAAGTACAACAGATACTGATTGGAATCAGTTCCATTCTCAAAATTAATCATTGAATATAATTAACACAATCAAGCAGTCCCTGATTATTATCTGTTTCATTCATTTACTACATAATAGGGTGAGTTTTCTCTTTCTTGAAATGAAAATACTGTAATTTTTTAAAATCTTTTATATTCTGTAATTTTTTGGTATTTGTTTTTCTTATTATTAAATACTGTTGATGAAAGCCTGAAAAGCCTGCTAGTTTTATATTACCTTACAATGATCTCTGCATTCCTGAAATCTCTGACAATTCTGAATTCTTACAATTAATTGTTTGATGGCACTGATTAATTGGCTTCAACTCTTCAATTAAATTCTTATCTTTTTCCATTACTGGCCTATTATTAACCACCAAAATGAATGCTGCCTCACCTGGCCCTGACCAAGAGAAATGGTCTGGATAGTACCAGCAGCTGTAGAGTATCCTTTACTCTCACCAAACTTGAGCAGAGCCATCATGGGATCAGCTCCGGGTGACAATACAAAGATCAGAGGTGCACAACAGTTGGAATCTCGGAATGATCCTGCCAGGTCAAAGGTCGGCGGTTCAATGTAAGACTGACCAAGATTTTCCACGATGAAATTTTGAACAGCAGGAACAATTTTGTCTGGTCGCAGACATCTCAATACCACCATCTTGAACAAGCCTCTAAGGGTGTCAAAGGGACTTGGGTACTTGTGAGTCTGTGGGGTTGGAGAGTCATACATCTTTTTCCACTCTCCAATGTTATCCCTGACATCTGTAAGGAAAGCAATTATGAAAACATTAATTTTGTTCACATGTTGTAAAGAATATGGAAATCACTATTGGCAATACTGAATCAATTAAACATATTGTGTATAGTTACTGAGCTGAATTAATTGTTCTGTTACATATTTTTTTCCAAGTCCATTGATGAAGATCCAACAGGTCCTGAATCAGAAAGTAAATGATGTTTGTTCCACATTTTCAGTATTCATCTTGTGACCTAGAGGTGAAGGTCACAGAGACCTAAATGTATTTCTCATCAAATCTTTATCTTTATGTATACATATGTGAAAACAAGTTTACATATGTAATAGATCAAGCATTTAGATATTACCACAGATACGTCAACTAATACTTTTACTAAAACACACTACAACTACTGATCAAGTGCTTATTTCTGTAAATGAACTTCTAAATTTATAGTGAAATGCAGAAGCAAGAAACTGACGTTGGAATAGTCCTTTCATGTTTGGTAGGTTGCTGGCTCGTACAAGCTCTCCCCATGACTTGTCTCCTAGCCACTCTGGGGCAGGGTTGGCATGTGGGTTCTCCAGAGCTACTCCTCCGGTTAATAGGAAACGCCATACATCTTCATCCACTCGGCCTCTGTAATGGACAGGTTCAATAAAATATGCTTCAAAGTCATAACTCAAAGCAGAATTGTGAAAAGAGTTTAGAGATGAATGATATTGACAGCTACTGTAATCAAAATCAAATAAAAAAAAAAAAAAACAGCAAGAAGAAATACAATAAATGCTGAAGTAAATATGATAATTTACACACGGACAAAAATACCAACACTAAAACAACCGCCAACAATATCATAGAATATTAAGTATGAACAGTGATCTGCTGTCCTTTCAGAACAACAACAGTGACCCCTTTTTAGTTTAAACATATTTTATTGTCAATAAAACAAGACAAATGGATTGGGCAAAAGTTATATCAACATCATAGACACCCTCTCCAATCAATATACATATGACCCCTTAACTAGTCCGTATATTTCACAGGAGTCCTGATCCCACGATGTCCCAATATTATAATATTTCTCTATTGCTATAGGAGTTTTTGGAAAGTGGGTTATTTAAAAAAATTTTGTCATTCCCTGCAAATTGTTATGTGTTTTAAAGTTCTAAACTGTTCCTGTGCCTCCATGATATGAAATATGTTTCTATAGCCATGGGGGTAACACCATATTAATATATGAAAAAGGTTCCTGTAGCCATAAGGTTCTTTATATATAACTTGCAGCCATGGGGGTCTACCCCTTAGGATGCCTAAACTTCCATTTATACAAGACTTGATCCCATTATTCCAAAGATGCAATACTACTTTGGTTCAACCAATGCATTGAACAAGTTGGAAATTCTTGTATTTAGCACCACTGTTTTGCTCATAAATAACATGAGTCTGGTACGCTGAAAATGAAATGCAAGTCAACTATTTACATGCAAAAAGATTTCTTCCTAGAATCTCTTCTGTAGATTAGCTTTATCAATACAATGAATAAAGATAGTGTAAACCTTACAACATCACTTAATGAGCACAACGAGTATCAAGTAATGCATAAAATGGTCAAATGTAAGTTGTTTCTAGTACTACATTCTGTTTATGGTAATGTTGTAAGTTAACAGAAGCAGGTAATGAGTACTTTGACCTTTACCCTTTGATCCTGTGAAATATATTACAGAAGATCACCTTGAACTAGATATTACAAGTTCAAGGGTTACAATTAATGATGTGTGAGATGACTTGGACTAACATGTCTACATATACTGTAAAGTTACTACACTTACTATTTGTGGACACTGTCAACAAATTAGTAATAAAAACATATCTACAATATGTAGTGTGTTGGCTTCACATATGAAGTATAATATTATTTATAATTATTACAAAGTCAAAGATTAATAATTTTGTAAGAATTGTTTTTAATCAACATAATTTACTTTGAATTTCTGTTAAATATATTTATTACGATGTTAAGTCAGTTACATTTAAATACCTTCAGTGAACTGATAATACATTTGGTCATTTAAGAAGATTCTTCAGGTTATTTATGAAAATCAATAACTAAGGCTGCTGTTGCATAAACCGATTGAAAAAATTCAGCCAGCCTGGGATTATCTTATGATATAGAAATGCACCTGTACTGGATGTAGTAATTGGTAATTGATAAGTTCCAGTCAAGCATAAAACAATTAATCATATATAAAGTATCATTATGATCCACTTTAACAATACATGTAGCACAAAATTTCCTGAAATATGTTCCTGCACTGACCCTGCCTCATACTAAAATGCTGAAAAACTAACGATATTCAGCAAGTTAGTTTTTGACAAGTATGTCTGGACGCCTCAATCTGCATGTGCCAAATATTTCATGGTCCAACCTTGTTTCCGATCTATACCTGTGTTTTTCTTGCAAGTTCTGCCAGTCCTACCCTTTAAACTGCTTACACAAAAAAGGCCTATTGAGAAAATAATTGCCATCTTTCAGACATGTGAGACTTAAAAGATGAGCTCTTCCAAGATGCGTCCAAAAGATCATTAAGTTACATTATTGTAAAACCAATTAGTGGACATATGCATGATCACTGTTAACAGTAATCAACCACTGAATAGTAAATAAAGGTATGATTTTACATTAAAATGACCAAATCATGGTCTATATAATAATGTAGTAGATGGATTTAGAGGAAATTGGCAAGTATATAAAACCATGTGGTCAATAAATGTGTACAAACACCAAAACTGAATATTTAGAATCGATGAACTGTATTGCCAATTTTCTCCCTAACCAAAAAATGAATTTGCCAATACAAGAGCTTGAATTTGCTGATTGTTACAAAACTACAGTTTGAAATAACTATCTCCAGTAGAAACTTATAACAGTACAAGGATGCTAAAGTCCTAAAACTAATGAAATATGAACAGAAACTCTATAGCAGCTTTCAGAAAGAAAATTTTTGCATTTTGTTTGATTATCGTTATTGTTTGATGATATTTTCATATCAGCAAGCTGTGATAGAAACTGAATCCTAGACAAAGGAAATATAATTCTTTGTTATGATACAAGATATCTAATTTGTCTAAAGTCTATTTCACTAAATCTGGTTCTCAGGTTTGAAATATTAAACAAAACATGGAATTTTTAAAGTCAACAGAGGAGAAAGTTCTACAAGAACTACCATCCATTAAGCATGTGCATATTAACATTTGTCTATGAGGTTTCAGAAACAATTGGTAGTTTCTGTAAAAGCTATAGAATCTAACAACAGATATGAAAACACTCCATTTCAAGTTACTTTTAAACACCTACTACACAAGTTTTACAAATAACAATTCCAAGAATGAATTTTTCTCTGTTGTATTTTTGTTTTAAACATCCAATCTCTTGGTTAAAAGTGATCAAAAATCAGTGAATTGTCTTGTTCAAAATCTCAAAACTGGTAACCAAGATAAAGCTCAATAGACTGATTCTACAGAAAATCTGAATGTAGCAAACACAGTCTACATATCATATATACTATCCACTGCCTCCTCGCTGTATATCACTATTATCTCATTGCAATTATAAGCCAGTAGTGCATTTTCTAAACATATCATTGTGTTGAAACTTCAAATATTAATAAGACTGATTACATGAATGATAATTAAATGTAGCAATCTGTTTTGGTTCTATATATTATCTCATTAAAAAAGTAAGCTTGTTCATGCAATGAGATGTAAATAGTCTCTAAATAAAGTACATGCAGTTTCTATTCTTAAGGTAGAATTAAGTCATTTAAAGACTGGCAACTCTATAATAATATCTTCAACCAAATATAGGAGGTTCAAAAGTTCAATCCGTTATCAAAAAGCAAAAAAGATGAAAGAAAAAAAAGTTTTTCCTTTAGCCTGATATGTGATTACTCAATGATATTTAATAGCATGAGATCAATTATCCTGGTTATATACTGTTGTAACACCATTTAACCATTTTATTATCAGATATTTGGTTGATGATATTATAAGAGGGACAACTCTGATATCAATAAGCTTGCAGAGTTGAGTCAATTTTATGTACAGTGTATCTACAAATTCTTACACTCTGGCATTAAACCTGAAACAAATGCATCAACAAATATGTATCATGAGCAAAATCATATTAATCACCAACTTATTGATTGTTAATGAGCTTATTGTCTGTAAAGTGAAGTAGCTCACTGTCAGTAAGGAACAATAACTGTCTGTAAGGTGAAGTAGCTCATTGTCAGTCAGGTGAAGAAGCTCATTGTCAGTAAAAACAAATGAACTCTGTTAGGTGAAGTAGCTCACTGTCAGTCAGGTGAAGAAGCTCATTGTCAGTAAAAAAAAAATAACTGTCTGTAAGGTGAAGTAGCTCAGTGTCAGTCAGGTTAAGATGCTCATTGTCAGTTAGGAAAAATAACTGTCTGTAAGGTGAAGTAGCTCATTGTGAGTCAGGTTAAGATGCTCATTGTCAGTTAGGAAAAATAACTGTCTGTAAGGTGGAGCTCATTCATTGTCATGTGAAGGAGATAACTGACTGTAAGATGATGTAACTCATTGTTATTTGAGTGAACTAACACATTGTCAATCAGGTTAAGTAGCTCATTGTCTGATGGGTGAACTAGCATCACGTCAGCTTGGGATAAGTCCTTAGTTTATCAGTCATGTTCAAGTCCATTAGAATACAATAAACAGTATGTTTTTTGTTAATTGAGGATGAAATTAGTTCCTTAAAGACTATAATATTGATGCTAATGACTTTCTGCACTGACAACATCACATTCATGGCATGTCATGGTATCAGTTTGTTTTTCTATGATTGCTAATAGTTATAAGAAAATGCAGAGTTCAGAACCATATCACTGTATGTATTGCCTACTTTAAAAGCTAGGTTCAGTATATTATCAACATCCTTTATCAGGCTCTGTCTATATGTTGATTGGCAAGATCAAACAATTCATTATCTCATCTTCAAGCTATCCACCGTGAAGCAGTTCAAAGCTTCCAAAGCCTAGAGGCAGTCTTGTTGCCAATATTACAGACATCTTTGGCAGTCTAAGGGTTACTCAGATAATCTGCCAGAGACAATGAATATTTCACAGGCATATAAACCCTGTCAAATAGGAGATTTGTAAAAGATAAGAGAGAATGTAATGGTCACTCATACAATACTTACTGGCCCTTCAGAATGCCCACACATAGTACAAAGGAAAAGAGAAGTTTGTCTTTCTCAAACAGGGAACGACACACATTTCGGTATATACTGTTGGTAAAGTGGTCATTCAGGTTAAAAATTCGCTCATCTAGCTCATTGGATGGTGAACTGTTTAGGATGGACTGAAATCAAACAGTTAAAAATCGGTCAGTAAAAGCTAGTAAACAGAAACAATATATTTCCTCTGTATTATAAACATTTCTTTGACAGTATAGCTTTTACCATGTCATACAAAAACCACCAGGTATTGACAACAAATGTGGTCAACATAGATCGTGTTACAATTGTTTTGTGAGTCAGGTTTTGATTAAGTTCTTTTAATATTTTTTAATCATTAACCAATGAAAGTAAAAACAAGTTCATGATTCAGGTAAAAAAATAAACCCATTATTTCTACGCACTGATTAGGCCATCAGAGAAAATAAATGTTGCAGTATGTATCTTAGTATGAGACAATGAAATATACAGGATATTCACCTGAAGGTAAAGGTTGATGAACCATGTAAGAGAATACTGGTACATAGGTTCAATGTTGGCCAGATCTGAGATACAGAAAAAGAGGATTGAAGAATGCACAGCCACAGGCTTATAACCATTCCTGGTCTGATCAATCTCTAGTTCTGTCTTAGCTGCCACTTCCTGTTTGGCTGAGATCTCTTCTGACAAGACTTTGGATGAGGACAGAATTTTGATGGCTGTTTCATCCTCTAAAATGTTACCCTATAAAAAACATACCAAATACAGGATAAGAGTATAAATACCCACAATTTTCTATGACTATTATACATATTTAGGTTATTGACTTTTCTTAGCTTTCCTTTCAATTTCCATGTAGAATTACGTAATAAATAACCAAGCTATTTACCTATTCATAGATTGCCAACTACTTGATCATGTTACATAATCTGAAGCTATAGATCTAAAAATTGTACCAAAGAAATAAACCAACTTTTTGCAATTCACAGAACTGGTATGTACCTGAGAGGATGAGAGGACCTCCAGAATCTTGTCTTCAATTTCCTTGAGCTGTTTTTTGTTCTGGGCACTTTCCAGAATAAGGACGTTTTTCTTTTCCTCAAGCTCTGGTTTCTCTTTAGCTGCCACAATACCCAGCAGCTGATCCTCAAGGCCTTGTGGAGTGATCATAAAGTTTACCAGACACACCTGTAACATGAAATATTTGACACACTTCAATTTTTCAAAAGTAGTTGATTTCTTGCCATATTTACCATAGTTTCCACATTTTACCTACAACTCTGTGAGGCAGTGACTCTCAACCCTTACAAACTCTTTAAAGAGTTAGTAGCAAATGATTTGTAAAGACACCTGATAGTCAGTGGCTCTAGACCTGTCAGGACACCTCATACAATCAGTGGCTCCAGACCTAAAGAACATCTCGGAGAGTCATGGATCCTCACCTTTACTGACACCTCATAGAGTCAGTGGCTCATCACCTTTACTGAGAGTCAGTGGCTCCTCCCTTTACTGACACCTCAAAGTCAGTGGCTCTGACATTTACTTACTCCTCAATAGGTTATTTTCCTTCTCCATGACTTTCACTCATATCATAGCCTCACCTGTTACAGGAGTCAGTGACTCCTCATTGTTAGTGACACCTAAGTTGATAGTGAACCCTAACTTTTACAAACATTTGACTGCCCCACACAGAGGTAAACATATTCTTATATCTACAAACACATTTACTTTCTCAAAGAGCTACTGAACAGAGGTGTTGAGTTCTTACCTTTACAGAAACCTCTGGTAGGTAGTGTGGGTTCCTCAGTCTTGAGGTGATGTATAATTTGAAGTCATTTGAATATTCTATAACACTGTCTCCCAGACGTATGTACTCAACACCTTGTTGTTTAAATGTCAGTTTCTGTAAAATGGAATCTAGGATTGGGTCAAGTTCCTCTGCAACATTCTCCAGTAGGATTGGGGTACCAAACTGGATAGCATTCTCCAGAGTCCTCAAATAATTGGTGTCAGACAATTTGATAATTCCCAGTTTATTGTCCTTTTCCATTGCTTTCACCCATTTGTTGGCCTGACCTGTAACAAGAAACATACAAAAATTAGTGCTTTAATCTAAATGCCTTAAAGATGTATGAAGGTCATATCAGGACATAATTCAATAAAACAATGAATGGCAATGTAATATCTTAGATTTTGTGTTTTTAGATACTTTTTTATCTATAGTTGTACTTCCAAGCTGAAAAAGCATCAATAATTTCAACATTTTCTCATTGTTAAAGTACTTCTCTTTAGTAAAATTCTGATAGTCTGGGATATATATATATATAAAACAAATAATTTTTAGGGTCTGAAAATGAATATTTCAGCTCCATTCTTGATACTTAAAAAAAACTTGCTAATTGGGTGAAAATTGTAGAAGCAAAAGCACAGTGACCCCCTCAGTTTTAATCAGGAAAAATATCCTCAAATATTTCTTTATTCAAGCATAACATCTTCAAAGAAGTTCAATTTTAGAACATGATCAAATAAATGATTGAAGGAATTTTTTTTCAAAATATCTTTTTTTTGTTGTTATGCAGTTTAAAGCAAATTTTCATCTGATTTTTCATAGTATCAGAATCATCCTATAAATATTTATCAAAAGACAAAAGTTTTAAAGTGGTCAAAATGCCTTGAAAATAATGAAGAATGTCAGCCATTCAAGAGAAAAAATAGGAATAAAATATGCAAATGAACAATTTCCTGTTGCAGGTATTCTGATGCCTGTATTTGAAAAATAAGTTCAGCAATATATTGATTTTTTTTGCGTTTTTGATTTTTCTTACTTCTCAGATGAGTACAACTAGGAGTATCATATTCTGATATTATCAGATATCCAGCATTGGAAATTTATTCTGAAATTGTGAAATTTATCAACATAGTAATTTCAAAGGTGGCCATTCCTTCAAAAAATTGCCAAAACAAAATAAATTTACCTTGAGGATCGATCATCAGAGGCCATCTGCGGGAGTTATTTACTACGATGCCATTGTCAACACTGAAGGAATCTACAGGCAGACCAGCAATATTCCATGCTCGGATCTTCACTGGGTCACCTAGGGTTGCATTCAGTGAGAAAATCTCTGAGCAAGGAATTTCATTATCCTTTGAAGCACCATGCCAATCTTTGATGATTTCCTGAAATTTAAAAAGAGATCATTGAGAGGAAACAAAAAGATCATAGTAGAAAGGAAACAAAGGTCATAGCAGAAAGGAAACAAAGGTCATAGTGGAAAGGAAACAAAGGTCATAGTAGAAAGGAAACAATGGTCATAGTAGAAAGGAAACAAATGTCATAGTAGAAAGGAAACAAAGGTCATAGCAGAAAGGAAACAAAGGTCATAGCAGAAAGGAAACAAAGGTCATAGTAGAAAGGAAACAAAGGTCATAGTAGAAAGGAAACAAAGGTCATAGTAGAAAGGATACAAAGGTCATAGTAGAAGGAAAATCTTAATTCTCTTACTGATCCTCACGGAAATATTAATACATGTTAAATCATAAATGTGACTTATATTCTGTTTGATCCCTGATTTCAGTTAAGTAAAACAATAGTATCGCCTTTTTCAAATCAAGTAGTATCTTACATTCCTGAAGGAGACTGTGAAGGCACCAAGATAAGCCACCACTCCAGATGACAATAGCACATCACCAGTGATGTTGATGAATTTCTCTCCCAACAGGCGGGCAGCCTCTGTCCATCTGTCTTTTTCTCCCCCAAGACCACCAATGAGTTTCTCTGCACGATCAAGTTTTTTCTCACAAACATCAATGTTAGCCTCCAAGTCCTTTTTCTTTTGTGTCATCTCTTCAAATTCATCATTGAGAGCCTGGAGTTTGTCCGTCACCTGAAAGTTATATGTCAATGAACTCTGTTAACATTTACCACTGAATTGAAAACAAACATAACAATGCATAATTGCTGTATGATTTGAAAGACATTTACATGGATAAAATATTACTATATATTTTAAATCAAGAAACTTCAATGAATAAACAAGTGTATTCAATGAACCTGTTTGAGTTGTGCACGTTTCTCGTTGAGTTTGTCCATCTGGATGGCGAGTTCTGCCTCAGCACCTTGTAGTTTGATTTTCTTGGGAGCCACCACTTTTGCTACTCTGTCATAGATATCCATGGCTTTCACCCATCTACACAGCCCCTCACAGGCAGTTGAGGCATTCTTAATCAGGTTAGGATCAAAGTCTGGGTTGGTCATATACCTACACAATCACAATGGTCAAATTTAGGTCATATCAAAACACAATGACTGAAGTCAAATTCTAGATTGATCATATCACAACACGGTAGCAGTAGTCAAATTCAGGATTGATCCATGACAACACAATAGCTGTAAGCAATTTAGGATTGATTATATAACAATATGATGGCAGTAGTCAGTTTTACGATACAGAACATTGTCTAAATTCTTTACTACAACTATTTAGGAACATTGGAACCAATAACTAGTACATGTAGCTTACTTTTCTCTAATCTTCTTGATAATAGCAGGTGGTATGTTGTCCTTGTCATAAGTTTTCAGCTTGTCAAGGAACTTGAAGTCACTAAGTACCTTCTGAGATGGCCCCCAGTAGTCTTCAATCATTTTACCTGAGCCACTTGGGTCAGGCTTCCTCTCCGACTTCATACCCAACATTACACAAATAGACTCCATCACCAACTTTACAGGAGGTGGGGGATTCTGTTGAACAGAAAACAAAAACAATACAGAATTCTCTTCGTAAGTTTTCATCTTTACTGTTTAGTTTACTCAGAAAATGCTATGAAGTAAGATAGATTGATCATAAACCAGGAATGCTCAATTTCCTAGATATACAAAATATATTAATTTAAAACCATTTATAACTACACCACTGTATAATCATAATAATAAATTAAGGCACAGAATTACCCATATCATCAAAAAAAATAGTCTAACTTGTGATTACATATATATATTATGATGCATAATTACAGACATTGAATAATATTTGATCAGTTGCCTTTGACAAGTACAGTCTCAACTACTGGTATATTTTGAAATTAATCTTAAGTTATACCTTCATGGATTTGACAAGTGTGATGTCAGCAGGTTTGAGTGTATTGAGTGCAGCTATGGCAGCCTCCAGGGCTGGGATAGCCTCAGCCAGCTCACTTTCACATTCATCCTTGATGGCCTGAGCAGCTGCAGCTGCTTCATTGGCAACAGCTTCGTCAGCAGCTACCACCTACATAAGATACCATGCTCAAGTTATTTGGAATAAGCAACACTACTCACAACATGATACTCAATAATCTACAATACAATTATTAGTCACTTACAGTACAATACTCGAATGATTACCAAGTGAACAGCTACCACACTGTACTCAAATAGTTGAAAATTTCACAACACTGCATCATAACACTAAGCACAAATGACTGAGATTTGACAGTACTGCCTAAAACACAATGTTCAAATGATTAGAGATTTTACAGTACTGCCTAAAACACAATGTTCAAATGATTAGAGATTTGACAGTACTGCCTAAAACACAATGTTCAAATTATTAGAGATTTGACAGTACTGCCTAAAACACAATGTTCAAATTATTAGAGATTTGACAGTACTGCCTAAAACACAATGTTCAAATGATTAGAGATTTGACAGTACTGCCTAAAACACAATGTTCAAATTATTAGAGATTTGACAGTACTGCCTAAAACACAATGTTCAAATGATTAGAGATTTGACAGTACTGCCTAAAACACAATGTTCAAATGATTAGAGATTTGACAGTACTGCCTAAAACACAATGTTCAAATTATTAGAGATTTGACAGTACTGCCTAAAACACAATGTTCAAATGATTAGAGATTTGACAGTACTGCCTAAAACACAATGTTCAAATTATTAGAGATTTGACAGTACTGCCTAAAACACAATGTTCAAATGATTAGAGATTTGACAGTACTGCCTAAAACACAATGTTCAAATTATTAGAGATTTGACAGGACTGCCTAAAACACAATGTTCAAATGATTAGAGATTTGACAGTACTGCCTAAAACACAATGTTCAAATGATTAGAGATTTGACAGTACTGCCTAAAACACAATGTTCAAATTATTAGAGATTTGACAGTACTGCCTAAAACACAATGTTCAAATGATTAGAGATTTGACAGTACTGCCTAAAACACAATGTTCAAATTATTAGAGATTTTACAGTACTGCCTAAAACACAATGTTCAAATTATTAGAGATTTTACAGCTTTGTTAGCAGTTACTATATACGATGCAATTCCCAAACAACTGGAGATTTTTCAATACCATCTACAACACAATGATCAAATGATTAAGGACCCTACAATACAAAGTTTAAATGACTGGGGACTCTACAATAAAATGCCCAAATGATTGAGGGCCCAGAAAACAATGGGCAAATGATTGAAGACCCTACAATATGGTATATTATGACAATATCATACCTCTTTCTTGGCCTCAACTTCAACTGTATCCTGCTCTATTTTTATCATCAACTTTTCTGTCTCTGCGGATGTTTTGATGAGTTCTGGCTGCAGTTCCCGCAGCTCTTGTTGCATCACAGATACCTGTGAAGCTGCAAAGTCAAGTTTTTCCAAACCAACGAGGTAGCGATTACGAAGGGAGCTGATTTCATCACGCTTCAGGCCCAACAGAGTTTTAAATGTCATGATCAGTTCAAGGTAAGATGTAGGGGTCACATAGTTATGTCTCCGTAATTGCTCAAAGAAACTGAAATTCAAAAGTGATAGTTAGTATGAGCTTTCTTTTTAAACAAAATGTCTTATCCAGAATAAAAATGATAAAATTTGAATAAAATTATTCAAAATTTTCACAGTATCTAGTACAATGAAAGAAGTACTACTACAATGTACATAATCAAGTTAGAACCCATGCCGTATATTTATCAAATATGATATTGTACACAAAATTCACTTTTCACAATCAAATTTTAGCACATCATCCATAATTTCTATATAACATACAAAAGGGAGAATTTGTGCAATCATATTTAAGTCCAATATTTTTAGTACAGAAAGTGCTAACTTACAAATAAGATTATCATTAAAATCAGATTAATGCTGAAATGTGTACATTTACAGTATGTGAGTTCATTTTTAAACTATTTCATTAAAGAGTTTGTCAGAGGTGATCTACCCTCTATGTTACTTTTGTTACCTGTAGACCATGTTTTTATGAGGAGTTATCTTTCCCTGTTTTACCAGATTTGCTATATATGTATCTATCTGTGTAATATTACCTGGTAGAAAGCTGGTGCACACTTTCATGGAAATGTTTACACATGACTACACATGACTTGCGCATGTGATCCTCTAGCTCCACCTCCTCCAGGAACTTATTGGCCACCATTTCCAAAGCATCAGACGGCCACGGCTGAAAAAAAACATGACAAATCAGAAATCTTGACTTATCCATACATGAACACTATACTACTGTCACAAAAATATTTCACTTCCATATTTATTATCAATCTTAAACTGATATTATTTAGCCAATAGTCATAAAGCATTCAAAGCAAGTTTTGTTTAAATAGATGATCTATAGATTGATGATGGATGACATGACATGGCAAGAAACAGAGTAAAAATAGTAGATATCATAAATATCATAAACATTTAACTTCTGAGTTTTTTTAAAAAAGACATTGTAAATTCATGTCCATGTTTTGTGTAAACTTTGTTGCCACAAACACATTTTGGTACATAATGGTGACTGTGTCATCAAAAGACTCTCTTTCTTTATAAATGCTTCAATATGCTGGCCTCACAATTGTTAAAATAACCGTATTTACAAGAATTAAACATGAAACACATTTACCTGAAACCAATCTATGGTGCAACAATTGATGAGAGACGGAAACATTCGGAGTCGGTTCCTGAAAGCATCACCAATAGGACTCATAGCCAGTACGACGTGTAAGTTCTGCATCACCTTCTCAATGAAGTAGTTATACATGGCTAGAGGGGTGGCATCCATTTTCTTTCCCTACAAAAAGCCATAAGAGATCTGTTATGTGCAGCATGCTATGTTACATATCTAATGAGTCATTTCTCAGTGGACAAAGTGTATTCAAAGTCTGCCAAGGGTCAACACTTTAAACTAATCATATGAGTCAGTTAATCTCACGTGAAGAAAATTCAACTGTTAAAATTATAACCTATTGTTTTTGTATCAACTTGTACAGTCATCACATCTGTATTGTATAAGATAATAGCTGTAGTCATGTCAAAAACAATGTCAAAACGAAACCAAACAAAAATTCCAACTTGTAAATGTAACCAATTAGAAATGTGATGTAATTCTAAATTCTAACACAAGTCTGGACTACCTACATGGTGAGAGTCCAAGCATTAATTTGCAGTATTGAATAGTTACCTCAGCTCTTGCTACAGCCTGCATTTTCTCAATGAGTTCTGCCTTCTCGTCTGAAGCGAATAGATTGGGCACATCTCCAGTGTTAAGGATCATACTGATGTCCTCCATGAAGGATTCATCTTTAATTTGTGTGTCAGCAAACAGGAAAGTGATGGGCTTGTTCTCGCATCCTGCTTTCAGTAGGAGCTGATACAAAAACAATTCATTGTAAAGACTTATAACTTGATACGACAGGAACACATCATGAAAGGCATCAGAGAGTGCATGTAGTCTTCAGTAATGATATATTCCTTATTCTTATCATCTAGATTTTCCAAATGTTAAAGACAGGATTGTCAAGAAACAAGCTTATTTCAAGGAAGAACAAAATACAATGTCCAATGCCACTTGTATCATCTACTCAGCCAAGTATCACAAAAAATGTACTGATGCATTCATGTAAAAGATAACATACACCATTAACTATACTCAAATATTGAAGTAAACAAGAAATAGTAACTTTTTTAAAATATTACTCAGTTGAATAAGATAAATAATTTCTCAAATGTCACATATGGTGAAACTGGAAACAGGTTATACTTATCTAGTGTATACCGAGGTATTTCAAATACACTGTCATAACCTGTATAAATTTGTATTATCATTTGAGATTTCACTTATCCACATCTACCTTGTAGAACATGTTAGATTATACATCATCAGCCAGTGGACTCACCCTTTTAAGGTCTTCCCTCCACTCGTTATTGGAGTAGTTCTTGGTGATCTCAATCATGAAGATATCATAGTCAGCCATGAAGGTGGCCAGTTTAGCAGCACTCTGTCTACCACTGCCCCCAATACCTGATACACAACCAACCAGGTTTTAATAACGCTAGAGACAATTTTACTAAATCTGTAGGACATTCACAAAGTTTTCAGATATGAGTAAAACAAAAAAAAGAGTATGTTACCTTAACCATTTATTATGTATCTGATCTTTATTCAGAACTTTAAGTGGGAAATATCTAATCAATTCATTGAAAGTATCTGTTTCATCACAATGCTATGAAATTTACTCTCATATTATACAACAAATGGATGTAAAAACCTATAAAACTTTAAACATCAATGGCTTCTACTGCCCTCACTTACCAACTAGGAGAGCATTTCCACTGTCCTGTAACAGGACTCGGCTCACACGGGAAATGTGTTCAATGGCGAACTTGAACATCACAAGATGCATGGGTGCCTTACTGATCATGTTGTACTCATCCAAATAACTACACAAAGTAAGGTAAGGTGATGGTGAGTGGTACAACAAAAACAGTGAATCATACAGTGTACATCCATTATACCAGTCAACAATCACCAGTTCTACACATAATCACCAAGTCTTTGTCTTGAGAAAAAGAATTTCAGAAGTTATAGGGAGATCTCAGTCCTTGAGTTATTGACATTTCTATAGCTTTTTCTATTACAGCCAAGTCCAAATAAAATCACATGTCAATATTTTTTAGTGCTTGTTCTTCATAAAAACTCTTGTTTTTCTAGTTTTGCCTATTTCATAATGAAGTACTGACCATTATCAGTCAGTGTAAAACCACCTGTATGTATGAAATGTGTCACCTGTCTAGCATTTTATAATGCCTTTCCTTCATAGAAGTCAGATAGAATATTTCGAAACAGAAAATACTATGTGCCCTAATTTTCAGAAAAGAAAGATACTAAAGGTTTAGGATAACAATTCATGTCATATCTTAATGTAATATTTATCATACACTTGATGATAAGTGATAATTTCTATAAATGGTGATCACTATAACACAGCAACATAGAAGGAACTTCTCTACAAGATCATGTATCTCACTCTACTATATAGCATCAGGGCAACCACAGCTAAAAGTATTTTAGGGATTTTTCACTGGTAGTTTTATATATCATAATTACAAACAAAAACACACAACCATGCCATGCAATCAAATATATTTAACCTCTGACAACATAGTACACATATGATAAACATGCAAAAAACTAAATATTGTGTTTCGTGCTACCATGACAGTGATGACAGAATCTGTATTGGAAGTCAGTATTCAACCTGCCAACCAGTTGCTATGTAACAGTGAACTTATCATTCTAAAATCACGATAAACTGTAGTAAAAGTCACTTTCAATGTCATGTTCACCTTGTTGTAGTGATGAGAACTATCTATGTAAAATGTATATCTGATAACATAAATATAAGTAATCACTCCTTTTATTAAGGAGATAAATATGATACTTAATGAGAACAGTAAAAGGAATGTAATTTCAGTAAACATTTAGCTTCGGTAAAGTAGAATGATTATCAAAATTTTAGCCACATTAGTGAAAAAAATATCTAACACTTTTAAATGTATCTGTCAAAATGTTATTATCGAAAATCCTATAACAAAATGTACAACAAGGCATAAAATACGTTATTTATTTTTCATTTAGAAATTAAAAAAAAATCAAATTTCTGTAATTATGTCTCTTTTTTTTACAATCAATTATGCAAACTAAATTCCTAATGTAATTTATTCACACAAGCATTGACAGATGCCTGAGTCTTCCCCATCTAAACTGTTGGAATGACCACTTTACTTTTAAATGATCACATTTACTGTGGCATCAAATGTTGTGTTGCCCCAATACATCAGACTAATTGTTCCCCTTTTTTGTGTCAGACTTTCTAACCAGAAAGTCTTAATGATATCAGACATTCAGCATCTAATTCATTTATAGCAGGCAAGGGGAGAGTGGGGGGGGGGGGGGTGGGTTCCAATTTTTATTGGTAAAATTGTGTTAATGATAATAAAACACTTACTATTCCATCATGGATGAGAGTTCTTTGAAGTCAGAGATTTCATCATAAATTTTGTTCTCCTGTATCATGAAGTCACCAAAGAACAAGTTCCTGATGTTGTCATCCACCACAGATCCACTCTTTGATAAATGACCAAGTAGCTTGTCCATGTTTGTCTTGAAATGATTGGAGCATTGCTCCTTCACAATATTGAAAAACATCTCTCTGTAAGACAAAGAGGAGCCTCTATCAACGGTAATTCACTCAAAGTACAACTATAACTTCAGACTGTAGTCCTGAAAAGGGTTAGTTCAAAAGACAGAAGAAATATATAACAAGATATCACAAACAATGCAAATGCCTTCATGGTTCTATCTTGACCAAGTGCAATAAAAAAAATTGCCTACAGTGATAAAGATTTTCTAAAAATAGTAAGAATGCCACTTGACCCTACAACCTTGACTCAAGCTTTCCTGTGATATTATATATCTCTAAATGCATTTGAAGTTTGATCTAAATCCTTCAAGGAATTAAGCTGCAAGAGCGTCAACAAGAATTTTCCAAAAGACATATCAGTGACAATGTCTTTGAGCTTACAACCTTGAAAATTCCAACTTCTCTGAGATATGAGAGTCCTTAATAAGTATGTTATAATTGATTAAAATCCCTCAAGAAATGAAGCCACTTGAGCACTGGCAAGGATTTTCTAAAACTAGTAACAGTGACCTTCAACATAGAATCCTGAAATTCAAACCACATGATATAATGGTCATGTGGTTTATGAAGTTCAATTAAAATCCATCCAGAAATGATGCAGCTAGTGTGCTGATAAAGATTTTCTAAAATTAGTATATTTGACCCTGACCTTGACTCAAAAACACTGAAATTTTATTTCCTTTGATATATAAATGTCTTTTACAAGTGTGTGAAATTTGATCAAAATCTCTCAAGAAATGAGGTGAACACAGTACTGAAAAGAACACTCCAGAAATGAAATCACAAGAGTATTGACAAGGATTTTCTAAAAATGATATAAGTGACCTTGTTCCTTTGTTGACATTAAATCATGTGAAGGATGTAATGGTCCTATGGAAGTATGAGAAGTTTCATAAAATGTTTTTAAGAAATGAAGCTACTAGAGAGCTGATAGTGATTTTCCAAAAAAAGGCACGGTGACCTTGACCTTGATGCTAGAACCCTGAAATTCAGTCATCTGAGACATCATAAATTTGTGTTAAGTTTGATTGAAATCCGTACAAGAATGAAGTCACTAAAGTGCTGAAAAGGATAAATGTTACCATCATATATACACATATATGTACATACAGAAATTCCTAACTCCCCTCCCCAACATTTCCAAAAGGGACAATCACCTGAGAAAATTTCACTTCATAACATCAGTGTTAGACCATCAAAAATTTTCCATTCAAGAAATCAGCATCCTTAAGCAATCATCAACTAAGAAACTGTCCTACAGTAATACAGCTAACACTAGCAACATGGCTCCAGCCATTTCATGGAAAGGGACTTAATAGGGTCTGATCATAATTGCAATTAAGTGTCTTTGAGGATAAAATCATACACAAATTGTGACGATAAAAGAAGTACGTATTAATTCTATTTTTCAAATATTTCCTTATCCAATGATTCTACTCACCGGTCCTCATTGTCAATGAGACGGTCGTAGAACACTCTGTACACTTCATGTATCCACAGTCGGAACAGCTTGTCAGTCTCGCTCATATTTGTATGAGGGACAAGCAGTACTCCACGAATCACACGAGCAAAGTCACGCAAGTTGAACACATAGTGACTCTTTGACGGTGTAGGTAAAAAGCTCTGAATAGCATTTTTATACACTCCCATTGTTGCAGCTACAATCAACTGAAAAATAAAGCAACACAGATCAGCTATATATCCAAGTCAAATACCAATCCATTTCTAAAGTAAACTACAAAAAATTACTTTTAAGAGAAATAGATTATCTAGCAGCTGCTTAGTTACTCACAGTTGTTGTACATGTATAGCAATAAACAGTTTAGTCAACATTAATATTTCATCATCATCAAAATGAATCTAAGATATGAATCACAAGAATACAAACCTTGCCATTTCTCACAAATGAACCATCAAAACCTTTTCCAAAATGCCAGTCAGTAATGTTGGTGAAAATTCTTGTCATAGTATTGTCATCAAACTCATCTATTGATGTAATATTAAGGTGGCGTGTGAACCGACTGGTGATATCATTACGTCCTCCTCCAGGGGGGCCCATAGCTGACACAAACAGCTGTTAAAAGTACATAAACATAGGTTTAGGCCTAAAATGAAAATGAAGCTGAAGCTGACAGTGTGAATATACTTACAAACAATTCACTTATTCTCTGAGCAAACAATTTCTTAAAAACAGAAAAATGGGGTGTACCTTTAAATTATGAATACAAGAATTGTTAGGAAACAGATTCTTACCACATCAGTAAGGAATACTTTGGTTGTGTCCTTCCTATCATACCAGTGTCCATGGTCAAGCCACTGTCTCAGTAACTCAATAGGAGGCTGTGCTCCGTACTTCTCCTTGCCTGGCATATTCAAGTCATCGACAAACACTACAGACTTCTTCCCCATTGGAGGACCAAACACACCCTTTCTCCTCCTGTTCAATAGATCATCAAATAACATTTGGATTTTTCTGATATAATACTCCTCTATACCGTCTCCATACAGAAATTAAATATAACTAAAGATAAAAGAAATTTCAGCTGATTTGCTCAATAATCTTGAACAGGTAACAGAGATGAACATGTTTCTGCTGATCATGTGTACTGCATCCAGACACAGGGAAAATGGGGAAGCTGATTTACTGTGTACAGTTGTAACAATAACAGAACTTGGATGTTAAAAGCTACATAAATGATGTCATATTCTGTTCAGCTTTCTTATATGTTATTAGATCACATGAGTTATAAAGAGGAACAAACATCAAATCAGGAAAAGCTGAATTGCATAAACAGGCAAAAGGAATGAAACCAACCTGTCCAGCTTTGACATAACAATGTCCTGTGTCTGATTGGCTGAGGTTCTGGCAGAGAAGTTAATGCAGTTCGCCACATATCTGGAAAAAAAGAGAAATATTCTTCATCAGCTTTATGGTGACAACAATTCACATGCTTTTACTACAAAGAGATAAACTACTACCTCTACCTTAGCTACTTCTTTAGTGAAATTGAAGTTGAAGTTAGCCTAGTAGTTTGGCGGTATAGTCTTCAGGAATATTGGCTTCTTTAATTGTACAACATTTGATCCTCATTCCTTTCGGACACTACAACCAGGATAGGTTGAGACAAGGTAAGTAGTTTGGGGTGGGATATTTTCAGAAAACAATTTTGACCTTGTAGGTCAGGTATCATAGTGGGTTATTGATATCTCATTTTAAGATAAACTTTCATAGCCTTTAGAACATAGCCCATCTAAATTCAGAGCATCATTCAAAGAACACTACAAACGTCTGAATAGTGCTTAGTAATTTTATAGCAGTTTTTTAAACAAAATTTGATAGGTAAAAGACACTGGATTGATAAGGAACCAAACCATTCTCTGAATTTTAACTAAAGTGATATTCCTTATGTACAGTGCAGCCAAACCAAAATATTTTGCATACCCTGTTTTATCTAAATTATGCATCAACACTCATAACCTTTACTATGAGTGCAAATTTCAACCAATCATTAAGACAAATGGAAGTAAAATAACTTAAATATGTGTTCCAATCACAGGTACAACTAGGATAACAGGACACAAAGTATAAACACTAAATCTTGCCCTACAATGATAGTAACTGTTATGTGATCATTTTGATTGAGCCCCAAATTAGACAGTCAAGTGTTTTATCCTCAAGACTTGAGACTTCCATATTATCAATTAAACTGGAATTAATTTTTCTCTCACTTCCAATCTAAAATATATTGAGAAAATATCATAGTATTATACATTGTTTATTATACAGGTGTGCATATTATTATTTTAAGTGCTGATTGTTTCTACGACTTTACAGTACTTTTTTCTACATACTGTAATACCCTTTAGGGAAAGGGGGGATGTCACACAGAATTTTCTAAAACTGGTAATACAAGTAAGTGAAAATGATGTGAGTAGCATACTTACACATCCTTAGGCAAACTGAGGAGGTAGTTGTTGGTGATGGCAGATTTACCAGTACCTGTAGGACCAATAAACAGTGTGGACTGCTCGTGCTTGAGGTAGGTGTCGAGAAAGAAAGTCTGTCTTGCAGTCTCAGCTGTAGGTACAGTAATCTCACTCACCTTGTCAACATCAAAATAAAAGAAATTCATAAGCTCAGAAGTTTAGCTCAAGAAGTTTCATTTTGACGTCTTTCTCTGAACAACTTTAAAATGGCATTTGTAATCTAAATGCATTCAGGAAAATTACAACAGTAAAGCATACCACTAATCAAAATAACTTATACAATTAAATTAAATTTTAAAACTACCTTTGCATCAGCAGGAATGGTCATAGAAGCACGATCAATGGTATCCAACCAGTCAATCCAGTTTCCTCCACCTTTCTTTTCAAAACTGAAGTCATAGATAGTGGCCCTGTCTGGGATCATGTTACTCTGAAATTAGAACAAAATCATTTTACACATTCAACCAAGATGGTGTTATTTGGGTTTTTTTGGAGGGATTGCATTAGTAATTTCAGACACTTATAACTCTATTTCACTCGTAGATTTACCTTGGTGATCTTGATGCTCTTGGGTTTGGGGTGGTCAGCATCAGTACCACTGAGGATATTGCGGAAGTATTGATCAAACTTCTTTCTGCTATCACCAGTTATGGTGCCACCCACTGTCCAGATGAGGGAGAATACAAACAGACCTTGCAGCCACAGGGTAATCTGAAACACAGCTTACTAGTGAGTAAACATTCCATTGTTATATCTCATTGCTGAGAGTTAGGATTACAATGTTTGTTTTCACAAGACAATATCAAGCCTACCTGCTGATTGGAGAGAACATCTCGAGTGGTCTCCTCTCCCTCTACTGGTGGGTTGTTGACGGAGTCAGCAATCTCATCTAAAAGACATGTGTATAGCCTCATCAGGGACTGAACTAGGTGCATATCTGATGTTTGTAAAAACAGCTTGCACTTTTTGTTAATGAAATACAGACAAGGCTCAATTAGCCATTCAAACAAGTCATTGACAAGGTCCTTGTTTTCTTGAGACAGATTCTGTGGCAATTCATGCTGCATGTAGGAGTCCTTGAATGGTCGCCAGCCCATCTGATGGGGTTCCAGGTAGATCATACCACATCTGCTTACTGTAGCTGGTGAAGCTTGCTCCAGGTCAGCAGGCTCAAATATTAGGTTCATCTTGTTGCTCATCTGAATGATCTCGCCACTCATCAGACACAACTGTTAAGAAGTTTAAGCAGACATCAAAGTGTGATCAAACAACATATTTATATAGAAGCAGTTATTGAATGTATGAAAGCATTTATCTACATAATTGTGATCAATATCTTACCTTTTTGTTATCATCCAATACAGTGTTCATATTCTCAATCCAGACAGCATCCACAGGGCCATCAAAGAGAATCCACTTCCTGTCAGTGTTAGGGTTACTGGCATATTCTCGGAATGTGTTGGCTAAAACACCTGTAAATATACATGATTTTATGTCTAAGTAGGCTAGTAAGTTTATTTTTATTTCTATACTCTCTAATGATTTCAACAAATTTCTTGTGAAAAACATTAGTCAAGGGAACACATACAGGAAATATTGTTGATTATAAAACATGTGGGCCAGTAAATCAATATTCGAGGTAATGGTAAAATTTAGTCAACAAACTACATATGAATAGAAAGTATGTACTAAGGTAACACCACCATAGATATAATGTACTAAGGTAACACCACCATAGATATAATGTACTAAGGTAACACCACCATAGATATTATGTACTAAGGTAACACCACCATAGATATTATGTACTAAGGTAACACCATCATAGATATTATGTACTAAGGTAACACCACCATAGATATTATGTACTAAGGTAACACCACCATAGATATTATGTACAAAGGTAACATCACCATAGAAAGTATGTACTAAGGTAACACCACCATAGATATTATGTACATAAGTAACACCAACATAGATATTATGTACTAAGGTAACATCACCATAGATATTATGTACTAATTTAACATCACAGGCTAGCTCTATATTGGAGGAATTGTGGATAAACGCTATCGTGTTCATAAATATGAGGTGGTATATCAAGATTATAATGCTAGAAAATGAATTTAACTGGTGATGCAAAGTTTTAATGGTGATGCATTGGTAAAAAATAATAAAATAAAATACAGAAGGGTTTTCCTAATTTTTACTATGAGCTTCGATCATAAGCTGTCTAGGTAATTTCACTCAGGGCTCATGACATCAGTAACATTCCAATTGAAGTGGTATTTCATTGACCTTTTGGGATGGTGTTTATGTTCATGACATTGTTTTCATGATGTTTTTACATATGTTGACCATGGTTCTTTTGAAGTAAATGAAGAAATATTGGTGAACAATGAAAATCATATGCCTAATAAAAGACAGAAGGTAGTAACCACACCACAGGACGAATCAAAATGTGCCTAATACAATGTCATTAATTCTCATTTCTTCAGTAGGATTAATCTTATTCTGTTTTCATCACATATAAATATTTCTGATTTCACAACTCAAAAATAAACTTAACTCAATGAAATAATTTGTGACAAAGGGAGATATTTTCGGAATCTTTTAAATTACAATGGCAAGTTTGCTATTGGACTGATAATAGTATAAAAAGAAGTTTTACCATCAGTCCATTCATGAGATACTGGATCAAAGCATCCATACAATTGACCCATAGTGATGGCCTTTGGGTTAATGATTCTGTACACTGTTTTAAACTCATCAAAAGCCCCAATAGCTTGAAGGTCAGTTAGGGCTGCGGCAAGGACCTGCCAGCCTTTTGTCTTCCCTCCTAGAGGTTCACCAACCACCATTAATCCGTGACGCACCAGGATCATCTCATACACCTGCAAACATAAGTCATCTGTACTGTCACAGTCTTGGTAAAATAGAATGAAGTACTCATGAAATATAATAAAATATAACTTAAAACTGATTGTTTGCATGTCACACATATATCACGGCAGTAAAAGAGTACATGTACTATTGAATATAGATGACATCACAATATATCATTTACTATACAAAAACAATATACTGTTCTTATTCATGACACAGTAAACACAAATTCAGAATGTTGTCATTTCTGATTACTTAACATATAATTGAAAACACACAATCTGAACTAACACAAGAATGTGTCTTTTTAAGTTTAATTTTTTCCTCTTCAAAAATCATATACAAAGTCCATCTGATACTGATCTTGTTTTACCTGTATAATCTTTTCCAGGAACCAGGGTACAGTTTGTAGTTTCATTTTCACTGTGTTTTCTTTCAGAGCATCCATGAAGGCACCGTAATCAGGCTTTGGACATTCCACTCCAGGGAACAAATCAGATATGATACCTTCAAACAGGGGTACGTCCTGTAAACAAAATAATTAATTATAAAATGCACCTGAATATGCACCACAAAAGATTTAGATAGGGAAAAAAACTGTTACTTAGGGGCAGTATTTAATGGAATGTTGAGTTCTTCTCAAGCGCATACATATCATATTCACTTAAAAGTAAAATTATGATGGAATACTACACTGTCAATAGTATCATCCCAACAAGATGTTTGGCAGCAACCATTGTATAATGTTCTGTTGTTTTTATATTCTTTGTTGTTTTTCCATGTTTTTTTTTTGCTTTTTTTTGACCGTCATGTTTAATGGTATATGAGTTATGTTGTATCACGATAGTTACAAATGTTGTTAGCCAAATGGTGAGGTTCTAATTGTATCTACTAACAAAATATTATCATGCATGTTTTGAAAATAGAGGAGAACCTTTAGCAATCAGGCTATCATATGCCTTTTCATCTCAACTGACCTGAGCCAAAAACTTTGGCAAGTTAACATCCATGATAGCCTTCAGAAGAAGAATTGCTTCATCCTGGTCAAGATATTTCAACTTTAGGTTGCCAGCTGCTGTGAGTACAGACTTGACGGCTCTCATACCGTAGTCATAGTGGTGTTGAGAGGACAGTTGTTCAGAGCACAGTTTGTATGTTGCCACGATTTTGTTGGCAAGACTTGTAAAAGAGAAGTCAGTTAACATTCACCAGAAGTGCAACTAGAAATGTACAAGTTTTAAAAGGAAGCATACTGTAATCTATAAACTTATCAAAATTGTAAATAACATAATAAAAACTATCTTCAAGGAAATATGGCATGATCTTTTAAATGTACTGACCCCAATACTGTTTGAACATTCCAATAATTTTTCTTTCCTTTCTTTTTCTTTATTTTGGTAGTATTTATGATATTATTACTACATATTTTACATTACATACTTAATACAAGACAAAATAGGTTACCTTCTGGCATTTACAAAACCCATGGAGTACAGGGAGATCTCTCCTATCATTCCGTAGTCAGGCACCATCATAGCTACTGTTCTGAATAACACCTGTCACACAAGTCAAAGTAAAATATTCTGACTATAATCAATAGCATATGGATAGAATTTTTATATTTTTTTTTACTGATGTTACTGCTATTTCACCTTTGTTTCAAAAGTAGATTTGTAGAACAAACATCTCCATGAAATTTATAAATAAAATGTCTTCAAAAACAATGAAAATACTGCATGCCTAAGAAACTGATATCAGGAGATGTGAATGAATACTGACACTAAGAAATAACTCTATGATAACATAATGTACATGTTTTCTTTGTATCTCCTGGTGTTGTTCACCTTGACCTAATTTTTTTACTTACTTTTAGGTTATCTGGCAACTCTTGTCGGCCAGCATAACCAGGGTTCATGGTGATAAACATGGTACAGGTGGGATTCAGTGACAGTTCAGTTCCCTCAAAAATGAAGCGCTTGAGTTGGGCAGCAATGGCGTTCTGAATACTGGCAATCTGTTGTGCCACTACAGACAATACCTCAAGCTCTATACGGTTGAACTCATCAAAACAAGCCCATGCCCCAGCTTGGGCCAAACCCTTGAAAAATTTTCCCATAGCTTTGAAATCCAATCCATCTGAACAGTTGAACACCACACACTGTAAAATGTCAGACAAAAGTATTATTGAGAATCTTTGTCAGTTTTCATTTGAAAAGGGTTTAACATGCATGTGTTTAAAACTGTACCAAGTCAATGTAATGTACAATTATGTCACTAAAAAAGAGTAACAAATTTACAGAATATTATTGGGGAAGGTACTTTGTACTGACCTGCTTTGCCACAGCTTTAGCCAGATCTTTGCATGTTTCAGTTTTGCCTGTTCCTGCTGGTCCTTCTGGAGCACCTCCAAGATTCAGCTTCAGAGCTCCCATCAATGTTCTAGGAACAAATTATATACATGATGAAATTTTATGAACCATGATTGTGAAAATATGAGAAATGTGTTGGTCACAAATTTATTTTAGTACCATAACATCAATTAAATAACATCAATTTTCATGTGTACACAGCCATACGATTTGTGTTTCCAGAGTAAAGTTTACAGGTAAAAAGTGAGGAGTACCTGTAACATCTGTCTGTGAGGGGAGTAATGACCAGACGACCACTGTTGCCAAGATACTCATAGCCATAGGCAGTGTCTGTCGTGATCATGCGTACTATCACGTCATCCTTGTCCCAGTAGTACCGCAACTGAGCCAGCCAATCAAAATCATTAGGACTGGACACATTGTCCTCAGCAAGTTTAGCCACAACGTCACGAGCTGGAAGAAAATGATGAGCATAAGACATTATTAAGATAAATGTACCTAGTAAATTACCTACATGACATGGGTCAATCACAGGCTTTTATCTCACTTTCATTATGGCTTTACCTGTAAGAAAAGTTATTTTATCTGATCACTCATACAAAAGCCAGAAATAATCACAAGAAAGAATGAAGAAAGCAAATGTTAGTGGCAATAAATATTTCATATTGGGCCAAATCGCACTGGACGTAAACTCTACTTTCACATTTTCTTAATAGGATTGGGTGGACTTTTATGTCAGTGGTTAAGACACAGCTTCATCAGATAATTACAGAAATATGAGTTAAAGATTTCAGTCAATATGATAACTTGAAATAAGCTCTGACAAATAATTACTATTATTCAGTAACTTTTTGTTGAGAAAAGGTCTGTATTCTTCAATACATATCTTATGTTCTCTCATGAGGAGATTCAGGGATGAGAGGATATTCAATAAGAAACAGGTTTTTGTCAGACTGCAGTCTTACATAAAATCTGTGAAAATGTACATGACATCTTATCATAAAGAAGAGAAATCTCTAATCATATTCAATATATTTAGTCAAATACATTGAACATGTATGTAGTACATAAGGGATTTAAATGAAATATTTAATGATAACTTACCATGTACATCTATCACAGTGAGAGCTCCCAAAGTAACCCTGTGACCTGTCTCCAATTTGCCTCTCACAAGTTGTACAATATCAGCTATCTGATCATTACATTTCAGGTGATATTTCTGTAGTGAAGAAATTATTTAAACTTATTAGCATTGGATTTCTTTTTCTTGCTTTCTTTTAAACATAGGATCTTACAGGAAATTCTATTTTACATACAATTTATGAAACAAGTGTAAGTTCGTCAAATGCAGTCCTGTAACAAAAGATTGAATAACAAAAGAATATTTGTACATGGTCAAGTTGAATTATGAAATGATGTGTGTAAAAAAGTAAAACATATAACACAAAGTTAGTCCAGACAGCCATAACCATAACAGTTATAACTGTTATACTGTGACAGAATATGTCTGGTCACAAATGGGTGTAATGAAATAGGAATCTAAACAGGTTTCATTGACTGCAAATATACATGTTAGATGATAATGCACACCTTCAGTCCTCCTGGCTCCATCATAGCCTCTGACACCTCTGTAGTCCAGTAGATGGACGATACACAAATGACCACCTGGCCAGCCCATTCCAACACCCAGTTATTCCTATTGGTGACCTTGTAGGCTTCCAAGGACTCAATGATAACCTTTCTGAGACTGCTAATCATCACATCTTCCACTTGTAGCAACCACTTCTCAACCATACCCTAGACAAAATTTATTTTCACATTAATCAAATAACCAAAGGACATGGTGGATAGCTTAAAAAATTGTAGAAATATTGTGCAGTTTCATCTTTTTATTGACAACTTAAATCTACCAAAACTACACATGCCAGAATAACTTTTCTAAGACACTTATATTTTTTCATTGAAATTTAAAAATTTTCACTTGTGTATTGCAAACATAGGTATCTCCTTCCAAGGTAAGATCTTCAATGTTTAGTACCAAACTTTGCTAACTGCTAAACTATGAACAGTTTATTCTGAAGATTGTGTCTACATCACACAAAGTGAATGATTGCTTTTTCTCCTCCACTTTCTGATCTTTAAATACTGAAACTTGTTGTGATAAACTGAAAAGGAATGCACACTTGTAGGAGTAATATATGTTTTACTGAGTGAAACAACAAAAATTATTGATAGGAAACTGAAATATTTAAACGATGGTTCACTGCAGTAAACAACTGCTTGTATACAGCTTATTAGTGAAGATGTTAACATTATCAATAAGAACAAAGTGGGCAGGGGCTCACATAGATATATCCTTACCACCTAATGTTTTCTTTGATTCTGTTAACCTTAACCTTGGTAGATGACAACCAAAATCTAATCAGGTATAGAACTTTGTGGGGTAAAATTAGGACATGAACATGAAGTAAAGTGACAGGGGTTCATGAGATATCTTGTACAGAAGGTTTTTAGTTAAGAAATGGTCAATTGTGAACTATGACCTTTATTTTTACTGATGACCACTAAAATCTAACCAAGTATAGACCTTAGGCTTATTCTATGAATATGAACTAAATTTATCCATGGATTCGTGAGATATCTTGTACAAAATGTTATAAAGGATCCATGCATGGCCAAACCGATGGACACACACAAACAAAGTGATTACTATATCTCCCCCTACCTAAGGGGGGGGGGGGGTTATAACAATGTTACCTTTGCTTTTGCTGGAATGATCTTGGAGTTGAAGGGGACAGTTTCATTTTCTGAAGATATCATGCCAAGGATTTCTTGGGTCTCTGAAAAGTCCAAACGACTGATGCCCTCAAAACATTTTTTCAAATGAGGCTGTACTCTCATCGGGTCCTTGGTCTCTGATAGGATTTCTAACAACTCATCATTGGACAGGAAGAAAAACCTTAAGGGGAAAAAATACATAGGACATAGTATTAAAACTATGCAAAATAATAAATGATTAGACGAAAATAAAAGCAATATTGTTCTTAAGAAAGCATATATCATCATACCATATTCATTTCAGTACTCTCATATATTTTACAGACCTTGGAAAGTAAAGGCGTTTTTTCTCCAAGTAAGCATTCAGTCCCTTCTGAATTTCTTCCAAGAGACGATTGGATTCACGAAGCCTGCCAAGCATATTGTTCTGGTCGGTAGCAACCAGACAATGATTGTCTTTGATGGCCTCTCCCATCACATCTCGCCAGATGTTGTCCACAATGCCAAATTTACGACCTTCTTCGGGCATCTGGGCCAGGATATCCTCAGAACTGAATATAGGCTCCAAGTACAACCAGGTGGCTTGGCACTGTAAACACAAAATAAAAGGGAACATATAGGTGATTCTCTTGAGATAAATCTTACATTGAGATTAAAGTTTAGATTTTTAAGTTGTAAATTAAGGTGCACTTAAGTCTGTATGCTATCTTACCAGTAATTTGTGTTTTTCTCTTCAAAGATTTCTATGATGAAAATCTTTGAAATCTCTCATATGAAGAATAATTAAAACCTGTCCTGTTGATTGTAACAATTAAATGTTTTTGTTCTATTTAAACACACATTGATTTCTGCGGTTGTTGCAAATGCATGTAATCCTCAGTCAATAGCATCATTTCAAGATATTTGCGCTTTGAGCAAATGTTAGAAAAAAAAAAGAAAACCAGAATAATTATGATATGGCTCATCTATTTTTCAAGAGAATAACATATGCATTCATTTCACTTGCTTAAGTCATCTTGAATTACCACATATCCCCTTTACATTTTATTAAAATATACAGAAATTAACCATATGTTTTATCTAATATCCAGTTTTAATAAGGAATTTTTACAAATTTTAAGTAAGTTTACCATAATTTCATAAGCAATGGATGATAAAAAGAATTGGCCATACCTTCAGCCACTCATCAAGAATGTCCTGCATGGTGACTAACTTTTCCTCCCACTCCTTCATTTCTGTCTCAAATGGTTTTATGAATGGTGAGCCCCTCATTGTCTGGGATTTAACAATGTGGTCATCTAGTAACACCTGGATTTCATCTGGGGCCGTGAGGATACACACACCCTGTCAATGGTAAATTAGATATAATTAGGTAGATACACACCCTGTCAATGGTAAATTAGATATAGTTAGATAGATACACACACACTGTCAATGGTAAATTAGATATAGTTAGGTAGATACACACACACTGTCAATGGTAAATTAGATATAGTTAGATAGATACACACACACTGTCAATGGTAAATTAGATATAGTTAGGTAGATACACACACCCTGTCAATGGTAAATTAGATATAGTTAGGTAGATACACACACTGTCAATGGTAAAGTAGATATAGTTAGGTAGATACACACACTGTCAATGGTAAATTAGATATAGTTAGGTAGATACACACACACTGTCAATGGTAAATTAGATATAGTTAGGTAGATACACACACACTGTCAATGGTAAATTAGATATAGTTAGGTAGATACACACACACTGTCAATGGTAAATTAGATATAGTTAGGTAGATACACACATCCTGTCAATGGTAAATTAGATATAGTTAGATAGATACACACATCCTGTCAATGGTAAATTAGATATAGTTAGGTAGATACACACATCCTGTCAATGGTAAATTAGATATAGTTAGGTAGATACACACACCCTGTCAATGGTAAATTAGATATAGTTAGGTAGATACACACACACTGTCAATGGTAAATTAGATATAGTTAGGTAGATACACACACACTGTCAATGGTAAATTAGATATAGTTAGGTAGATACACACATCCTGTCAATGGTAAATTAGATATAGTTAGATAGATACACACATCCTGTCAATGGTAAATTAGATATAGTTAGGTAGATACACACATCCTGTCAATGGTAAATTAGATATAGTTAGGTAGATACACACATCCTGTCAATGGTAAATTAGATATAGTTAGATAGATACACACATCCTGTCAATGGTAAATTAGATATAGTTAGGTAGATACACACATCCTGTCAATGGTAAATTAGATTTAGTTTGGTAGATACACACACACTGTCAATGGTAAATTAGATATAGTTAGGTAGATACACACACCCTGTTATTGGTAAAATAGACATAGTTAGGTAGATACACACACCCTGTTATTAGTAAAATAGATATAGTTAGGTTACCCAGTTTAATCACTAATTTCCAACTTCAAAGGTATCACATAGCAAATTAGTTAGAAACATTCTGAAAATTAATCTAAAAATGTTTCAGTATTGGCTCAACGTTACCTGAAAATGTCATATCAAAACTATGTTGTAAAACTCACCGTTTCCCTATAAGGGATGAGTTCGAAGCACTGATCCTTCCATTCAAATTTCATCTTCTCCAGAGCTTTTTCCAACGAATGTTCTTTGGCTGCAGCAGCCCCAATCTCCTCCAGCCTGAAATATACACAAATCAAGTTTATAATTCATCATGCAAAACTGTCCAGGTTCTTCATTAACATTTCACACCACCAAATGAAGACATAAATTTTTAGAATGTAAATTGTTGACATTAAAGTTACATATATTAGGGGTCTTCTTACTACAGCACTTTTATCACTGATTCTGAAGCATTGATTTAAGGCTCTTTGTATTTTGCTCATTTATTAAGTATTAGAAGAATTGCAGTAGTAAGATTTATATCAGGTGAATGAAATATACATATATATGCCTTATCAATATATGACATGGTCTTGAAAATATAGCAGAACACAGAACAAAAATTCCACTGTTTTCAAACTTATAGTAAGATGTTTGAATTAGGAAGACACTTGTACCAAATTATTGGGTCTTCTGTCATACTCTTTAAATATGTTTATTGTTCAGTGTTAAGTACTTCATGAATCTTTATGAATAGTTTTAAAAAGATCCACTTTATCATGTACTTACTTCTGAAGATGTTTGCTGAGACCATACTCTAACATGTTGCTGAGAGATGTCTCTGCTTGGGGTTTCAGATCAAATCCAACAATCTTGCTCATCTGTACACAATAAAACAGACCAATTAAAACACAGTAAATTAAGTCCAACAGATATGTATCCAAACAGCCCATCGCATTCAAGCTCAAGGATAAACTCACCTAATAAATGAAATACAATTGATAACATCAGATTTACAAGGCTGAAAAACTGTCATGAACTTTCAGATTTGTTATGAGTTAATTTCAACTTGTTTTATGTTAAAAACTGAATTACTATCATGGTCAATGACAAGTCTAAATAATACTTAAAACAAACTCCTTCAGGCCTCCTACTTACAGACTCCCAATGACGATCCCGGATACCAGGATTACAGATGGTCTGAAGAATGGGAAGATGTTGTTTGAATTTATCAATCTTGTTTTTGGTGTTGTCAGCAATTCTCCTTGGTCCTGCTTGGTCATTGAAGGATTTGGTCAGCTTGTACATGGTTCTCCACATATCTGACACTTCTGTCTCTATCTCCTCAGCATTCAAGCCCTGGAAAGGACCTACCAACAAAGAAAACATGTTTTACTATAAATAAGACAAATGCAACCTGAATAGATCCAACGTTAAACGTTCAGTGAACATTTTACAAGTGATATACCCATTCTTTGTATCTAACGTCCATCCCCTTGCTAAACAGGTTTTGTAGATAAAGATGAAGTCTAAAGAAGAGCCCAGAGCACCTTGACTAAAGCCTTACTAGAAACATGTGGACTGGACTAATGACATTTAAAAATGCTTACAGAACTGATGCAAATACTGTTTAGAGATTTTAAGATTGATTGATATTGCTGGTGTATACAATTTTGAGATAAGAAAATTCAATTTCTGATATTATTTATCTTGACATTAGTAGGTAAGATAGTTTTACCAGTGAGCCACTTCTCGTGTTTCTGGTGGAAAGTGTATGCAGTTCCCCATAATTTTTCATATGGTTCCTTTGTGGTGAACATGGTTTTCAACTGAGGGAATTCACTTGTCTCCCATTCCAGTAGTCGTTCCTCTTCATTGATACCCTCCAGTTCCTCTCGAGCAGTCTCAAGGTTAGTGGTGAGGGCTGCCAGCTGTTCTGTGTTGGTCCTCATGGCTTCCTCACTTAGGAACTGTAAGTAACCAACCAAAAAATCAATCTTATTCATAGGATGGAGTGATCTTGTTAAAAGGAAACCTCACTCTTCAGATACCATACTGACACAGAAAATAACATAACTTATGAATAAATGTAATACCTGGGTATGAAGTTATGTAGTCAACAAAGGCCAGCATAACCTGGTAATACATTTAATAATTATCATCCTCTAATTATTTCCTTACCGCTTCATAACTTTACAAATTAACACAGTGTGAAGTCATTAATTCAAACTCTGACAATGCATGACTCAAAATATTTACTCTAAAATGATTATTAAAAAAAAAGAATAGCCAATGTACCTCTTTCTTCCTGAATGACTCTACTTCCTTAACCATGTCATTGAGTTTTTCTTCATATGCCTGTGTTCTTCTCTTCAATTCATCTTCAATATGATCACGTTTGTTGACAATCCTGGATTGGGACAACTCAAACACCGACTTGATGTGATCCGGCCAAAGGAACACAAGACTGTTTAGTTTGGTGTCTTCCACTTCACGAATAAAATCAATATTTAAGTTGCATTCAAAGGAACTGGTCTGGGTAAGGTGAATCATTCAAAAACAAATTATTATTTTCAGACAAACATGTATATAGCTAGGAAAGAAAGAAAAAGTGTTGGCTACTTAACAATCAGACCTAAACCCTATACACGTTTTAATAATTTATCAATGTTAAGAAAAGGAAGAAAATAACCAAGAACATTAAAAAGAAATACACAAATAGCCTAAAATTTTCCAAACATGGTTTATGAAATTAATTTCTTTGGTAATTCTTAAAAAATGTAACAATTACATTACCAGGCTTTGAGTTGAATTTATACATACATGGGAAGATGGCGTAGTCTAAGAGAAACATCAGGCGACTGGTGGCATCCTCTATTTCATCCTTCAGTTTGTACACTGTTATATCCGATGACTTTAAAAAAAGATGAAACCAACAACAATATTAATGACAAAAAAAATCATGACCATTTCCAAATTAAGATAACAAGGAAAAAAAGTTTGACTTTTGCTTAAATTTAATGTTCTATATGTGCAAATAGATACTTAAATCTGTTCCAAAGGGTAAACACATTAAAGCAACATATGCTTATCTATATTTTTTCTGCTTATTTGTGACACAGGTTCACTACAACTGACCGTTTCCCTAAATAATGGACAATAACAATATACCTGACACTATGTCAATAACTTTTGGCATGTAACCATATAGCGAGTTGTTTGCCTTACTGATGGCATGTAACCATATAGCTGGTTGTTTGCCTTACTGATGGCATGTAACCATATAGCTGGTTGTTTGCCTTACTGATGACATGTAACCATATAGCTGGTTGTTTGCCTTACTGATGGCATGTAACCATATAGCTGGTTGTTTGCCTTACTGATGGCATGTAACCATATAGCTGGTTGTTTGCCTTACTGATGGCATGTAACCATATAGCTGGTTGTTTGCCTTACTGATGGCATGTAACCATATAGCTGGTTGTTTGCCTTACTGATGGCATGTAACCATATAGCTGGTTGTTTGCCTTACTGATGGCATGTAACCATATAGCTGGTTGTTTGCCTTACTGATGGCATGTAACCATATAGCTGGTTGTTTGCCTTACTGATGGCATGTAACCATATAGCTGGTTGTTTGCCTTACTGATGGCCTGTAACCATAAAGCTGGTTGTTTGCCTTACTGATGGCATGTAACCATATAGCTAGTTGTTTGCCTTACAGATGGCATGTAACCATATAGCTGGTTGTTTGCCTTACTGATGGCATGTAACCATATAGCTGGTTGTTTGCCTTACTGATGGCATGTAACCATATAGCTAGTTGTTTGCCTTACTGATGGCATGTAACCTTATAGCTAGTTGTTTGCCTTACTGATGGCATGTAACCATATAGCTGGTTGTTTGCCTTACTGATGGCATGTAACCATATAGCTGGTTGTTTGCCTTACTGATGGCATGTAACCATATAGCTTGTTGTTTGCCTTACTGATGGCATGTAACCATATAGCTGGTTGTTTGCCTTACTGATGGCATGTAACCATATAGCTGGTTGTTTGCCTTACTGATGGCATGTAACCATATAGCTAGTTGTTTGTATTACTGATGGCATGTAACCATATAGCTAGTTGTTTGCCTTAGTGATGGCATGTAACCATATAGCTGGTTGTTTGCCTTACTGATGGCATGTAACCATATAGCTGGTTGTTTGCCTTACTGATGGCATGTAACCATATAGCTGGTTGTTTGCCTTACTGATGGCATGTAACCATATAGCTAGTTGTTTGCCTTATGGCATGTAACCATATAGCTGGTTGTTTGCCTTATGATGGCATGTAACCATATAGCTAGTTGTTTGCTTTAGTGATGGCATGTAACCATATAGCTGGTTGTTTGCCTTACTGATGGCATGTAACCATATAGCTGGTTGTTTGCCTTACTGATGGCATGTAACCATATAGCTGGTTGTTTGCCTTACTGATGGCATGTAACCATATGGCTGGTTGTTTCCCCTTACTGGTGGCATGTAGCCATATAACTGACTATTTCCATAATTGATGATACAACTATACAACTGATTGTTTCTCTAATTAACAACATAAAGCCATATAACTGACCAATTCTGCAACAGATGACATAACCATGTAACTATTTAATTAATAACACATAACCTTATAATAGACTGTTTTCCTCATTGATAACACATAACTGTATAACTAACTATATCCCTAATTAATAACAGGTAGTCAAATAATTGACTGTTTCATTAATTAACAACACATAACCTTAAAATTAACTTTTAATTTCCCTAACTGATGTCATAGCTGTTTAACTGACCGTTTTGAGGTACTCCTGAGTATCTACTAGTTCCTTGGTTGTCTCTGGAATCTCACTGACTTTGTCAGCCATCTCATCATAACGCTTACAGATTCTGTAAAGAGATAGGTTAAATAAATCAAGTAAACTAAAAAGACTGCAAACAATAAGAATAGCATTTACTGCCTTTGATTTCAGGAAATACAGTTAACTAGAGGTAACAAGGTTTTTGGTTAAAGGCTCAATGAAATTGTCCTTGGCTGTATTTCTTTACCTTTGAGGCATTAGGTAAAGTCATAAGACAGCTATAACTCTCCTGACTTACCCTCTGTTGAGTTCTCTGTTTTCATCCACTTGGTGTGTGACCAGCTTCTCTTTCAACCTCATAGCTCGAGCACAAAGGTCATTGTTAAGGTTGACACAATCCAAACAGAACATGCTGAGTGGTACAGTGATACGAAGCAGGCTGATCTCATCCTTCAAGTCTTGGAAACTGATGATTTTCTGAAGTAGAAAGAAAAATAAATTAACATGTCATGTATTTATTCTTATATGAACCTCCAAGCATAGTACAGGGACATTTTGGATAGCATGCACTGTCAATCATAAATGAAGATATGGTTGGATTCTTAAAAGGACAAGAAAAATGTATCTAACCACATGGGTTTATCTTCATCTGCCTTACACTTGTCTGTATAATTCCATCTGAGCCAACAAGAATAATAAATTAACTGTTCCCTGTTATAATGTAAAATGATTTTAGAGAAATGATATCATTGATCAAGAACAAATTTGACACATCATTACAAAAACAAGCATACTGAGCACACTGTAATGATTTATCAATTTTCAAAAAATAGTAACAGTGACCTTGATATTGACCAAACAAACCTGAAACTTCTCCAAGATAATTTGATGCTTTATAAATTTTATGTAAATTTTTATGAGACACCATCAAAGAAGCAGCTTGAGCACTGATAAACTTACACAGGGCCAGATGGATTTAGGGACAAACAGACAGAAAGGAAAATATAGTTCCCCTGTTTCACAAGCAGGAGAATAAAAAGTATAGAGACACTTAGTTTAAAGAATACTTCTAACAATGAGTAATAAAAAGTGTAAATTGTGAATGTGATGTAATCACTTCTTACTGTTTTTACTTTAAAAGAAACAAACCTTTTTGAATGCCTCAATTGAATGCTTTTCCCTGAGGAATGATGCAACATCTTGATCAGCCTTGTTGTCCAAAAGATCAGAGTACTTTTTGTAGGTGTTCAAGTATCTGTAAAAAACACATGGAGTCATGTAGTCTCCTTGTTGTTTCAAGGTTTGGTCAAACAATAGAAATTTTAATAAATGGAAGAAAATGATTGTTTTAATGAAAGATTTTAGTGTTCTAAAGGTATCTTTCAAATTGTCCTTTACAGGACAAACACACAGATAAAGATAACTTTGACATATACACAACACTTTCACTATGGACTGACCCTCTACAATCACCCCAACCCCCCAACACCGAAAAAAAAAATTGTCTTTGTGATGTATTAAGACACTGTTTAGAGGTCTAGCTCTCCAGATTTCAAATACTGTCAAATACTTCAGTAACTCTACAACAGAAAAGCTGAAAGAACATCTGTAGCTTTGAGCATTTATATAAGAGTAAATTACTTTTGTGGTCCCGTAGTGTTAATTTTGAAAATGTCCATGGCCTTGTCTACATAGTCAGTGACCAGCGTTTCCTCTATTTTTACACTCCTCAACAGCAGCCTCTGGGCACGCATGTCTGGGAACAATTCACACTCCACCTGTACAGGTAAAATATTAATTCATTATATCATGTATGAGAGTAAAGTTAAACAAAGACAGGATCATTGGTAGTCTGTACTGATAATAAACCACACTGACTATCACACTCTTTAAAATTACTACATATTACACTTTATCAACAGCATAGAAACAAATTTTGTCAATGCCAGATAATACAAATTAACAAAACCTGACTACACAACAATACACAAGATTAAATAACAATTAACCTACCCTTGTAAGACCTTCTCCGCTAGCGATGATTTCAGAGAAACATCTGAGAATGATGTCCCTTATCTCCCTGAATGGAGGATCAAACTGAATCCTTGGTTCATCCACTCTAAGCTTGATGATCATCACTTGGTCCATTACATACTGGAGCTCATCAAATGTGTCACCAAAGTCATTGCCTCCCTAAAACAATTTATATGATTCCTAGTTTAGTATGTTATATTCAGTGTACATAAGATTAAATGTTAGGTAATTAACTAATATCAGACACAGATAAATAGGATTATATTTTATGAGGAAATCTGCAGTGAACATGTTCCTGTTTAACAAAATAGACTATATTGACTGCTTTTAAACATCATTAATTTGTCACCCTCCTAACTAAAGTCCCATCCAGCTTATAGTTCTTTAAAGTGTACCTTAATTTTTCCACAATCTAAAACTACACTTACTGCTTCTAAGACCTTCACACTCTATGTTTTATACCAATGGCAGTGCATCTTTCTATCCAAATTTTTCCTTTTTTTTTGCACTTTCACTTATTTTCTTTTCTTTTTTTGTTTTATCTCAAAAAAACAGATCTATTTTTCACTCATGATTTTACATTACATGGCATTGTTGATCTTCAATTACTGATACCTTAAACTTAACAATTCTAAACCATAGTGAAATTATTCTTTTTTTTTCTATATAACAAAGTTTGTGAGCTTTATCGTCAATTGATTGAGAACAGATTATCTCAGGTTAAGATTCTGTCTCAACCTGACTTTCACTTGGTTGGGATTACATTTAATCTCAGCCCTAAGATGAGATAACACATCTCTACAGAAAAGAGAGTTTGAAAATATGGAACCAGGCAATCTAATAGCATTTCTCCATCGATAGTAATGAAGGGAAAATAGACAAATTAAGGATCACAACAAATGTTTTGCTAATAAAGCATCATATCTGTACCTTGTGAGTTTCAAAGAACTCTAGGAAGTCTACCAGAGAGTTGATGACCATGGAGCGCAGCTGTATTGACATGAGTGCCGCTACACAAGCAAAGAACTCCTCCACCAGCTGAGTGGAGTCTGTGTCATTTGGAGGCACCAGATGTTGCCAAAGATCATTCTTGTCCACAAATATCTTTGCACAAGTAGGGATCCAGCTACAAACCAGCAACAGATACAATCAACAGACAGAAACTTTAGGTAAAAGTAATATCAAAAATAAGTAAATCACTTGTACAAAACCTTACTGAAGAATTGATATATACAGTGATCACTAAACATATCACCATCTGATCCTGCCACCACCATCACATACTACAACTATAACCCTTAAAAACAGATTCCTCTCGATATCAAATTCCACCTCTTTTACGTTGCATACTGTTATTCCCAATATTTCAAAATACCACAGTTCTCAGTCACTATGTGATGAATTTAAGTTCAATGCTACAATAATATGATAATTAATAAGACAATCAAATTTTGCACATGAAGTATAGAATTTTATCAATATTCCATGCTTGCTATTATCATATTCTTGAAATAACACCGAAATTAAAGGGAACAAAAGGTGGCACAGTAAAGAGGAAAGACATGCACAGACCTTAGGTGAGAAGCTAGCTTCATAGCTTGATTACTGATACATAAGCTAAAAGTGAACAGTAATACTTTAATATACAGATTACTATATCTATGAGACACTTTTCCCCTTATACGTGTTTAATTTTGAAAAAAATTTCTCACAAATTCAAATATTATGAGGAATCATTTCTAAATAACTAAAAAACATTACATTTGTATTAATCTAGAGCCATTGACAAAACATAACAAGGTCATTTAATAAAGTACAAAAATTTATAACTAATCATAGTTATAATACATCTTTATACTGTAAATGTACAATGTATTTTAGCAGTTGTAATCTGATGTTAGTGCTTTTCACATCAAAAGAATTAAGCAAAAGTATGATGGCACAAGTTGAAGTTGCTTTATGCTGAATCATATAGTAATCAGTGTTGTGCTAAATTACCAAAGACGATCATGCGTTAAAATTGATTGTGCAAAATTAATATAAAAAATGAAGAATATCAAATGTTCACATCTGATAGTGTGCAGATTTTTAATCATCCCCTTTTTTTCATTGGTTTAAATTTTTACTCCTTTAGCCAAGAGTTAGAAGCAAAAAGGACGTGTTTTTCACAGCAACAAGAAATGAGTTATAATATGTTTTTCACTAACAATACAGCAATATGAAATGGACAAAAATGTCATTCCATCTTCAAAAATAGCACAAAAAAACTTTTGAAGCTTGAAACTAAGAATCCTTCTGATTCCTTGATCTGTGAAGCAGTGATAACTTACCTTTTACGGAGTACTTCATGAGCCTCCCAGCATTGTTTCTTTACCAGAGACTCAAACTCATTGGGAAGAAGGGGAAGGTCAGCCTCCCTCAATTCTTTTAGATTCACAAACCTCAGACTGTTAAACCTAGTAACAACCAAACATATTACCAATGTACTCCAACCTTATATCTACACACAACTTTGTATGCAGAACAGGAATTCACAGGAATAATGAGTAATACAGGAAATCAGGTTTCAATGGTTTATCAGAGCAATGTACTCACTGGTTAAACCAAATGTCCTGGAGTTCCAGCATGATTGGGTTGGTGATGAAGAGGTGTTCTGTGTTGTAACCCTTCATATCTCTGTAGGTAGAGTGCCATGGAACTGGCGCCCGGATAATCCTAAAAGAAAATATTATCCAATACAGCTTTTTTTCAATAACTTACACATGAATGTCAAGTTTTAACATAAATATCAAATTCTAGCAAAAAAAAAAAACCACCTTGTGATATATAATTGAAGTAATTATATTTCCTTTTGATACTAAAAATTGTCATTTATAAAATATATACTAATACAGAAATCCTCTGCATAATCAAATAGCTTGAGCAACATACAATATTGATCAAATGTACCTTTTCTGGAATGGTTTTGGAGTCCATGCTATATGCAGTCTATCTTTCTCTGTAGGATCTTTCAGGATATAGTCAACTACAAAAGATATGTGTACTTGTTGATAACAAAAATGTAACTATTTCAAGAGATTTTCCTGTTTGCTAAAGATGTACATAAGACAATAAGATATTTATGTAAATGTGTCATTTCATGTATGTGATTACACATAGACATGCAAATATAGGTATAGTATGTGATAGTTTTCAATTTCTTCAAACAAGTCATTCATTTTGATATCAAGGCCCAAGTGCATTAGTGGTCACCTAAGTCACAATGCTTCTTGTAACATGCCATAGAAATGATTTTGTTAAAAAAATAATATAACTTTAACTATATTGTACATTTGATGCAAATGTAAATTATGTTTACATTAATTGATGTCCCATGCTAAGGCTTTTAACCAAGTTTGAATTAAAAGAAATGACACTTTTTATGCAAGAATTTTTTTATATAAAACCTTCCATCTAGGAACAGTAGAACACTTTTTTGAAATTTCAGTCAATCTGACTTATTTTTGGCCCCACCCATCAGCCCCTCGGGGTCAGTCAAGGTTAATATGTGCATCTCATCAAACTGTCAGCTCATACTAATAAAAACAAATTCTAACCAAGTTTGAACTATTTCTGAAAGAAAATAAACAAATTCTGCTAAAAACTGTAATTTTCCTATATAAAATAATATTTACCCCCTCCCTAAAGGGAAATGTGAGAACCTGGGGTCATAAAATTTACAACTTTTATAAAGCACCATAAGACAAGAAGAGAATTTGATTCTACCTTTTTTGAAGTCTCAGTCTATCTGACCAATTTTTGGCCATGCCCAACAGTCCTAGGGGGTTAGCTAAGGTCCATGTAGGCACATCATTAAACTGTCATCTTAAACTAATCATTCTTACCAAGTTTTGAATATTTCCAAAAGAAAATAACAAATAAGGTTCAAAAATGTAATTTCTATAATTTCTATATGAACTATAGTAAATCTTAGCCCCTCCCTAGGGAGAAATGCAAGACCCTGGGGTCATGAAATTTACAATTTTGGTAAAGCATCTGAAAGTTTTTCCATTCATGGAGGGTACTTGATTCTACCATACCTGGGATTCGAGAGGAAGATTTTTAAAGTTTCAATTAATTTGACCCTTTTTGGCCCCACCCTCAGGCCCCTGGGGGAATGAAGACCATATAATTTACAATTTTTATGTGTCGTTAGCAATGGAAGGTTTTTGTAAAATTTCGTTAAAATCCGTTCACGAGTTATCCAGAAGAAGTTGAAAATGTTAAAGGTTTACAATGCAACAACGCCAGACAAAAAGGGGATCACAATAGGTCACCCTGAGACTTTGTCTCGGGTAACCTAATAAAATCACATTTTTCACTGAAAAGGATGACGAAGTATCAAGTGAATATTTCACTCACCAATGGTTTTGCGAATGCTGAACTCATAGTCATCGCTGACTTCCTTTGTGAGGTCCTCCACCATGCCTTTTAGTTCAACACTGGACAACAAGGTACTGGGTACAAGTTGACTGATATTCTTCATGGTGTCGGGGTGAGGTGGTGCAAGCATCTCACGACGAATACCTTTCTGTATGTAGTAGTAGTACCTCTGTTGTGATATCAAACAGAAAGCAATAATTATGTTGTATTGTTGTCCAAAAACAAAACAGAAAGTGACAATTATGCTACACCAGTGTTATAAACCACATAGAAAGTTATAATTATGTTGTGCCAATACCATAAACCACATCAAAATGTGTACATATCATTGTATGTTGTACCACTGCCATTAACCAAACAGAATGTGTAAATCATGTTGAACAATTGTCATAACGCACAGAGAAAGTGACAATTATCTTGTACTGTTGTCAAAAACCACACAGAAAGTGGCAATTATATTGTCCAATTCAAAAGTGATATTTCTGTGAGCAAAATCTTCATAATGACATGATATCCTAAAGACCTGCAAATGTTTTGATGATGACATGTAGCTGTACAGATGAATCAAAAAGTATCTTCTTGAAAAATCATGTGTACCAAATGGTATTGAACTTGTACAAATAAAATCACACAAAATATTGTGAAATTACTTTTCAATTGCCTGTTCTTAGCTAGATTTGCTGATCAATCTCAATTTGGAACACATACCAACTAAGCTTTATTATGAACCTTTGAGTTCTTCAACTGAAGTTTTACAACAACTATCATTTCAATATTATATCAAAATTACACATACATATATCAGAGTTTGTACAATTAGACAATGTCTTTAATGTAAACAGTATAAAGATTTTACATTATAAGCTGTATAATATACTGGTAACACTGGGAAAATGACCCGTCATTAATTGCTAAGGTATTATCAATCAACCATTACCTTACATGAATAATGGAGATCAAAATTTTTAAAAAAAACCTATGAATTTTTAACAGAAATTTCATTTGGAAATTTTCATTGTGAATTTACAGTCAATGAGTTATTTAGCAATCTACCTTCCTTAAAAATCTTTTCATTCTAGACTAGTCTCCACTATTGTGAAGACTTGAGTCTTTGCCATTTATATGTGTTGATAACAACACACATGTATTTGGACAAGCTCCAATATGGTAAAGGGCCTTAACAGAAGTTCAATCAAAAGATTAAACCAAATGATAAGTAACTCTAATCTGCTTAAATGTAATTCTATAATAACACTACATATATTTACCCCTAGATAATTGTATGTCCAATCTTACTTAAAAACATCACAAATTTATAGGAACAGATTTCTGTACCATTCAGGTTCATCAATGTCAAAACTTACCTTCACCAGAAAAAAAATATATTTTTTGGTTGTCAAATTGTATAAAAAGTGGATTTCTGCAAATATCACACTTCACACAAAGCATCTTGTAACAATGGTAAAGATGTGCTTTCAGCATGCATGGCTCATCATGCAAAAAAATGATAACTTTAAATTAGCTGTTTTTTGGTTTAATGCCCAAGATGGAAGAACAAGACAGACATGATGTTAACTGAGCCATGATTTGGTTATTCCTATAAAAAATACCCATGCCTTGATAGGTTCCAAATAAGATTGTTATCTACACAAGTTATATCGATTTTCCAAAAGACTGAAAAAGTCTAAGCTGGGATCCAACTGGTTTTTTATTATGAAAAATATGCTAACTCTAGAACAATTAACTAGAACATTGGTAAAACACACATCAGGTTATTATGAAATGTTCATGTAAGTTTTCTTACATCATACTTTAAGATTGTGTTTTGAATTGTGAGAGAAGAGAAAGTATCTAGATAAAGTCTAGTTTTAGAAAGAAGATTTAAGCACTTAATCTGTATAGGATGGTTAGGTGGCAGTGATAATGCACTTTCATTTCATGGAGGTTTTCAGGGTTTGATTACCCTAACGGACATGGAAAGGCATTGGGTCTACTGCCCAACCTTGTCGGTTTTCTGTGGGTACTCTTGTTTCCTCCCACAGTAAGACTTGTGCATTTCCATCAGGGCCAACAAGAAATGATCAGTATCATCTAATAGATTTCTTTGCAACTGTTAAAGTTTTTTACATTATATATATCTGTATTGATTTATCTATCAAATCTTTACTGCTATGGGTTCATAATACAATGCAAACATCTGTATAATTTATGAATAAATGACTGGTTTGCAAATAGTTACGATGAACAAATTTAAAGGCTTAACCCATTTCATGTCCCAAACAGCTCTACTAAACCCAACAATAAACTTCCCAGTGAAATTATTATATACAACAAGCTGATATTATCATGCTCAATACTACATCTGTTAGTTCATTTGATTTCACTTTTAAAATAAATTTGAATTAAATGTATTACAGATATATATGATATTGTTTCAAGATTTAAGAAAATGTTACAAAATGATTCAAGAACCCAACTCCCTTATGATTTTAATAATGTTGTTTACAGAAAGTTTACTCACAGCTTCATCCCTTTCTGTGGGTTCTCCTGTTTGCTGTCTATTCTCTTCCTCGATAGCCAACATAATGTCCATTTGTTCATTTGGAGTCATAGGGCGGCTAGGGGGTAGGTCCTGGATATCTGGTAATACCTCAAATCCATTCATTCCATTTTTTTGTTCACTATAAATACAAAGCAAAATGTATCTAAAAATTAAACCACCACTAAATCACTGAACCATTCATATTTGTAAACCAATTCCGAAGCTGTTGATTTATAAAAAAAATATATTCTCACACATTCTTTCCAAGCTGAATTCTAAATACCTGGATAAAATCATAACGAGACACATGTTTTGTAATTTGAGTACATGTAGGTAACGGGTACCTTTTTTCATAATATCTAGCCAGAGATTATTTTCACCAATACTTTATTATTTTGGTTGTGAAAGTTTTCAATTATATTTTCTTTGATAACCAAATTCCATACATATGTTTGTCAAACCTTCTTTGATTGGAGAAGTCTACAAAGTCATTTCAGGTACTTTTGACATCTAACCATAAAGCATAATTTCTAAACCTGATGTCTTCCCATTATTTGTAAAGAGTTAATACAATGACTTTAAAAATTTGTTATCCTCTCACAGAAAAGATTAAGAAAGTAGATGAAAATGAAAATAAACTAAATCATCTTGGAGAACGGTTAATAGAAGTGTTTTTTTATTGTAACATGCTTTTTTATTGATTTCTTTTACAGCATATCAAGTGATATTAATGATGTAAGACTTAAAAATAAGGACAGAAAAATTAAGAGCATATTCATATGATATCCTTCACAAACCACTATTTTTTCAAAATTATCCATTCATTGTCTTAGATTGGTCTGCACCATCAAAAAATATTGCTGATAAAAGAACTGCCTTTGCAAAGATTGAAAGTTCAATGGTATGGCTGAAATTTAAAGATAATGGTCTCTGTATGCATAGAACAATATAAAACAATGAAAATTATAAGAACTGATTTTGTATATTCAGCATTGCTTTTCAGTTAATAACATCTTCATATTCTTACTCCAACCATAAATTAAGAATGATGATGTTTATATAGCTTACCCATTAACTCCATTCACACCATTTTCCACTTTGCCTTTATTATCTTCTAATATAGTTTTACCCCTTGTGAAGCCATTGGACCGAGGACTCCCTAAAGGAGCTTTAGATACTGCAACACATAAAAACACTAATCACAAACAGGTAGATACATGACATTGACATCAAAATTATACTCCAAAGAATAAAAATGATAATCTAAAATATCTTGTAGACATCCTCATTCTTGGATGTACATGTATTTTGTACTTTCAGTTGTTGTTTCCAAAGCATATGACTTTTTTTCATTTTTTCAGCAAAATATCAAAGAAAACAAGACTTACGCTTGGTTTTTGATCTGACAAGCTTGGGTAGATCTCTGAGTTTTAGATCACTAGCTGTTGGGGTGTAATTATTTGCTATTGATTCGCTGGGTGTTCTGTGAAATTTCTGCTCTTTATAAGGAGCAGCCAGTGTCCAAGATGTTCCTTTCATGATTGGTGGATGTTCACTGTTCCGTAGGACAATCTGTTCCAAACATAAACACAACAATAGTTACTTAATAGTTAGATCAATGGGTATGATATACTTCTGACTTTTTTGTATTGCTTTTCATCATTATAATGAAATATGTAAAAAAAGATTTATATCAAGTTTATCAGCACTGCAATAATCTACAAAGCTGGAAGTAAAATTGAAAATATTGTACATTAAAGAACATGCACAACCAACCCTGTAATAAAATGCCAAGTTATACTTATTATTGAAATAAGGTGTGCAATTTATTGTCAGAATGATTTTATTGATACATCCGGGAAGTTTTGCTGAAGTCAAAACAATTCCTTCAAATAAATTCTATGTACTATTTATTTTTTCTTTGTATTTAAGGTCAAATCAACAACAATAACAGTATTTTTTTTAACTGGCTACCAGTTCTGCTAAACAATAAACATTGGTTATCAATAACCAGGAATTTCTGTTTTAAGTTGAATTTGACTTCATATGTAGACACTAGACAGTATGATAAAAAAAGCCACATGCAGCTTTTCTTCTAAATTCTAAATCATGAAGGAATAACAGAATTCATGTCAACTCTGTGTTATATCAATTTTAATAATAAACTTTCGAAGGATCTCAGTTTATAATTTGTCTTTTCACCCTTTGTGTAACTCAACCATCAAGTAAAGGTGATTTTTTTCATCCTAACAACATTTTCGATATGATTGTTTATCCTGTACATGATAATGAGTACAACTGATATACAGTGTAATTATCATCAGCCATATTCACAAGAATGTTCTGATTGTCATTTGTTTTAAGAAATTTATTTGTTTTGATGCAGTTATCACCTACTTAATAGCAGAGAAAAAAAGAAGACTACCGAGAAAATGTTAATTAATTCAGGAACATTATTTTGAAAAAAGACATGTACAAAGAGGATGTGTGAAAGAACATTTTTATCTATATTTATTTATTTCATAATTAATTTAGTTTTACTTTTCTTTCTGAGTGTATACACTGATTTAATTATGTTGTCAGTCTTTTTGGTCAATATTACCTTTAATTTGAAAATTATATAAATTATAAAATATAACCATCGGCATACATAATTTCTGTCAAGAAATATAAAAATATGTTGGAGAACAATGTTTAACCCAAATAATATTACAATGTAAGTATGTGTGGGAACAATTTGTACCTTTTCAATCATATATTTCTATGTAAGGTCTTAAGTCAGTAATGAAGTTTAAAACATGTCCAGTTTTTTTTTAAAAAGAACAGAATGTAGATTTACTTATAAAATCAAAGAATACATGTGAATTGAATGAGGTCTTAATTGGTTGGTATATACTGTTTGATATTATTTTTTCTTTTCTTCTGCGATCCATTCAAGGTATTTCACATTTTTCCTTTTCATATCACAGACATCTTGCTTTGTTTAAATTTCTCCATACAGGTTTATAGCTTCAATATATACATGGCATAGGTTCGGGGGGGAAATGCATTAAGTCTACTGAATAAGACAAGTAGACTATATCATATATATCCTTGTAAAAGCTTTTGAGTTCGCCATATCTGGAATCGTCTTTGTGATTAAGTTTAAAATTTTGCTGGCCCTCTTTACTGCCTGTTTAGTCCATGAAACATACTACATTTGTTGATGATTTTCTTATCAAGGAGGTTCCAGGCGATAGTGGTACTATAGTAGTATATGTCTAATTGCCCAACATGATCAAATTATTAGTAAATAAAATCATGTATCATCTTATAAATACCTTATATAAATCTGAAGGTTCCTTCATGGTGGATGGTAATGGGGGTAACCCTGGTAAACCTCTCGTTTTACTGCAACTCTGGACTGGAGTTTCAACATACTGGAAGAAGAAAATGCAAGAATCTCACATAACGAAATATTCTTTGTACTTTTTATATTACTTGATCTTGTATGTGCGGATCATATATCATGTTGCACACTGCAAAGTTTGATCACCTATAACTTGTTTATCGCATGTAACAAAATTGAAAGTTTATATGTTAATGCACAAATGAAAAAAATCTTAGGAGGTTGAGTGGACATCAGTGTCAACATGTCCTTGACATCTGATGTAGTTACCAGAAAAAATACACAATCACAATCAAGTATGATCAATATAATTCTTGTGTTTTATGTGAAAAAGTCTTCAAATAAATTTTGACAAACTGTTTTCAAAAGGGCGATCTCTGACTTGCAACGTATAAACTAAATTTAGTTTGTACAAAAGGTTGGAAAATGCATATGTTTAGTTAATTAGGTTTGATTGTCTTTCTAATCCTTGAAATCTCCAGTCTGTCGCATATACTTTTTCTTAACACAAAATAATCGAAAAGGAAGCCCAATACGCATGGGTACTTAACCAAACATCTTGAAGACTAACGTCGTAAACATGTTTGTAGTGTTTGTTTATCTTCTAACACTGATTGAGTTGTCATATTCAGTTATATCACGGCACGCAATGGCTACTTTTGAAACAGACATATATAATTTACAAATCAACAGATATTAAGGCTACATATAAAGTATTCCATAACGGAGAAAATCGCAACAGATCTGGATTCAAATCCGTATAACTGGATACCTTTGCTCTTTCCATTGCCATTTTTATGTTCCTCGGGACGGATTAACAACTGCTGGTCTGAAAGATAAATGCACTACACCCGATGTGTCAATGTCACGATAATTTAAGACAGTTAAAACCTCCCCGAAGTAGTATGGGAGACTGTCGTTTATGTGTCTGGTTCCAAAAGATATCCCATTATGCCATATTCACAATAGATAGCCTGCTCTAGTCCTCCATTTTCATAAGCAGCATCCGGGCAATTTAGTTGCTAGGAAAATATCGCTATTTGATTGGCAGATATTCTGTGTGTCCAAAAAGCTTAAATTGTTTATCATTCAAACGCTTGAGTCGGGCGCCTATTTGCATGCTCATGGAAATTTATACTTTCATGTTTTATCATTGCATGCATATTATTTCGAAAATATGATAAACTATCCCAATCGGATAAAATTAATTTTGTTCGCAATTATATTTGTTTGTATTCTTTGTAAAATTTCTTAAAATTCCAGATATATCTGATCGTTTAGTCTTGGAAGGGAGGTAATGCGATTACTTTATTCACTTCCGTTTGCGGGAAACATAGATAGGTAGCAGTAAACAGTTAATTTGCATTTTTCCTGAAATTATTTGTCATGTTTGAGATATACAGGTATAGCAGATTGGTTATGAAAAATACATCATTACATGTATATATATATTTATAAACTATATAACAATTACATTAACAGTAGAGAGATGAAATTTGTGTAAAAAAAAAATTTCCTCTGATTTCTGACATTTGATTGTCATGGTTACCTACTGAAAACATGCTAAAAATGCAAAAATACTGCTAATTCCAACCCAACACTACAACTTTCTAGGAGAAATTTAATTCTAAACACCTATCTTACAATCAACAACACTGTCATGGTAACAAAGTACTTACATTTCAGCAAATTCCAACTCGGAAATTCTTCATAACATGACCACATGTGAACACTATGAAAATTTCACTTCCTGTAAAGCTAGTTTTTGGTGCGTAGACACAGATTCGAGACTGCCCAAATAGTAATCTCCAACACAAAGCTAAAATATTATCCTGAAAAAAATGAAACCCCACATTGTCCACTTTAACATGACAGGACCAATTTTAGCAAGGATTTTTTTTTCATTTTTAATTAAAACCTTTATAATGGGGTAATCTAATGAGCAAAAAAATCACCCATGGCCACACCGAGAAACTGTGTACTGCTACCATATATAATAATAATAATAAATTTATTCAGGAAAGATTTGCACAAATGTATACAAAGCATGATAAATAAAATACATGTTACATAGTACATAAGGTGAAAAATTGACATAAATAAAACATTCAACACCGGAACATAAAATCACAATAAAGACAGCTGATATAAACAAATCTATCCAAGGATAGCCCAAAAAGCGTTACCATATACGCTTATTTCCGTTGGGGTCCTTCAAAATGAAAATATAAAAACATTATCTGTCTCAATAGTAAACATAATCACTGTTATGTTTCTCTTCCATTTTGTCTTGAAAGTGACGTTTTTCCTGAGATTTGAATCTAACTTTTTTGGGTATTGTTTTTGTATTTTCTGGAAGTAGATTCCATTCTTTAGCTCCGACAAAACAAAAGGATGTATATTCAGCTCCATGAATCATTGGCAGAGTAAAATTATATGTTGATGAACGAGTATTTTGCAGACATGGATTTTTTTCTAAAGATGCATACATATAATTCGGAGCTTTTTCATGGAAAATATTAAACATACGATTCATTCTGAGCTGACTTACTCTTGAAACAACATCAAGCATGTTTACCCGAAGAAAATCATTATGTGTCAGACTGTGCCTATTGTGAACATTCAGAATACTTTGTTTTGTGCTACTTGTAAATTCTTCTTTTAAAGTTTTTTCGATAAACCTTCGTACCAACTAGTACATGCGTAGTCAAAGTGACATAAAAATCAAAGAAGAACATAGAGTTTTTCTTGACCTGAAAGATAAACACTGTTCATTTCTATACAAAAATTTGAGACGTTGGTTGACCTTTTTGACAATTGAATCTACAATTTCTTCACCCGATAATGAATCGTTGATGTCTATGCCAAGATATTTCACTTTTGACTTCAATTACATGATAATTACACACAATTTTAAAATCCGATTTTTTTTCCTTTTTGGACCAAATAGAATGCTTTCTGTTTTACCTAAATGCAATGAAAGTTTGTCATCTGCTAACCAATCTTGACAGGACTTCAGCATCAAAGACAAAGTTTGAGAAATAACTGCTGGGTTTCTGTGGGAGAATAATATTGCAGAGTCGTCAGCGTACAATATTATCTTGCAGCTTGGATTAATACACCCTTGCATGTCATTTACATATATCAGAAATAGTAAAGGCCCTAGCAAACTGCCTTGGGGTACACCGCAACCTATGTTACATTCACAATTTGTTTCCTTACAGTGAGATAAGACTGAAACCAGTCTAGCGATTTTACACCAAGAACAGAGAGTTTGTCACATAAGATTTTATGACCTACCGTATCAAATGCTTTCTGCAAATCAAGTAAAAAAAATACCTGTAAAAATACCTTTAGCATTCTGAGACTTAATATGATCAATCAGATGTATTAAACACGTATCTGTTGAGTATTTGCTTCTGAATCCTGACTGGAATTTATACAGTAAGTTATTTCTGACTAGGAATGTCTCTAACTGGCTATATACAGAACGTTCTAGAATTTTAGATACAATACTTAGAATACTAACAGGACGATAGTTTTCAGCATTTAGTCTATCTTTCTTCTTATAAAGTGGTTTAACCTTAGCTATTTTTAATTCATCGGGAACAACACCCTCCGAAATGGACATGTTGATCAGAAAGGTGAGATGGATTTTAATGATTGAGGCAGCATCTTTAATAAACCTAGCTGGTAATCCATCCAGTCCTGTACTCTTGGATGTGTTTAATTTAAATAATTCATTTAATACAAAATTTTCATCAACATGTTTTAAATGAAATTTGTTACAGTTTCTCTTTCTGTAAAATGATTTCACCGTGTCTGATGAAGCAACGAACTTTCCCTTTCCCGGGGGCAACTTTTCAACTAAAGAGGCAGCTACATTTGAGAAAAACTGACTGAAATGATTTGCTGTTTTATTATTATCATGGCACATTTCACCGTTTACTTTCAGAACTATATCAGAGTTTGATTTGGCATTTTGTTGATAGCCCATTAGTTTGAATTGTCTCCATAGTTCTTTTGAATTATTTTTATTCTCTTCAACTTTCTTGTTGAAAAATTCGGATCTAGCTATTTTACATAATTTTGAACACGATTTCGGAGTTTTTTGTACATGTTTAAATCTTCTTCTTTGCCAAACTTTTTAAAAGATTTTCTTATCTTATCTCGCAATTTAATGTTTTCTAAGATTTCATTTGTTATCCAAGGTTTCGTTTTTTGTTTCAAACGAACTTCTTTGAATGGTGCTACTTTGATTAATATGTTGGAGAAGATCGAATGAAACTCTTTCCAACATTCGTTAACATCTTTTGCGTGAAAGAAATGTTCCCAATTTGCATTAATTAGTAATTGCTTGAAAGCATCTTTATCATAGCATTTAGTAGATCTTAGTTTTATCTTATTATGTTCGTGAAAAGTAGACTTTCTAATTTTTCTTGTGCAAAAGGTGAGGAAGTGATCACTTAAACCAATAAGGATCACTCCAGCTTGACAGACTTTTTCTGGAACATTACACAAAATATGATCAATTAATGATTTGGTGTTTTCGGTTATTCTTGTTGTTTCTTTTATGAGCTGTTTTAAACCGTATAGATTTATAACATTTTTGTACGATTTAAATAAAGAATTATTGGATTCTTTAAAACATATATTAAAATCTCCTAAAATAAAAATGTCACAATTAGATCTTAACTGAGATAAAACTTTTCCTAATCTATCGGGAAATATTGTTTGAGTTGGAGGGCGATAACATGTCCTTATAATTAATGGTTTAATTTTAGGAAGTAATAGTTCTATGAATAGCATTTCATCAGACCCTTCGATGTCTTCATATATAACAGGAGTAAATGCTAAATCTTTTCGTACATAACAACAAACCCCTCCCCCAGATCGATTTCTATCTTTTCGTATCCCTCAATTCCTACTTCTGTGTTCGTAATCGAACTATCTAACCACGATTCAGTAATACACATACATAGATAAGCAATGGAGTTTTATCCCCAGCGAAACGCGTTTGTAGGGGATATTAATTTTGACTCCGTGTATCAATTTAATTGATAGTTGACAATAGAAGACGTTACATTTTGTACTAGTGCTTTCACTGTATTGGATCTTCAGATGGTAGTAGCGGTACAAATGAGTGACGTCACAAATTGTTATATCGGTATTTAACTATATCATATTAACAGGGTTTTACACCAACAGTGTGAGGTGAGGTGAGGAGTGCTTTAGGCTGCTCGTAATATCAAAATTGGATTAAAATTTTTTATTGATATAAAACTGATGATACGTAGTGTCATCAAAAACCTGTAAGCGACTGACTGACTAACTAAATAACTAGTTTAATTAAAATCTATTCATACTTACGCAAGTTACCGCCGGTGTTCACAAGTCGTCTCCAATCAGTCCTTTGTCGAATCCCTGTGAGATCTTAGGTTTGATTGCCTCATTGAACATTCAATTGATTCATCTGTGCATCAACCCATTATATAATTATATGTTCAGCATCGCCAGAGTAAAAATAACTCACATTGATGGTTTATTATTCTCAGTGTTTTTTGGTACTCAAATATTTGAGTCCTTGACTACTGCTTTGCCTGTGGGAATTGCTCAAATTGTTACGGTAGTCATAGTGACCTCATTGATAAATATTCTATTTCTTTGTGCGACATGAAGCAGGACGTGTTTTCATGAGTCTCTGTGTAATTTCTTTTCATATTTTATCAAAGATTTATTGAATTTGAGTTTGGATTATGATTGTGGTGAAATGTTGGCATTTTCTATTGAGAACCTACCATATCTCTTCGTAACTGTACTCGTCAAGATTTTGGAAAAGGTTCTCTATACTCACCAGATTTTAAAATCCTACAAAAGCTACGTTATTAAAGCGAAAAATTCGGTTTTCATACAATCTGCTTTCATTTTATATATAAGAGTTATTTCCCTTGCCTCACACTTTAGCATATGGATTTGCATTAATACCAACAGTTCCAATTAATAGAGGTTCAATGGTTATATTCATAAATTTCTTTTTTTATTGTGTGTGTGTCACAAGGAAAACCTCATTTTTTAACAACCTACTCGCAATACAAAACTTTTGCTTTAGTAAGGAGTGGTCGATAGCGGCCGGACACTTTTCACTCACAATTTCATGTTCAAAAGTGTAACACTATGGCACACTCAAGCTCGCGTGGTACACTTTTTATCACTTTTATATACAAAAGTTGATTGGTACGCTTTTAATCATCTTTACAAACAAAAGTGTACCTTGTTACACTTATGTGATATACATTAACTATTGAATACAAAAGCGGGTCAGATTTGAACCTTTTCACAGCAGCGCCGACGGTAGGGGCCGGTCTTCGAACGTGTTCCATATGGAATGTTTTAGCTGTATACTTTTATTCAGTTATCTGTCAAGTTTGTGCGATTTTACATTAGTTGTCTACAAGCGGTCAAAGGTTGATTAATGACATTTTGTGAAGGAAAATTACCCTTTTTAATCGTAAATGTGGTACACAAAGGAAAATCAGAATATATTAATTTATACTAAACACTGGCACAAGATACAAGAAATTTTATTTCCAGTCGTATACAATAAAACATGTAACATTAGCTCAGAAGAGTTATTTTACGACAGAACATGAAAAATATAGCACAAAGAACAAAATCACCAAAGGAATATTGAAATAAAAGTAACAGAACATGAACATTGTATGAGGCATGACATCAACATTTGGTTTAAGTCAATGAACATAAAACTGATCTGTTCCCGTAAAATCAGCTTTCAAGTTTACCTTAAGAAATATTAACCTGACACATTCCATCGCTCAAGTTAGTTAACTTTCTATTACCTATTTCTCCACCACCATTCATTTCAGGAGTAATTATGATTACCAATGCTTTTTTAAAATCTTTCTTTTCTTTTTGTGACTAGTTCATGCCGTTTCCAGTAGTAATTGAGAGCCAAATGCACACAAACCTAAATTTTTACCGCTCAGAACTGCACCATAGTACACTTTGTCCATTTAAGCAGTAAGAAGATGTATCATGCAAATGTGTACCACTTTCGAACATAAAAGCACGGACTTAAATATAGATTATATCTAATATACAAGTCCGTGATAAAAGTAACAAAAAGGGTCCGGTCGCTTCGGTAATGTTAACAATCATTTATTTAGGTCTCTGACTGTACCGATGTTAAAATATTGACAAACGTTTTATTCCGATATTATTTTAAGGTGGAGAGTTTAAAACTCTAGATGGGAGCATCCGGAAGTTTCTCTGTATTAACGCCTTTCTTTTTATTTTAGAAAAATCAAATCTTCATCACGTGCACGCTTTAAGCGTAGTGACGGGTCGTATCAGAACAACAAGACTAGTTTTGACACTGACAGAGAGGAAAAAATTCAAGATGGCGAAAGGCACGCTGCCCGTAGATATGGAACTACGGAAGGTATGTTTCTTCTTTCCACGAAATAGGCAAACAACCAGACAAAATCATCTCATGTCGGAATGGTGGAAGCAATATGAATAAATATAGAACACAAATAGTCGTCAAATCTATTTTATCTAGCTAGAGTGTCTAGCCCCAAATCATTCGTTGTTTGATATATGTTCACTATTGACAGTCACCGACACCATGAACTTAGATACATCTTGAAGTTTTCGTTTTTTGACTATCGTGGTCTAAACTGTCACATTATCCGAAAATAAGTGTTAGGAATCTTATTAACACATTTTAAACTATACTTAATCCATTTAGTCATGTTGTGGTTCAGTTGCTATCAGACTTTGTGTTAATCTGGTTGGACACAAGCCCGTATATGGATAATAGCCCTGCACTTGAGGGATAGTCATGAAATCATTCATTGAGTAATCAATAAGTTACTCAAAAGCATGATTATTTGAAATAGAAACGCGTAAATTTCTTTCAAAAAAGGGGTGTGTCCTTTCAGCATGACCTAGCCAATAGTTAATCTGACCATGTGTACATGATTTGCATAAGAAATGTTGATCTCTTTTGTGTAACGTTGTGCTAAAATGACAAAAAACATCATTGACTTTTTCTTCATTGACTGCTGTGTATAGCTATTGGGGATGTTTGGTGCAAATGTCATGGGTGATCATGAATTTACCTGTGTTGTATTTTTAGCCACATCACAAGTAATGGAGAAGGGACAAAGTTTATGATTTTCAGCTCAACTGGTTGTTGTTGTCTATCAACTTTTTACTAAAAAATGCTACTAGTCATGAACAATTGTACACATTTTGACAAAGTCTTAAATTGCTTAAATGTATACAAATGGCATAGAAGTTAAATGGAAGATGGAAAGCAAAATGTCAGTTTACATTGTTGTCTGAACATTTGTGAATGCCCAAGAAGTGGCAAGACTGTTGGCATGTAGCTAATAGGTGGCATGGCTTACACAAACATAAACTAAAACAGAATACAAAGGGAAAATGTATGTTTAGTGAGAGTATTGGTATTATGAAACATGTCATGTAAGAAAATATTGAAAGTTAAATAACAGACCTTTCTATTCATCAATTATTGTTTGAATGTCAACCAAGGTGTGGGACGCTTATTCCCGTGACGATCATTGACTCCAGAGAGATATAAAACTGTTGATAGAACATCAGAATAATTCAGATTACTTGAAGGAAGGTTAGGATTTTCCCCAAATTTGGTTTCAAGCATTGTTAGGTGAAAGGGTATCAGTTTTGTATGAAAGGGTGAGAGGGCGGGGCCCAATGGGGGAAGAAGGGCAAACACTTTAAAATCCCATCCCTCCTGTAGGAATGATTGGATTTTTTCCAAATTTGGTCTGAAATATTCTGGGATGAATGGACGGTCTCAGTCCTCTAAGGCATGGCTGAATAATGGAAATTAAGGAAATTCTCTAAAATTCCTTTTTTGTGGGAATGCCTTTATTCTGTTATTATTTGGTCAAAAGCATACCTCTTGTATTAACCAGGATTCTGACATCAAAGATATAGGTTCGGAGAAGCCCAGGATGGATCTCTCTCACATTTCATTTGTAGGTTTCCCTTATGTCCCTAGTTGTGGCAATTTGATTTTGGGACTGGTCAGAAAAATAAAATGGCTGACAGGTGACCATCTTTGATTTGCAGTTAAAGATTATTATTGCTAGTTCTTCAAAGAAATGTTCAAATTTCATATCAATTAGGGCAAAAATAGAGAATAGAAGGTAAAAGAAGAGAAAAGTTCCATATTTTGAAGAACACATAATGATCAAATAATGGTGGGTGCCAAGATCCCTCTGGTATCTCTTGTTATGAATGGTGAATCTGATTCTGCTTGACCACAAGACCAGGACCCAATAAGGAAATTGTTTTAGAAATTGTTTATCATATAGCTGAAGGCCCCTTGGGCCTCTTATTACCAAAAGCAAGACAAATTGATTATTCACTTTCTATGTAAAAATGTATGATATTGCATTTGTTGTTGGGCCTTGTCAAAAATATGCCTTTTTTGGTTGTTAATGTTTCAAAGAACATTTTGTGTTTCTTTTTCAAAACACCTTGCATTTGAGTCACTAATTGATTGCTATCCTTCCAATATAGGACTATTACCCAATGCAGGGTTGTGTGTATCCTGTTTTTTACTCTCATTATATTTTTTTTTCAGGCCACAAAATTTCACCAGGTATACATGTTTATGATAATAACAACAGAAAAAATAAATCCAACCATATCCTCTTGTCAATTCATGATAATCAGCACTGTACATGAAGTAGCATGTTGCTACACCTTTGGATAGATCTCTTATAACCTCTATTTGAATACCGTTCTTAAACATCATTTAAACATTATGGGAAAAAATGGAAAAGTCACTGATGTTTTTCTGACTCACCATTGTGATATGCCACAGAAAGATATAGATTCTCATGATAAAAGAAGTAGAGAAATATCACGAGCTACATACATGTACCCAGTGTTTGATTTTTCTTTCTCGTCCAATCTAACTAGTATATGTCTGCAATATCCAGAACCAAGTAACATCATGATCATGCAAATGACATCATGGTCATATTCAATTTCTTTCTGATATGTATTAGCAGCAATGGAAAGCAGTCTTAAATAATGGAATCAAAGAATGAAGACTCTGAATGGAAACAAGTTGAGAAAGTTTTATACAATTTTGACAAAATCATAAGACATGTAAGGGTTTACCATTACTGGTTTGGAGACCAATTTACCTCATTCTTGAACTAAGGTAGCATTTTGTAAATATTGGCTTCACCATGAATGAGATACAGAAAGCATACTACACTCAGTATCTGATCATTTCCTCCTTGAAATATAAGTTATGCAGAATCAGAATATTTAGCTTCTCTGATAAGATTAGCATAGGTAATCATTACTAGTTGTCCAAGACTGTTATGTTTTTTAAAAGAAATAGAAATTGAAGATATTTAATTTCAGGCATTTGATTTACCGGTGTATCTGTTGTTTTTTCATAACTGCTAGACATGTTGCAAACTTATGAGTTTACAAGTTTTTTTATTTTCAGTTTTTGTTTAGCTCAACTGGTCCAAAAGACCTGTGAGCATAAGCCATGACAGGACTTCTGTCGTCTGGTGTCTGTTAAGCATCTGGCTTCTGTCAATTTTTTTTCTAAAATTTGCTAAAAGTTATGAATGATTGAACAGAATTTTACTAAATTTGGTCAGAAGCATGTTTTTGGAAAGAGGAACCGAGTTTGTATAAATGTTTGCCCTTCAGGCCTGATTGGTGGGGCAAAAAAAGGGAAATATAAAAAGTTCTCTTCTTCTGTAGAACTGATTGAATTTTGCCCGAATTGAAAATCCTTTTACTTCTGTGGAAATATGTACCAGGTACTTTAACTTGGATGTTGACTTATCACAATTTGGTCTAAAGCATGCTTGGATGAAGGAAATCAATGTTTATAAACAGAGGGTCTTGGGGCAAGAGGGTTGGGCCCAATATTTTAAATTGAGAAAATTATGCAAAATCCTTCTTTTTCTGTAGAAATATCAGGAAAAAGAGGAAATTCTCTAGAATTCTTCTTTTGTGGGAATGCCTTGATTCAGTGCAGACATGGTCTGAAGCTTTAATTACATAGTTGAAAGCAACCTAATCTTGTATTTTGGGGCCCACTAGGGCATGGCACATGACTCCAATGACATTTACATGCACACATTTTTAACATTTACATTGTATACAGCTTCATAGATCAAAATGTACTGTGATTTTTATGAATGATGAATTTAACTTCTGTTTGACCACAAGGCCAGTAACCAATAGGGAAATTATTTGTCATATTTGGAATTCTTTGTTAAATCATTGAATAGCTGAATTGGCCAGGTTGGCGATGTAGGCCCCTTGGGCCTCTTGTTTATTGTTTGTTTGTTCTTTTTATGTCGTTTTTTTTATTCAATAGTCAGGTCAGGTTATAAACTGTTGGGTAGAATGCAGGAGTTTTATTTTTGCAAAGACTTTTGGATTCTTCTGAAATAAATTATGACTTTGAAGCTTGAAAATTATGGTTGTCTATGTTGGCTTGATAATAAAAAGCTCATGCAGTGGTACCCTGGAATATTGACATACAGTAATAATCAGTTATAATCAGTACAAATGCAGAATTCCACAATTAAGAAAGATACATAAAACTATATATACATGACAAATGTATATCTTGTATTCTCTTTGTATAAAAATATCAGCTTTTATGAATTGTCAGATTAAAATATGATTGCTACTTTTATAAATTTTCAAATAAAAATTCTCAGCACATTTTGACAATTTATATGCATTTTATTTCATGGTTATCTGTTATTGTTATCTAACCTTGCATTTTCCTTATTTGTGTTACAATGAAAAGTTGGAATTGTTTTAAATGATTGATTTTAATACATTGTGTCTATATCTATGATTGAAAACTTTACTGGAAGTCTGTTAACCTTCTTCTATTATGATTAGCATTGTTAATGATGTAGAGATTTCTGTGTACTGCATGGGACATTCAACAACTTTACAATTTTGTAAATAATCACCCTCTGGCTTCATTTTAGAATGAATTATCCTTGAATTCAGTTAGTATTATAGTGACAAAAAGTACTTTATAGAAGCTAAATGCAGTGTTTCAATGTAATTATATAATTATAACCTTCTAAAAGTAGTTTTGAAATGTGGCAATATTTATACTTATTCTACTGATCAGCAAATTTGTCAACAATGCAAACTTAAGATTGAAACTAATTTTTTAATTTAATTTAAGGCATTCCAAGAACTGCAAACTAAGATGATAACTACAACACAACAAATAAAGCTGTCCAATGCACAGATTGACACTTTGAAGAGAACTGTGCAACATTCGAAGTTAGTGGATCAGGAGATCACCTCACTACCACCAAGTACACGCACATACGAAGGAGTAGGTCGAATGTAAGCAAATTACAATACTTAAAGAATTGTTTCTTTCAAATAAATTGAAAGATGGATTATTTAGATATTTGAATTTTAAATTGGGTTAAACTGGAATATACCGTATATTTTACAATGTAGATGAGATTATCATGACTTAATTTATACCTTTATATACATATAATTGCTGCATCATGTTTTATATTTTCGTTGTCTGATCATGTAGAATATCTCCGTGTTGCAATTTAATTAGCTGATATTAAAAGATGGTCAAATAAACAAGTATATATGAGTAACAATTTTTATAATAAATTATTTTCATCAGCTTAAATACAATGAAGTGTAACATTTTATTTGTAATTTCTTTTTTTGTAGGTTCATTCTGCAGTCAATTCCTGATATTCAAAAGAATCTCCAACTGAAAGTGAAAGCTTCAGAAGAGAAAATGAAATCATTAGAGGTAGAACAGTGATTTCTGATCAGAACTGTTGGAATTTCAACAGTTAAACATAAAATACATTGTTGTTTTACATATTTTGTAAATTTCACATTTTTGATGATCAAGATTTTATTATGAGATGCTTCATGCTTTGATTTTGATACATACGTTGTCAAAAGTGCTAATTTTGCCAGCATTTTGAACAAAGTTCAACCAATATTACAAAATACATAATGTAATAGATAGCTGACTAAATATTAAGTAAATACCTATTGTAATAGAAGGTAAGTTGAAATGGGAATTTTCATTTTTATGATATATTTTTAATTGAGACTTCAATTTTCCTCTGAGTCCGTCATATTTGGGCAAGCACTATTTTGATGTAGATGTTGTAGAAGGTGGTTTTTGTTAAAATTGATCCATGATTTATTTCAGACAAACAAAGGTTACCTGGAGAGAAGTTTGAAGGAGAGTCAGGACAACTTGAGGGAACTAATTGTGTCTAAACAACAATCAAGATAGACTTTGAATGTTCATTTATACTACATGTCGCTTTTCTCTACTTTTAAACATACTTTCCATGTTTGGAAACATTTCTTAAATTATATTATAAAATGTTGCATTTAATAAGCAATTAAAATGTAATATAAATAGATAGATTTGTGTGATTATGTTTTGATTTTCTTAAACTCAATCAAGTATTGTCACAATATACATGTGATTTTGGCACATACCATATAGCTTTCATGTGTCAGCATATGAATGATAATAGGTAGGTACCAGTATACAGGTGATATTGGGAGGTACAGTTTACATGTTATGTGTCAGTGTACAGGTGATATTGGGAGCTGCAATATACCTGTTATATTTCAGTATACATGTGTTGCTGACAGGGTCAGTATACATGTTATGTGTCAGTATACAGGTGATATAAGGTGGTACAACAACCTGTTGCAGGTCCGCTATTGCCTTAATACCTGCCCCTCGACTCTTCCAATTCCTATTTCACCTGCTCAAATAAAATTTAAACACTTCGGCCTTTCTGCCACCTTTGCTGGTTTCTTCCTATGCACTTCAAGTGTTACTGCAAGTGATGAAAGCACTTTGTTTTGGCACCAGGTGTGTTGCCCGTCCTTCAGAGCCACTGGGCAGCATGATAAGACATGTTCCATGTTCGCCACTCCCTGGCACAATTCGAATCTTTACGGAGACGTCATGTATGAATGTTGGTTTGGCTTGGCATTACATCACTCACAGATTTTAGAAGAAATCTGATTAGTTGCTCCTCCAGATGTTGCTTCATGAGAGAGTCTTCTCTCGAACCCCCTGTCAGTTTAGCCAACTCCCCAGTTTCTGTTCTTTTCCTGCCTTACTCCATATCTGCCTTGTCGATGTTCTCAGTCCTTGCATGCCAATGGCTATACTTCTCATGTTGTCCCTATGTCGAAGCCTGACTCGTGGATTGTCCTTTCAGCTTTTTACTTCCTTCAGGTCTTCCTTCACCTGTGCATTCCTGACCTTCACATCTTTGCTGTTCTGCATTAAGAGAAGTTGCCTGATTTTGGTCACCTTATATCCCTTTGTAAGAGATTTCAGAGGAATATGCAGCTTTGTACCTTCTCCATACAAGCCGATGTTGTTAAAGCTTCTTGGTACTCACATTAACCTGCGTAGAAAGCTTTTCACTATTCCATCTTTTCAACTGCTGACAAAGGTACATCGTATACCAGAATTGGTCATAGTATTCGTGGAAGCAAACCGTGTTGGTAAATTTAGGCCTTGAATCTTCCAGATGGCCCACTCCTGTCTACCATTGTCATCCATCCCTTTGCTTGTTCAAACATAGCTACTTAATTTTCTTTATCAGCCAGCGAGCAGTCAAATCGCTTTCCGAGGCACTTTGATCGGTTTTATCTGAAATTCTGAATTTGTCATCCTTCAGCTTTCCTTTCTTCAATACCAAACTTCTGGATTTGGATAGCCTGAATCTCAAGCGTGCCCATTTGATTACTGTCTCCAGCTCCTGCAATGTCCTCCACCACGAGGGCCATTGTTGGTGGTTGCCAAATACCTAGAGCCATGCATGGCCCTCGGCTCATCATCTCGGCAGATTTCACCATTGAATTTATTACAACAGAGAACAAAATGACAGATATTGTGCATCCAGTAACGATTCCAACTTCCAAGCGCTGCCACGGTGTTGTATAGTCCTGAACCGGGTATCGCTTCTTGAATTGGTTGCAGTATTCTTCCAGCACCTGACGAGTCTTCACTGGCACCATCTTGTGTGGCATGAACCGTAGGTATTTCCCAAATCAAACCACACAATTGCAAGATCGCCCTTCCTCTTCTTGGCTTTCCGAATGACTTGTGTGAACACGCTTGTATGCTCAACACACCCAGATACTCTCGGCACACCACCTTTCTGGACTGAGATGTCGATTTACTTGTTCCTCAGCATGTAGTCTGTTATGCGCTTTGCATTCATTAATGAGATGGTCCTGAACTGCCCCAACGTTTCCGAGCCCTCTTCCTTAAGTAAATTCCACAATCGTCTTGTAAGCCTTGGACAGTTCTTATACACTCTGTATGGTATACCAGGCAATGATGCCGCTCTTGTCTTTTTAACTTCCGATGTAACCTCCTTGTACTCTGGTTAACTGGCGTCTAACATAACTATTGGATTATCTGGTGTCATCAGAATATCAGGATCTTCAAGATCTCCCTCATAACGCAGGTCACTATACGTCTCGTCTCTTTACGGTACTTCTTCACTCCCTCTCTCTTGCATGTCAATCTTCCCAATCCATTTCTTCTCATTGCTGTAAACTGGTATGGATTTGATATAAGCAAAACTCTCTTCCTCATTCTATCTTTCCTTCGGCATCTACTCCTCTCCGCCTGGCGAGAATCTTCAGCCTTTCCCTCAGAGTGACCCGTAACTTAGATAGCCCAGCCTGCTCATTCTCATTTGCTCTTGAACTGCTTTGTTAAAGCCTTGAGATCCCTCCTGATAGTGGTTATCCTTTCCTCCCGGCGATTTCTATATTCTCTGTTCTTGACGTTTCTTTGCTTTTCCAGTCCAAACTTATCTATACCGACGTCAAACATGATCGTTGTTATCGCCTCCATTTTCCTGTCCATACTGCCAGATAATGTGGTGTTGAGTATAAACCTTGTCGAACTGCTTCCATGTCAATGTGTTATTGTTCGCTGGTCATTTCACGTTCCTGCGATGCTGCCCTTCCTCCTGAATGTTGCTCGCTGCGTGTCGTCTCTGCTCCTCCTCTCTATCGTACACAATACCTTGTTCATCCTCTCCGTTGCACTCTTCCTCTTTCCCAGGTATATGGAGCCTCTGATCAGTGTGGTGGTCATCCTTGACCTCCTCCACCTCCGTCTCACCAGATTCATTTGAACGATTCAGAGTTTTTGCACCTTCAACTGCGTATGGTTCTATCAATATTCAATGTATGTGTCCTTGTTCAGTTGTCGGTCGTATTCCAGTTCCAGTGCAAGGGTGATGATTAGGAGTTGTTTTAGTATATATGTGATGTTGGGAGTTGTTTCAGTACATTGGTGATGTTATGAGTTATTTCAATACTTTTGTGATGTTGGGAGTTATTTCAATACTTTGGTGATGTTGGGAGTTATTTCAATACTTTGGTGATGTTTCGAGTTGCTTCAGTACATTGGTGATGTTCGGAGTGGTTTAAGTACTTTGGTGATATTGGAAGTTATTTCATTACATAGCTGATGTTGGGAGTGATTTAAGTACATTGGTGATATCAGGGGTTGTTCCAATATACAGGTAATTTTGGTAGGTGTTTCAGTACATGGATGGGCGATGTCTAGGACATGCATGATCGTGAAATGGACCTTTTGACACCTACCATAACACTGGTTTTTGTTAATTTTTCGCTCGTTTAGAACCTTGTAATGATTTATAACTGACAAGTGCATGCAGGTTGATATCTTGTTAGAAACACAGAATCTGAGACTGGAACCTGGACTATGTTAGTCGTTGCAAGTATAAATTGATCTTACAAACTGTAGAAGTTATTGTAGTGAAAATCTTTACCCCGACCAGCAAATGGCAGCTGAAATGATAAAGTGACATTAATTGATGAGATAATGAAGGGGTAATCACCTGTTCAGACAACCCTACAATACGTAAGGTCAAAAACACTTCAGGTGTCTTGTAAAAGTCCAAATGTTATGACAGAATAGCTTAATTACATTACGGAATGGTCTATAGCCGTAGTTGGGCGAGGCAGTAATCTTACATCGTCTATTAAGTCGATGTTCAGTCTCCAGGAATTCTTGACCCAGGTTTTCACACCATTTCAGACATATATCTCAGAATGGACTACACAGGTGATGAGTATCTATTTGTATAAACATTTAAATAGCTAGCACCAACTTTCCACCAACGTAGAGACAGGTGGCCGAGGTCACTTAATACATGGTATATCTATATACATGTGTATATATATATATCTTACTAGCTATTGTATAGTGCCCTGTTGGACCACTTTTCTTCTTTCGGAGCTCTATCTGACAAGTAAAGATACTGACTCTGCTTACCCCTACAAAACATTTATTTATCCAAATAAATAAACAAATTACAAAACATAAACTATTGAAACCTTTTTATTGTGAGTACATTTGCAAAAAAAGGTACACCGAGGAAAAGAGCTGGTGCTTAGGAATCGTGTCTCCTACATCATCGACGGCAATTGCAATGTACATTGAGATCAAGTTAACTGGGCTAATATCAACGAAATCGCGTTCCGTCAACTTTCATAATCACACAAAAAATCCTTGAATAACATATCAGCTGCGATATGTAAACGTCAAAGTTTCGTGAAGCAGGTATAATGATAATAATATCTAGACTTATTAAAAATTGTGAAATTAAAATCGTCACGGTTGATATACACGTAAGTTATCCCTGTTTGGTCCAGTGGTGTGATAAGTTAAATGACTGATGGGAAGAGATCGTCATGGTTTGAAATTGTCCCCAAGAGAAGTTTGCAGTAATGTTGAGCGTCTTTCTGTTATTTGCCAAAGTTACTTATAATTTGTTTAAAAGATCTATAACTTTCATATCTATAATTTTCCAAATCTGCGAAACAAAAATCTTTTATGGAATTTCGTTGTCATGGGCTGCTGTAATGACTTATTGCCTCTTGTTTTTATACCGCGGGCATTCTCGTTCATCTTTCACCTAGATGGTTATCTACTGCACTCAATCCTATCAACAATGCTAGCTCAAGATGACTTTTTATCCCACTGAACTATCCGACCCAGCTGAAGTATCAGAATACACGATAGGGAACACCAACCGTCAGTAAGAACTCCTTATATACAGTGGCTGGAAGCGGTCATCACAATGATATTGCGTTCCCACGCACTATACTTCTCAGCCAACGATCTTATAACCATATCAAACAAGAAATTGGAAAATATCAATGAACAAACTACGTTTGCTTGTCACAGGAGGTCATCGAATTGGTACTGAAAATCTCGTGAATTGACTTGAATTCATTCGTGTAATAGCACTGTTCAGAATATAAGACGTTGTACTTAAGTTATCAAATATATGAAAATTACGAGATTTATTGAATTGTGGGGCTAAAGAACATTCCGATGTA